ATAATAGGATTTCCTCAAGTAATTATAGAATCAAGACGATGGTGAAGTCCAGACAAGGACACAATGGCATAAACATCGACACGGCAGTCAAAGGTCCATCGTTTTAGCAGACACTCCTGCAACCTACGGTTAGGAAAATGCCATTCCAGAAACAACCCAGTGCTATAAACCTTGTAAAGAACGAAAGTCCACTTAGTATGCAAATTGATGCGAGCGTATCGACTACAGTAAACTACAACAGACCTGGCGGTAGAGATTGAAGAGTGCGGGGAAAGTCTTCTTCTTGGCAAGATCTCCAGAAGCACCGAGCACTATAATCGAGAGGCACCCAGTTTCGGGCACATTATCGATGTCCTTCGAAAAGGAATCGCTCCTGAAACTGGATCTTCTCTCAATGGACCACTCACCCGATCCCATCATTTAAAGAGTTTAAAGACAAATACGCTGCTTCACAATTGAGGGAGCACCTCTCGGATCTGCAGTCAAAAGCAAGAGATGGGTCAATTCAAGCACAAAAAAAGAAGGAGAATTTGATCACCATTCGGTCAGAACAGAACAGAAAGCTAGAAGTAAAGATGCTCGGCACAATCATTTCAAACGAGAAAACAAAGAAAAGAACTGGGAACGAAGATTCGCCATGCACACTGCACCCAAACCAACAAAGACAGCATGATAAGCAGATCACTGTATACCCACACCCTTTTCTCCTCCCTGGCTCCCCCAGTCAAACTATCACCGAGCGAACGAACAACAGCAAGAATTGCTCCTCGGAAGAAACAAAGTCCTCACCTTTCGCCACCGGAGGAAACAACAATCAAACGCGCGTGCAAGTCCCGAAAGCAAAAGCAGCAGCCGGATCCGGAAGCGAGGCACAGAGAGAGAGAGAGAGAGAGAGAGAGAGAGAAGCAAGGACGGACCAGACAGACGACAGAATTCGGAGGTTTGAAAAGGGTGGGTGGCGATCGACTTATATTTAATTAAAGAAGAAAACCCATTAAGGGTCGGAATCAGACCGTCACGGAAGCGTCAGCAATTACGCAAAACGAAAAAACTAAACTTACAAAGAACGAGATCAAGAAGAGGCCAGCGAACCGCGCCTGCCCTCCTGGCGCGAGCACCGAAGCCGAAACAACACACGGATAATGGGAGCCTGGGAGATGGAGTAAAGGGTATGCAAGAAATGGGGGAGAAAGCCGCTCACCAACTCGGAATGGTCGCGATCGATCGATCCATCCATCCGTCATCCATGGATGCCCTTCCTGCCTGACCTCTCCCGACCAAAGTGGTCCTTGCCCAGCTCTGCTGCTTCCGGAATTCAACGCGTGGAAGCCAATTGGCAAATTGGCCCAGTTTGACCTCTCTCCTCTTTTGAATTTAGGTAAAGGGCATCTTTTGGATTTTTCATTTGCCTTTGCTAAAACAAATGGCTGACGCACTTGCTGCGCGGGTAAATATAAATATATTCGGTAATTATTAAGAGTAATTTCGCGTCGCATTTTCTCGTATTTTTCAATAGCAGAAAGATATGAGTTTTTCTGCTTTTTTGGGCCTACGGCTATTATCTAAAAAGGGGGTGTTTCTTTGGCTTCTCCGCATAATAAATTTAGGAAAAGGTCATCTTTTGAATTTTTCATTCGCTTTTGCTTAAAAAAATCGGATGACCCACGTGCTGCGCGGGTCGAAACACGGGACTATAAATCTATTTGGCAATTATTAAAGAGTAAATTGCATTTTTTTTTTCAATGCAAAAATGAAAATCTGTAGATATTAAAGTAGAACGGTGAAAAAAAAAATATGGAGTTTGTTAGAATTTTTTTTAGTATTTTCTTTTTGGGATCTAATATTTCCTTTTACATGATAGCGTAGATAAACTATCGGTATTGCAAGCCAGACTTCGCACATTGTACTAGATTCATCTTTCCAATCTCGTTAGAGACTTTTAGAGACGAGCTATTAATGTCAGGGCTCTAAATATTTGAGAGAAACTATCTCTCGAAGCGTGGTTTCACAAATTGTCCCGTGAATTTTCGAAAACAAGAGTCTAACTATTTTATCACGCAATCAATCCCTCAAAAGTCAATTACTGGGACGTGTTGCATAAGAAAGCGATGGCTTGGACCGGGGCAAGCAATTTATCAGCATCAATCAGCATCGAAGTTGGTGTGAAAAGCATATTCCTTCAGAGAGAGAAGGGGGCAAAAGGGACAATCTGGATAAGCATTTGCGATGAACCAAATTGGAAAATACGAGGGAAAACGAAGATATCTAAGATTGGACATGAAACACGAAGTGCTAATGTGTTATAGTCGAACTGAATGAATTATGCAATGCCATGCCCTCGGTAATGGCAAAGATGAGACCACCATATGAAAATCTCGGCTGTCAATGTGACTTTGTCGATATCTATTTGCATCCAATTAAAAATGGCAATCAATTTGTGAAAACGTTAATGCGTAACGTGTAAGGAACAATTCATCGCATACGAATCGAATTTGCCTGCCACAAGTGATATTCCGAGCGGGTACTTAAGTAAACTACCCATCAAATGTATTGCGGTGCATTTATTTCGCACCTAACTAAAGTTTATCATTCAGACAAAAAAAAAAAAAAACTAAAGTTTATCACGTCATTTTCACGGTTTAGCTATATAGCATTATTTTGCTTGAAATTTTGCTGCCGGTCGACACCTCAACGAGAGACAGCTCGCCGTGCAATCGAAATTCATCTCCACAAACTCTACCATCGGTATGAATACCGAATCTTTTGCAAAATAGAGAGAGAGAGAAAAATTTTCTTAGATGAATCATATCATCATAGAATAAAATTTCTCGCGCATGAATCTTAATCCGGTTCAATCGGGCAACTTAAAGAGGGAATGCAACAGATGCCATGTTCGGATATGTACAAACATAAATCAATGTTGTTTGGGATACATACATATATAGTGTAGCATCAATCCCCCCCGATGAAACATTTTCAATGCTTGATGTCGAAGTCATTGGGGCCCTTTTAATGAGAGGGACCAGAAACCGAAAATAAGGGAAAGATGGGGTGGGTCCATTTGATAATACCGGCGGTTGCTGAGGAGCAAACATCAACTTTTCTGTTTCTGACCCCTCGATTTTGTCTTCTTTCATTCTAATCTTCGGGGCCATTATTACCAGATTTTTCAATTTAGTACGGCCGCAGTGCGCTCCTCCCGACCTGCCCGAATTCAGAAACCTCGAAAACGCGTCAACGGATCGCCTGCGTCGCGGTCTAGACGAACCGGGGCCGCCAGGCGGCCGAGATCCCCAAAAGATGTCGAGAATCACGAGGCTCCCCGCCCCGGTCCGATCGGTCGGTTGAGACCGCGCGCGTCCCGTGGTCGCGGGAGCAGGTGATCCCCGCACCGCACGAGCCCAGCCCCACGTCATCGCCCCGCCTCGCATCGCCCCGCCCCGCCCCGCCCAGCCCGCCGGGAGGGAGGCCGAGATATTCGTGCGGTGGGGGCCCACGACCCGCGGTCGTGATTCGAGCTTTTTGGAGTCGAGCCGCCAGCACGGTTTGACCGAAACGGGATTTGATCGGGCCGCCGTCGCTGACTTTTTTAGTTAGATTTAGAATTTCATTAATGACATCACGCATGAAATGAGAAATTCCGATCACTAGATCGCCCCCCCCCCCGGGCGGATTCTATGCATCCGAGTTCATTGATGTCGCATGGACCGGATGTATATATATTCGGAGAGGAGTTTTTAGATCATTATCAATAAATGCGCCGATCCGAAACGGTAGCGGTTATCATCCTCGAAATCTGTACAAAGATTGACAAGACGGGTTTATAACCAGCCCGCAATGGGCCCGAGCCAAAGCCGATTGTATAAAAGTAAGAAATAGGAAAGTACGTCACTGCTTTCGACCCTTGTTACTCATAAAAAAACAAGAAAAAAGCAAGCGCATCGAGAGATCCGATTCCTCCCGTTTCCTTCTTTTTGAATCCCCAACCCCCCCATGTCTCGTTCACGCCACATGGTCATAGGTTATTTTGGACGTGATTTCTTCAAATACCTTCTCTTGTCCCCCTTCAATTTTGGCCCTACCCCCCTTTTGTCCTTTGCAAATGAGGGCACGAACATGGCTGTTTTATCTTCAATTATTTTCCGAAAACGCACAGTCGATGTAATAATTGAAGGAGGTTAGTTGGAAACCCGTTCTTTTTAACAACCACGGCGAGCAGGTAGGTAGGGCTCCCACCCGCAATAACCACGCGTGTGATTAAAGTCTATAAAAGCCCACCACCACCCATCCGTCTCTTTCGCTTTCATGATCTTCCTCTGCTCGCACACCTAACCCCCCCGTTCTCATTCACGGGTTCGTCTCCTAATCTCTGCCTCCATCGAATGAACTAGTAGCAACCCCAAATGCCAACTTGATCGATTCTCCCTTGGATCTGTCAGGACCATGTTTTGACACGGGGGTACGCGGTCTTCGATCCCCATTTTTTCGTACGACGAACCGGGTTTACGAGCATGCGGAGAGATGGGAAACGGGCGTCGAAAGAGGGGACGGCTCGGAGATAAGGCGAATATCCTACCCGCTTTGGAATTGCTGGACTCCGAGAAAGATTTTTGCCGGATGCGGCTGATATTTCATCTCGCATCAGTCGGACCCTGGCAATGCGGCGTGCTGAAGGCCAGAGAGAGACATGTTACATCTCCTTACTGCCTCCGAGGACTATGATCCAAATATGAACTTATGTTTCGTACTTTAGGGAATCCCGACTAGTGACGCGCAGCTATTCGATCTCATCACCACGGGCCCCTCCGAATGGTCGGAGTAAGCAAAATCCATCGCACACCGTCCACGACTCCGGGGACATCAGGTCATTGTGGTCTCCGGTGGAAAGGATAAAGGATCGGAATAGTACCACACATACAAGGCCATTCCTAAACCCCAACTTGAGAATGTAACCTGAAACTTAAATGCGGCGTACAAAGAGAGGTTGCAAGACCACAATCTGGCGAACCGTATGGATATACATAACTTGACAATCAGAAAGGACGCTGTTGATTTACAATAAACACAATCGAAATACAAGGTTCTCTCCATTAGGAGAAAATCACTTGGTGAGTTCCTTATGACATCGTTCTTCAATTCTTAAGGATTCTCTCCTTAACCATCTTCGACTAAGTCACTTTCAGAATCGAGTGCTCAGTTGCCCACAATAACTGGTCCAAAGTGTCACGGTCGGTGCAAGTTGCCCTGAAATAACTGCACCTGCATCGAGATCAGCATAATCTGAGAAAGGAGCAAAACTAGAAACCGTAAAGTGAAAGATATTGAACAGGGGAAAAAAAAGAGAGTTTAAAGGTGATACTCAGGACCACGCACGTATTAGCGTCAAGTCACATTTTAAGCCACTTTGGCTTAACAGGCTTTTTATCAGCAGGCTTGCGATCTTGGACAACAGGCGGAGGAGCTGGCTCTACAGATGCCGGTGCAGATTGAACCGGCTCTGCCATCTCAATGTTGTGCTCCCAGTCCTTCAGAGCCACGACATACTCTTGAAGGAAAGGACTCATCTCAGCAGCTGCTATATCCTCATTTGAAACTGACAGGGAAAGACACAAAGACCATATTAGCATTCCATCGTCGGAGCACTCCCATGTAATCTACCATTGATGTCACAAAAATCAATAAGCAACGGATTAATGACATCCAATCTTGGCGAAATAAGCATTTAACAAATTATCCAATTGAAATGGCGGCGAACGTACAGCGTTAGGTAGTTCATGTGAGTGGGTCAGCTTTCAGTATGTGTTAGTATACCCAAAACAAATTACCAAGAGGGAACTGTAAAGGTGCTTCAGCCTTGAGGTGCTAACTGCGCTCGGGGCAGTTTTGGAACACTTAGGGACGCAATAAAACTTAAAACTGTTTTGTTAACACAGCTTAACTAGCGAGCATCCAATAGAGATAAGCCACTCTAAATAAAACACGAAGGAGCAACCCCTGGTGAGCAAAAAACGAAAATGAAGATACTACATTTGAGGTCAATAATACACATACAAACCTTTCTGGGCATCATATGAAAAATAAACTATTGCCCCAGGAATGAAGCCGGCAGAGTAAAAGTCCTGCGACAAGTCTTTTATTTGCTTCTTGGGTGGAGTAGTATCTGAAACATGATCAGATAAATGCATTACGCTTTGGCTTCAAAAAACACATTCTCGAGATGTCAATATCAGAAGCATCAAACGTACATATATAAAATGGCATTTCAGGTTTAGCGACCACTTTCTCAAGGAGAGCAACCAAACTCTCTATTTTCTCTGATGGATGAAATGTAGCCTCTAGCGTATGATTATCAGGAAACCGTACCCTTATAGTAGTCTGCATTACAAAGCAGATGATTTTTAGGGGTTTGTTGCACAAGAAACCAAGATAATACAAGCTCCATATCGAGATTACAAGCTACATGTTCAATAGGGTAACAAAAAGAAAATCATATTGGGCACTGGTGGAGTAGATATCAAATCACCTTTGTTATTCTTGAGCGCCGTGCTGCCTCTTCTGCTTCTCGGAGTTTTCTGGTCTTTAAATGTTTTTCTGCCAAAATCATCCGACCAAAAAATCAGCAACCACATAATCCAAGATTGTTATTAATGTGAACATACTTGAAGATGGAACTAGAAAGGAACTCTTTTATCAAACTAAAATTTCAAATCACCAATAGCAATAACGTAAGGAAACAGCACCTCTAAGAGCACACACGGAATTGCAGTGAATATATTTTCCACTCCATCCTAATTTGTATTTCAGGCCAGGGATTCAAGGTCCAAGAAGGACACATATCCCTAACTTTATACCACAGCTGATTAGAAATCAGATGTCTTTTTCCCAAAACATCCAAAAGGGAAGCTATCCGACCAGTAAAACTTAGAGCCTCTTCCTCTATTTGCACAATTAACATGATATATTGTTGGATGATACCTTCTTTTTTGGTAGTCAAAAGTCGGTGATAATCCTCCGCAGTGAACTCATAGAAGTCATCTGTTTCATCTGTTGTCAAATACAATCAGACAAGATGCCCGGACATGTAAAAGATAGGTAGCTTAGCTTAGAACTGAAAATGAGTTAGTAGAACTTGTTCTTACCAGTACCTGGAGCTACATTTTCTGTCAGAGAACTTGCTGAAGTTTCAAACACACGTATTTCACGTCCAAATTTTTCGTTTATTTCAGCAAGCTTTGCCTGACATGAGCTAGAACAATCAACCAAATTGCAGGCAGCAAACCCAAGACATGTAAAATATCCTCCTCACACAATAAAAAAGATTCTAAAACCTTCCTTCCATGGATGATGTGTCGTGTGTTTAGTTCTGCTATGGACAGTCATGTCAAATTATTAGCAATGATCTTAGGCAATATCAGGCATCTAGTGATAGCTGGTGCGTGATAAAGAAGACATGATGAAGTCAGTTGAACTTGTTATCGTGGATGGCCCTTGTCTAATTTAAATCAGAACAAGAACACACAGTAGATGAGGGCCAAAAGTGGAATAGACAATCGGCAAGAAACATGTTTAGAATGTCACATTCCACTAATGTAGATGAGAAAAGGCAAGGAAGACTACACAACTCCATAACTCTAGGCAAGACACAGGTCAAACACGAAGCACGAATCAGATAGCTAGCTATATGACTTTGGGAAAAAAAGCATGCAAACTCATGAACTTTAAAACCACCTGTAGAATAGATTTTCCCCCACAACCTAACTGTCCTCCTATACTGCAACGAATCAATTCTTGGTCTCGTATGCCAACACTCTATGCAACTGGCCTACCAGGATCTCTCCGCCTCGTATCGTACTTGACATTAACCAATTTTCTTTCCCTTTCATGGATAATTCTAGTCAGCAGGAAGCGCTAGAGCTACCCTTCTAACCAATGTTGAAGAATGTCACGAGATTTTTCAAAAATCACCACAACGGACACGGACCGGTGATCAGATACAGAAGCAAGCAAGCTGCTTCCACAATGCATTGTCTAAAGCAACAACCAAGGCAGACGATGCTTTTGCCCACCCACCCTTTTCTTTAAATTCATCCCTGCTTAAACTAAAGCGTGCAACATCCTCGTAGCCTCTCTCCCTCTTCGAAGCCAATGCACCTTAAAAAAAAAAAAAAAAACCCCTCCTTTACGCCTCACTTGAAGCCATCGACAATTTGGGAAACAAATTAGACCGATCGAGCAAAAACCCAAGAAGCGCCACGATCGCAGCTGCGATCCATCATCAACTAAGGAACTAAATCAAGAACACAGAGAGAGAGAGGGAGAAGACCTTGGCGGGTTCAGCTTCCATGGGGTCGGGGATGGCGAGTCTCCTTCTCTTCAAAAGCAGGTGAGAAGAAGAACCATCAACTATCATCACATAACAGAGCTGAACCGAAATCCAAATCGGAATCGGAATCGGAATAGGAATCAACGCGTCGCAAGCGATGGAACTTTGGGGAATCGTGTGCGCGCTTGCCCGTGTGAGTTTGGAGGTAGATGCTTCGCTTCGCCTTCGCCTTCGATGTCTTGCTCGCCTGGGCATCAAGTCGGGGACGGCACGTGACGCTGAGGAACACCGTATTTGCGGCGAAGGATTAGGTCGGCGCCAGTTGGCTTCTTGGGCCAACGCTCGTTCGGGCCCAAAGCCCATTCACTCGATGGGCTTTTGGAACCAACATGTTGGAATCATAATGATCTCTAGCAAGTCTGACCATTCTCTCTCAGTTGTTTGAGACGTGATTCATGCTCCCCAACCGATAGGAAGGTACGAAAGTCCCGCTTACTGATGAGCGGGACGGGATCCGGGGGCACCCCGACGGGGGTCGTAGGGGGCAGCTTCCTCTAGTTTGGATTTGGCACCATGAATAACTGCTAAGTATAATTGATAATTGTAACAGAGAGGTGAGGGATGTTAATTGTAGTGAAATTATCTGCTCGATGTAGCCATAGTTGAAGGTTGAATCAAGATGAAACCTTATTTCTCGATTTTTTTTTCTTTCTCGCCTTTACTCTCTATTTCATTGTGTTTATGCGCTTAATCCTAATATCTATATAATGTGTCATAAAACAAAATCAAATAGTAAAAATCGCATTATCTTACACGAGGTCATAATTTAGAAACATGTGATGAGCAAATCTTTAGCTAACTTGTATATCGGGAATTCGTTGGCTCCTTGGAGAGAGGGATCTCGACTTCTAGCACGTTAGGGGGGGCTGCGACGATGAATACATCGGCTCCGGATCTTGAGTTTCATGTGAACGCAGTGATTATAGTTCGAATAGAATCTATTCATAGTGGATGTGGGACTGTTATGGCAAGTTCGCGAGAGCGCAGTCGCCCCAATGCCCCTCCCTACAGTTGCACTTCTTAAATTTTTTTTGTGCTAGTGTAATTTGTCTTCTTGGCTTAATGACGCGAGTTTCGATCACCGGATTTGCGAATTCTTTTCTCTATAACTATCAGGAGCAAAGAGCCGTATTTTTTGGTTTAAAATCATCATGTCCATCGAGATAGAACGAGCACTATGCAAACAAAGTCCGAATCATCCGAGTGTTAAAACTGTTAGGATTAGGTGCACAAACACAATAAAATAGAGAGTGAAAGCGAGAAAGAGAAATCGAGACACGAGATTTATCCTTATTTACCCTTAAAGTAATGCTACATTCATCAGAGCACTATAGCTAGCAACCTCACACCTCTCGATTACAATTCTCAATTACAATATAAAAGTACTATATATTTAGGCGGTACAGTAGCTATTCATAAGCCTAAACTCAAACTATCAATAAAATACAAGCCTTAATTATAAAAGTCTTTTGACGGCTAGGGGGCAGAGTTAGGGTAGCCCCGGACCCCACTCGCTCACCGGAGAGCATAATACCCATGCCCTTTTTCGATGGGTATATGAATTGTACCCAAACAAAAACATGCTTAAGATTTAAGATAGAGACCCGCTTGTCAGATGTGAATCGCGATGTCCTCTGTTCACAGGGGAAAATTGTAGGAAGCCTCGTCCTGACTCGTGCGTTTTGCCTTCTCTTATGTCGTGTACGAACGACCAGGGGACCATTCATCTTTAGCCTACGATTCAAGCAATTCGTAACGTGCCCTGCCTGATACGCCAACTTCATCGCATATATAAAGACAAAAGTACATGCCAACTTCATCGTCGAGCCATTCCAATAAGGGTGTCATACAGATTTTCATTCTTTACACCAAACTTGTTAACGAGCACCCGCTTAGTTTTTAAGCATCTATATACCGTCTTAATCATGATATGCGTCCGAGCTTGTTTAAGCGCTCGAATAAATCATCATCTGGTAACGATTTTCTCGTCCCAATGCCGTTTCGACCGAATGCTTATTATCGAAACATTGTTGTAAGGATGTTATTAAAGAGTGCCTCGCAAGCGCTTACTAAAACAACCGGTCAAGGAAACTCTGGGACTTTCGAGGCATGGATTCATCTCGTGTTATGTGTTATGAGCAATAGATGATTTTGAGAATCTAATCAATCCACATCGAGCATACTTAATGAACGTAGACGGAACACTCATCAATACGACCCTTGTCGTAATTATCCTAGGGATTACCGATTCACCATATAATGATCCAAAAATCGAAATAGAAAAAGAAAAAAGATCACATGCACGTCGTGCATCTCGACAAACTTTTCTTCTGAACACCAGAATTTCTAATTCCGATTGGTGTGTTCGTTCCATGCGTCACCGCCACACGTAACCTTCGCACGAAGTACCTTTCTAGTGTGGGGCAATTATCATCGACCGCCCCATTTGCTCGGGCGAATATGGACTTTGTCGTTTCCGTAACTCTCCATCTTCCCTTTTCCATTTTTCTTCCATAGATAGTTAAACAACCGGTCAAGGAAACTCCGCGACTTTGTAGGAACGGATTCATCTCGTGTTGTGAGAAGCAGATGGTTTCGAGGATCGAATCCGTCCACGTCGGTATATTTAATGAGCGTACACGAAACACTCATCAAGACGTCCCTCGTTGTAATTATCCAAAAGGGTATCATCGATTCACCGTACGGTAATCCAAAAATCGGAATAGAAAAGTAGAAAAGATGATGAGCGTGCCGTGCACCTCAACAAACTTTTCTTCTGAACACCGCAATTTTCTAATTTCGATTGGTTCCTTCCATGCCCCCTCACTTGCCCCCGCACTCGCCCCCGGGCGAAAACGTACTCCATCGTTCCCGTAATTCTCCGTCTACCCTTTTTCCAATTTTGCTCCCCTTCGCAAGCTTCCCTAAAATGCAGAGCTGAAGGAGCGGAGATAGAAAGGGGAAGCAGACGGAGTGGCCATGGTCTCCGATGAAGTTTTCCGTGGGCAGTGGGAAGTTCGGGTGACGAGTCGTTGTTGGGGGAAAGAGGACCAGCTTCGTGGATCCAGGAATTAACTACCGGACCGGGAAGTCTTTGGGCAAAAACCAAAAGCAACGGGGACAACGGAAGACCGGCTTTTTCGTAACAGCGGTTTTTCTTGCTGATCCTGCAGAGAGGAAAGAGACAGTTTGAGGCGTAAAGAAAGTGAAAAACCCGATGGAAAGTCTTCCCATTGCGCGAAGACGAAAAGGAAAAGCAAAGCAAATCCCAAATCAGGCCGGGCAGTAGTGGTGAACGGCTCGATTCCTTCCCCAAATTTGTGGGACGCCCAACCCCCAAACGGAAAACCCAACAAAAAAACAGGGGGGACCCAACCCCCCAAAAAAAAAATTTTAAAAAAATGGATGTTCCGAGAAGGGTTTTTTTTTCTAGGAATGTGTTTGGTGAAATGTTGGTTTACATGTATTGGAAAGGGAACGAAGAAGGATCGAACAAATGGGACATCGGAGGTTGCAAGTGGCATGCATAATATGAATAACGGTTCTTCCATGCGAACCGCTAGACTTCAAACTTGATTATGGGTGCGACAGCACGCCTCGGGCCATAGGCCCGATCGAAACTTCACGTCCAGACTTGATCATTTTGTAAAGAAGATTCGATACAGCTAGTTTGGGCAAAGAATGCTGGACCCGATCTTTGATCCGTCTTTTGAATCAAGTCTATAAAGTGACAGACATGTCTCAACTAGCGACGAGTTCCTCGATTTACTCATAAATGAATCGAATTGCAAATCTTTTACTCAGCGGGCTTAACAAGACGAATAATATTGCCAAACAAAAAAGATGATCGCTATATGAAATGGCTGACAAATGGTGCCTTGTTTAGACCGATAAATTTTTTTGTCACATCAACTCTAGATCTAACAAGAGTTTAATCCATCCTAATCAGATCTTGCTTTTTTTTGCGGATGGGGAAATAAAAGTAAAAAGAAAAAGCACCAACCATCATTTGCCGAAGAACAAAAATAATATAAAGAATAGCACGTCTTTTTATGTGCTTTTTTTTTTAAAAATTACGGCACGATGAATTAAAAATCTCAAGTCCGAAGTTTAGAAGTTCAACTGTCAAGATTTTTGAACAGGACGCAAAAAAAAATATTCAGGACACGTCTAGAAAGAAAGTCGTTGGCGGAGTCTTTTATAAAAGTTTTAGATCACATTACAACTTATGCGTCTGATGTGATTGTCGTTTTTTTCACTTTCTGCTTTGTCCCTTTTTTTTTTTATAACTTTTCTTGCTCGTGACTTGACTTTCGGAAGAAGTCAAAAGTTCATGATTTTTCGAACATGTGAAATGCTGTACCGGGTAATTTGTTTTCTTAAGAAAATGACATCTTCAAATTTTTAGTTCGTTCCAATGTAGTCCACGAATATCGTCTAAGAGATTTAAATTTATTCAACATAATTCATGAATTTTTCGTACATATTTAATTTAGTCCATATATTATATTATTCAATATTATCATTTTATTAATTCAAATTCAGAGATTACATCAAACACGAAACTTGTGATCTGGTAGTAACACCGAACGTTTAGAGTAGTTCTTAGAGTATTGAACATTTCATATAGTTTTTAAGGACGACGTTTAATATTTTTATATAGTTTAGAGCTATATTAAACATAATTGAATAAAGTAAAAGTTCATGGAGGATATTGCATATTAAAATAAAGTTTAGGGACCACATTCAACAAATTAAAAGTTCAGATACCACATTACACATTACGCCAAAGTTTAGGGATTATTTGCGTTATTATCCCAGTTTTTCTTTTGCACGGTTTTTGAATTAGAAGTACCATTTCGATTCTTAAATTCAGAAGGAAAAATTAAAAACATTTTCATAAGCTTCATCTTGAAACTCGATTTATCTCGGACCTGGTATACTTAACAAGTGCGTCGAAAGAACTCGTGAAGGCAATTAGTTTTGGCAAAAAAAATTAAAATAATAAGACTAGTAGTGTATGGGTTCCGAGAGGAAGGGCGTGGTAAATTTCATAAATTTTTTAAATTTGCCCCCAACTTGCAACTTGACCCACAATTCCGGGGGCAACCGGCAATTAGCCGGTTCGACAAAGTCTCAGATTTGAAATAAAAAGTTTCAACAAAAAAAAATCAAAATCAATTTTTTTTTGAATCAAATTAAAAAAAATTTGAATAGAATAACCAACCGGAGTAGAAGAAAAGCAAAAGAAGAAGAAGAAGAAAAAAAAAGGGGGGGGGCGAAGGATAAGCAGCAGGCGAGCAAAAGCAAAACCATCGGAGAAGAAAACGAAGATCGCCACCGTCGCTCTCGCTCGGAGAGACAGACTGCAGAAGACGACGACGACGACGGCGGCGGAGGACGGTGGAAGGAGGAGGAAGGAGGAGGACTGGTTTTTCCGCAGCGGGTGATGACGATGGACAGGGAGAAGGAGAGAGAGATAGAGCTGGAGAGCGCAATGTACACCAATTGCTTGCTCCTGGGTCTCGATCCGGCCGTCATCGGCGTCGGGGCCTCCAACGGCACCCCTCGCGTCGGCCTCTTCCGCCACTCCAACCCTAAGCTCGGCGAGCAGCTCCTCTACTTCATCCTCTCCTCCCTCCGCGGCCCCGCTCAATCCGCCAAAGTAAATCTCTCTCTCTCTCCCTCTCTCCCTCTCTCCGACGTGCATTCGCTGTCAGTCCGACGCCCCGTGCTCGTGCGATCGGAGTCTCTCCTTTTGGTTTTCGTTTTGATCTCGCTGTCCCCGGTTCGCTAACGGTCGGGATCTTCCCCCCCGCGCAGGATTTCGACAGGGTCTGGCCGATTTTCGATTCGGCCCAATCGCGGGACTTCCGGAAGGTGCGGTTTCTGTGACGAATTGAGTTCTCGTTCTGTCTGTCTGTCAGGCATTTCGAATTCCGGTTGATGGCTTGTAGCTTGGCGCGTTGATTTCGTTCTCTCAAACTATTATGCTGTGGTTTAAGGTGGTTCAAGGGATCATCAGCGAGCTCGAATCGCAAGGGGCGCTTCCCAGGAGCAATTCCAGGGTTTCTTCGCTGGCTACGTGTTGCGGGCCAAGGTAATTGCGCGGCTCTTTCGGATCTTCGTTTTGCATTTTTACTTGGGTACTTGGAGCACTAAGGTTGTAGTTTGCATGGACTCTATGGGAATCGTCTGAAATTGCTTAGTTAAGCTTGCTTAGGTTGAGAATTTTAGTTTTCCCTTAATTCCTAGGAATTAAATTGACCAGCATGGCCATTTGGCTTACTTGAAATAAGGAAGTTAACCTCAAGAATGAGGGTTAAATATTATTCAAAAACATCTGTGGCATGTGTTTTATTCAATGTAAGCTTTTTTTTTTTGGTCAGATATTCAATATAAGTTAACCGCCGACGATTTATCAACAAAAGAAAGCTTAAAATCTAATCCAAATACTACCTCCATTATCTTGTAAAATGCATGCAAGTTTCTCCTAGACATAGTTTATTTTGTATAAATATAAGTAGTACATGATCAGCGAGTACGATAAATGCCGATTATTCCATACCCTAGTGTTATAGATTGAATCAAAAGATTATATTTAGTTCAGTGAAAACAAACTAATGAGTATGCTAGCTCTTGCGGTCATGCCATGTTAAATGATGAAGTGACACGTTTTCTACATCTTTATTTTCTTATTACCGAGCAAGTGTTGATGATTGAAATTAAAGGACATGAATCGGAGTTTATGAGCAGAATTTATGTGCAAAAGGAAATGACTGCAGTTGGGCTGGAGATTGGAAATTTGAAATTTTGTTATATAACTGAAAATTTCCTTGTAAGTAGGCTGTTGAATCCCTTTTGATAGCTTGGTGTGACTGGGACATGGTTTCTGGTGCCATTGTTGAGATTATATCAGATACGAGAACTATGATATTTTGTGAATTTGCAAGGGTGGTTTTAGTGGTCATGGGAGCTGTGCATAGATGAGAGTTTGAGCATTTGCTTCTCGGATGTAAATTTTGATGTACTTTTAGATCCCCAATGATATTTCTTATATTTAAGACGTTATTGGGCCTTAAACTTTTTTTTTTTTGTGATAATTGACTACACAATTCTTATTTGGTGTTGCAGATTTGTTGAACTCTTATGGCAACTTTCTTTGCATGCTTTAAGAGAGGTTCATAGGCGGACATTTCCAGCCGATCTAACTACTAATCCTTTACCAGCTTCATTGACAGATGTAGCTTTCTCCCATGCTGCCACCCTACTTCCGGTAACAAAGGTATAAACGGTTGTTATTTATTACTTATTGGAGATACCTATTGTCGCCACCATCATCATTTGACTAAGGTTGTTTTGATGATAACAAGGCAGTTTAATTTAGCATTGGCCTTTTTGTATCCTTGTCTATATGTCTCCATCTTTATGCACTGGGCTATCTTTCGAAATATAGACACCACTTTACTCCGGTTGACACTGGAAGAGCAAAATAACAGTTAGGAAATGCATTCGCTATCTTTCGAAATATAGACACCACTTCACTTCAATTGTCACTGGAAGAGCAAAATAACAGTTCGGAAATGCATTCACTAGCATTGCCCTCCCGTGGTAATGTGAGTTGCTAAGGTTCCTTCTGGCTGTCTTTTCTTGGTTGTGCTTTTAAAATTATATAAGTTTTAAAAATATATAAGTAGATCTGGAGACCAGAGCGAAGTCACGTACGTGTCAGAATGGACTCCATCAAGAAGAAGAATTAATTATTAATTTTTTTATCATGAGCCTTGGGTCTTATTCAAAATGTTCTACAATATCCTATCAAATAGTGACATCTGGCTTTTGCTATCCATATGCGAAGAGTTGGCAATAATTGTAGGAAGCAGTACGTAATGACAAATTTTGTGCCTGGTTTTGGTGAGATATGAATATTAATATCAGGATGCCAGTGTTGAAATATATGCGATAGTCTCTGTAGGCTGTCATTTCTCATTGCTATACAGTCGGGATTTTCCATTTTTACTATCTTAAACATATTTCTATTAAAAAAAAACTTTTACTTTGAGACTGATGAACTTAAACTTTGGGAGCATGACTTGAATAATTAATTTTCCATAGGCTAGAATTGCATTGGAAAGAAGGAAGTTCCTGAAAAATGCAGAAACAGCTGTACAGAGGCAGGCAATGTGGTCCAATTTGGCTCATGAAATGACTGCAGAGTTCCGAGGCTTGTGTGCTGAGGAGGTAAAACTCTAGCTCATTGACTAACAACTCTCACGGATAAGCCATCATATGTAGGTCTTTAATGTGCTTAAGAACCTGGATCTCAGGCTTACTTGCAGCAAGAATTGGAAAAACTGCATGATTGGAGAAACAAAGTCAAGTTGGAAGGGGAGCTGTGGGATGATCTCGTATCTAGTTCCAGTCAGAATTCTCATTTAGTTTCAAAGGCCACACGCCTATGGGAGTCCATATTAGCAAGAAAGAGTATGCACAATCACCAAGCTTTCTATATAAAAGTTGTGATAATTTTGAATATTTGACTCTCTTGTCCAACTGTTTTTCAAGCAGATGAATTTCATGATTGAGATAAAACACTACAGAGATATCGCTTTGCATCATTCAATCTGAAAACACCATCCTCAAATTTTTTTTCATTTTTGCCTAAGAATCCCATCCTCCATTTTCTTTATATTGTCGATTGGCACTTCTAATGGTGAGCCCATTATTGTGTGATTGATGTCACGAGAAATCCTTGTTTTGGTGTAGAAAGTACTTACCAGTTTCTTCAAATCCTATGTAGATGCCTGCCATGGATATGTGGACTCAACCATTGATTCCATATGGCTCAGTTCTGTTGCTTTAGTTTTCCTTGCATGTTTGGCTTTTATCAAGAAGTTTTTATTCAGAGCTGCAAATGTTCTGTCATCTTTTGAAGACGCTCTTTGTTGTTGAAAATGGTGTGTTTGGAATCGCTTTACTTGTTACTTTTTGCTTTTGGTTTTTTTGAAAATCGCGCGATACACGTACTTTGACTTCTATCCGAATATGCCGGTCCTTTGGGAATTCTTCAAGCTTTAGTTGATGGGACAAAACTAATTTTTAAAGAGAATCTGACCTGAAACATGCGAAACCTTTCAAAACATTCAAATGTTGACATGTAGATTCGTATATAATTTTTCCACAGTTTCTGAAATTTGAATTATATTTTTGATTTTGGCATGAAAAGAAAAGAGTTGAGTTTTGCTTTCTTTAGTCCCAGGCAAACACTCCCGTTGATATTCCTAAGCTTCTGATAGCTTTCACATTTCCCATATCAATGGTGTTTTTGCTATATCATTCCCCTTGTCTCTCTACCATTGATATTGATAAGCTGTTCGCAGAGTAAGAATTACAAGTTACAACCTTCAATGCAGGTCAACATGAAGTGCTCGCTTCAGGTCCCATCGAGGACTTGATAGCTCATCGGGAGCATAGGTATTGTTATCCCCTGTACTAGTTTTGGCTTACAATTATTTTCCATGAACCGACTGATTGGAGATATAATTCTGCTCAGGTACCGAATTTCTGGATCATCCTTGCTTGCGGCAATGGATCAAAGTTCTCAGGTACCTCATGCAGAGATCCTTTCCGTGCAGCCTAGTGATGTTGCTTCAGTACATTCTGATGACAAAGAACAAAATAATGGGTCATATGATAATATGGATAAAGAAAAGTGGAACAACAGCCTAGACGCATCCAATCCTGCAAATGATGAAACGCATTTTCGGGTTGATGATAGAAGTGGACGAATCCACCCAACTGTTGATGTAGCCGAAGTTATAAGACGTTGGACGCATGCTTTACAGCGGATTCATAAGCAGTCACTGCTTCTGGTATGCGATTCTTCATTTACGTTAAGAAATCTTGCACCTTTCATTACTTTGTTCGAGATTGAGATCCTTATAACATAAAGATTGAGTTTGAGCCTTTAATGTCCATCACCAGTTGCCACTCATGAAATGTAAACCGTGTTGCTTATCTTACATAACACATGGTACGATTTTGCAATTTTCAATGCTGTCTCAGTTAGAAAATAGACTACACTTGATGAATTTCGTTGTGTGAAAATTGAGGTTTTGGGTGGGGGGGAGGGTGTGTGGTTACCTTGGTAAGTTGCTTGTTGAGGATGTCAAGGGCTTTGTTTAAGATCATTGGTTTCTGATCTTGGGGGAAGGAAGCACAGCAATGGTTGATGGGTGCATTTTCATTAGCAACCACGTGAAATTTCAAAAGTGGACCATACATCCCAGGCTTTTAAAAACAATGTGGGGAATTTTTCGTTTAATCTTGTTTGCCAATTGAAATTCGTATGGAAAACATTACAGTGATAGAAAAAGATATAATTTCTTATGCTCAGAGAGGGGTTTTCAAAGTGTAATTCTTCCACCTAAATTGTTTATTTCAAACCTTTTGAATTGGTACTTTTGGGTAAAGTCTACTTTTTGTAACACAAATTATTTATTTCACTCGAACCTGTATTTGTGGGTGCTGAAGTAAGCTATGAAATACCTTTTTAAGTTCATTTTCTGTTTTTCCCCCTACATATAAAGTCATAAAATCTGAACTTCTAGTCAATGCATATGAAGATAGTTGCATTTCCAGATTTTTAAGTTAGGGTGTCTAAGAAAGTTCAGGGTTAGAACTTGTGCTTTTACGCTAGATATTTGACTGCCTCAAATATTTTTCTTGATTATTGTGAGAGGAAGTGCTTTTTCGCTCATGCTCATTAGAAAGGATCTATACTGGTCCAAAAGAGAAAAGAAAATTAAGACATTGACCTTATAGAGTGATATGAGCAGACCTTTATTTTGGGTGTGGTTGAGTAAGAATATCTCAGTTAACTGATGTAAATTCGTCTTTTAGTTTTAGAACTAATGCATTAGGCAACTTACAGTGTATTATTTCCTTAAGCCCTATAATATTAGAAAGTACAAACTAGTAAGGCTGGGCATTTGCAATATTGCATAGGTTGGTAACCTTGTTTCTTTGACATTGAACCTGCAAATGTGTCTTCATGTTAGTACTTGAGGGTTGAACTTTCGAGGTTTTGCTTTTCCTTTCCATCAATATCACATAAAATGTTGAATTGTCTCTTGGGCAGGCAAAGGCTAATGATGGGGAGGGTCCAGAAATATTACGAAGTGCAGATGATGGCAGTACAACTGGTCATGTGGAATCATTAGCAGCAACTCTCGCTGAACATCAACAACACTTAGCTAGCTTTCAGGTGATTATTTTTATTATTATTAGTATTATTATTTTGGATCGGGCCTTTGAGGTCCCTTTTACTTGCATTCTATCTAAGATGAGGCTGAAGATCATCTATTGTTATGTTCACACATGTAGGTGCTTATTAACCAATTAAAAGAAGTTGCTCCTGCTATACAAAAATCTATCTCAGAATGCACGGATAATGTAAATAGTATATCTTCCAGTCTTCCTCCAATGATGAAACAACGTGCTCCATTGAACTCACCGAGCCAAACACAGAGCAGCGGAAGAGGAATAGTAAGTGTTCATGTAACTCCCTGTCTTATGTGAGAACTGTAGGTGTAGCAACTGCAACATGTCCATCTTTATGATGTTGCATTTCATTGGCTAATCTGTTTTCCATTTGGATTGTATAGGAAAGTAGTGCTGATGATATCAATGAGATGACTTCAAAAATGTCCAGTGTTCAGCTAGACAAAGTTTCAGCTGCTCCTGCTTTGAAACTCCCACAGTTATTTACTTTGACACCAAATTCTTCTGGAAAAGCTGGAAACTTACAAAAGAGACAAACTTTGGCCGCTCAGAATAATCAAGTGGAAAATGCATCTGAAAAGAAGTTGCCAAACCAGATTTTTCCAAAAAATCATTCCGACCATCAAGCACGAGGTTCGTCTTTTTCACTGCCTTGCCTGTGAATAAAGAAAGTAATTTGATCTAAATAACTCGAGTTTTTCAAGTTTATTTCAATTTATGCAGATAGTGATGATTCCTACATTCAGAATTTGAAGAGATCTGTTCGAGAAGCAGCCCTGTCATCTCAATCCTGTAATTCAGAAGGGTCACGGGATAGCCATTCTGATGAAGGATCTGAGCATTTCTTTTTGCCATTTCCCGTGACTAGTTTATCTCATGTTGTCCCAGAAAAGAAGGATGCTTTGAGGAGCAATAGATTGATTAGATCTCATGTAGACACTTCCTCAAATGGCATTTCTATGACTGATGATAACATTGGTAGTAAGTTTGATGGATTACCTGATGTTATGAGTGATCTGGAATCCCTAAATGACTTTGATCAAGTAAACAGTTTTCTCTCGGCTTCTGTTTCTAAGCACACACCTTCGGCTACACAAAGGTTGTTCTATGACATTGACGGGACTCAGGATCAGGTCTTTTCACCGCCTTTGCTGATGGAAACTTCTCTGTTAGCCGATTCTTATGAGGACTTGCTTGGTAAGTTGTCACGCTATTATACTTTCAAAATTCAACTGCAATTTGTCTAAGATGCAACTGTTAGGGACCTTTGTTGATCTGCTGGTTTTCTAGCAATGACAATTACTGTAGAGGAGTAGGTCAACCTTCATAATTTTTCGCTGGAGATACTGAAAACAGGATCGTATTTTCTCTAAGAACATGAATGGTGACATCTTAAATTATACTATTTTCTTATTGTGCAGCTCCGTTATCTGAAACTGAAGCTGCTCTGATGGAACATTGAAGTGGCAGCCTTACATTGGCCACCTTGTGACACACCTCAAGAAATGGGTTGGTAACTGTGATTAATCACCTTTAAATCCCAATTGGAGTTCTCCCATATCGTGTTATTCTTCCACTGCCACGGTATTGTGCAATGTCCGCATCCTTGTTGTTGTGTGCTCGGCCTATCTCACAAAGTCGACGTCTCTGCTTGGACGGCAATAACCATCAGGCAGAGTTTAACCCCTGCTCAGGGGATGCATGTGACTTGGGGAATATTATTTCGAAGAACCTTCGTTCTTGCATTTGGATGGCTGGTTAGCAATAGATATGCTGTTTTGGCCTTCGGCGAGGTACTGAAAATCCTACTGACAAAGCATTCAAGACTTTGCTGTGAAATCTTTGGCCTTTTGTGTGTGCTTCGGGGAAAAAAAATTGTTCTCTACCTCCAGATGTGTATTCTCATTATTGACCATGTCATGATAGGATAGGAACAAGGAGTTCTTGGAACTTCATGCGATTTGTATTCATTGTCTGTCCACACACAGTTGTCTTTCTTTTGTGTTAACTTAATGCATGGAAGCGAGTCTCCGGCGGCTACATTCACCGGCATCCTTCGCAACTCCTTTTACTTTTGACTATTTAGCCTATCCAATCCCGAGGGCTTCTTTGTAGACTTACCAGTTTTGTCTTTTTCGGCGAAACAAATCTGGTTTCATGATATCGTGGAGATGTATCTGGTTGTTGCGATTACGTGTTCTCTTTTCAATTCTTAAATTGGCTGATGGAGACTGGTTAATGTAGTTGAGAAGAGTTGACATTGGATGGGGAATTTGGACCATTTCTTGGGTTGTTTTGTTTGGAGTCAGCTGACAGGAAAGTCGTGAAGGTCGGTTGTTTTGTTTGGCAGGCCTAATAGTTCAATCCAGCCAAAATTGCCCGAGTCGAAGCCCTCCGGACTCGACTGGTCTCTCCATGATTTGAAATCTCCGTCTTATAATATACTCTTCCCATACAGCTTGCTCCGTTTGACTCTCGAAATTGTGCATGTGCCAAGGAAAAAATCATGGCCTAATCCTCAGGGTCAGATCACGAGGAGGCATTTCTCTAAAATTCCTTAAATCTTGGGAGTTACCGGCTCGTTTTGATCGGATCGGAGAGATGGATTTAGTACGATGATGCATCGTAATTCACCCACGAGCGCGAGAAAAGAAGGGAAAAGAAAAGGAAATCAGAAAGCTTTGATCTGGCTATTCTTTTGTCAATGTTAAAGATAATTCTTTTAAGAGGGTGGGACATTGGGGGAAGGCCGGGACTTGATTGCGTCTCATCTTGACCTCGCATTTGATTCCTCATCCTTGAATTTCTGTTCTTTTGATTGGATGGAGCTTCTTTTCATCGGGACTGTAATGCTTGTCACGCATTTTTGACTTCGCCTTTGTTTTTATCTTTTCCCCTTTTTTTTTATCCCTTTTTTTGGAGACATTTTCTTCTCTTGCAAACAAGTGCGCATGATGGGGTCCCTTCACCTACTTCCAAGTTCCCATTGATTAACCCCCGACCCGAATTGAGCTTTATCCATACCGGGTTGACTAGCGGTCCCAAAAAAAATTAATGGAAAGTCAAGCCTCCAATTATCAATTCTTGGAAAAAGCCATTATACGAGCCAAAGTAATTCCGGTGGTGGCAAAGCGATTATTACAAATTGGCTCCAGTCGAAAATGGGGAGTGAGCTGTGAGAAAATTGATGGGCAGGTGAAAAAGAAGACGACCAACCATGTCCTAGTCATTCGATAGGTAACCCAATTTGAGTTTTGTTTTTGACTATTTTCTTCTTCTCTTTTTATTTTTGGAAGCTTGTAGGGCTATCATTTTCGAGCTTGAAAAGCCTCGTTCAAAGCTTCATATGCCACAAGAAGCAAGTGGGGGATCATCTTTTTGTCTGTTCATGGTTGTTTCTTTCTTTATGGGTCAGAGTCTCTGTTCATGGTTTGAACATCGGCATTTCCTAGGACCAAAATTCATCAAACCTCGACAAAGAGGCCGTGGATAGAACGGCATGAAGTCGCCGGTTTGAGAGTCGCTAGTACGATTCAGCTTTGAAAGAATATGTTAATGGACTAGAAGTTGCAACACACACTCACATTATACCAATTTCTAAGGGGACAGAGGGTAAAATACAAAATTGATTTTTTGAGAAGGCGATATTTCAAACTCTATTTGACTACTCGAGTAATCATATTTTAATAGTTAACCACGGTTTTTTTTTTATCACAGTCTGCGATAAAATTGACTTATACAAGACAATCTTAACTTACTTACGTGACATTAATGAATAATATAATAACTACATACCCTTGGAGGAAAATCATAACAGTTAACGAGAAAATGTAAAAACGGGTGGAAAGAGTTCGAGACCGTAATCTCGATTAAAATTTTTAGCATAGCATCCTCGTCCACTTGCATCCACCGTTCGGTGTCAAGCTTTATCATTTCGTTTTTAAAAGCACATAAATTTTCTTCTTTTTTTTTTTTTGATTTTTTGGTAATCAAGTGATTGAGAAGAGGCCCTAAAGAATTTTCAAGATTAGGGGGGGTGGTTTTTAATTTTTTGCCGAACTATTTTGTGGGGGCCAACATGCATGCGGCCCTGCTAATAAATAGATTGGGGGTGGAGTTGGAGAGTATCGGGTTTAGGATTCAATTTCCGTGACCACTTCACATACATACATATATATATATATATATGGGTCGAGGAAAAAAAAAAACTATTTCGTGGAAGTTGCGGGGGTGCACCACCACCACCGTAAGAGGAGGGGGAGGAGGAGGAGGAGGGGGAGGGGGAGGGGGAGGGCCACGCGCGCGACTCGCGCGGCGCGGCGCGTGAGATGCAAGAGAAGAGGGGGCTATCCCCCCGAAAATTTCAGACATGCCCGATTTACCGTTTTCAGCCCCCCTTTTCTTCATCTCGGAGTTGACGGAGGTGGTTCCAGGGACAGCCTCGAGGGGCAGTCCCGTCAATTCACGGGTTGAAGTCGAAATTCCATTCGGATCGCGAGGAGGAGGAAGGAAGAAGGCGAACGAAAATTTTTCAGCGAAACAGGAGACGAGCAAAAAAAAAAGAAAAGAAAAGTAAATCGTGAAATTCCAGTTAAACGAAAACAGCAGCCAGAGACTGCTGTTCCCAAATACCCTCTCTCTCTCTCTCTCTCCTCTCTCAAAAGGAAAGGGGAAACAACAAGCTCCCAACTTTCTCTGTGGGAGCATGCAGGGGGAAAAAATCCCCATCTTTTGCCTCCTTGCCGTGAACGAATTCCGACCCCATCTCTTCCTCCTCGGGTCTTAATTCTCGAGACCCGCGGTGCCGCGATGCCGGTAGGTGGATTCCCGTTGCGGGTTTCGTTAGATCTGCTGGTGTCTCGATTCTAGCTGGGTCATCTGAGCTGCTTGTTGGGTCGTCCGCGAGAGGAGGGGGAGGGAGAAAGGTGTGGAAGAATTTGTTGTTTCCTCTTGTTGCCCTTTTCCCTTGTTTGAGCCTTGCTTGAATTTGTGATGTTATCTCGTTTGGAGTGCTTTCTTGGGTCTTGAAGAGTCGAAAGGGCGTGGTTCTCGCCGTCCTGGAGTAGAAAGGGAGGATGCTCTGCTGGGTTTTCCTGATGTGGGAAAAGTGGATTAGGGGGGCTTTGCTTGCTGATTTGATTGAGGTTGGGGTCAGTTGTGTGAGACTTTTGTAGCTAGGATGGCTTGGTGATTCTGTTCCGCACGAGGTCAAGCTGGCTTAAAGTGATCTTTGTAGATGGAGAAGGTACTTTTCCCATCTGGATCGGAGTAGCTTTTTTCTCCGTATTTGGAGCTGGATTTGTGAAACTTGAAGCTTCGGGGGTGGGCTGTCTGGTGGATAGAATTAGTCTCCTTTTTCAGATCATCATCAAAGGAGTCGTGAGTGTCCTACTGGCCGTGGCGCACCGGGAAGAGCTTCTCTTGTCATCTCAACTATGATTAATAAGATATTGAATAGGCTGCCAAAGAAGCCATCTAAGTCTGCGGATAATCGTGAAGGTGGGGGAACCTCTACGTCCTCGTACGGTGCTTCTACAATTTCAAGAAGCAATGATGTAGCCGGTAGCCAATACGGGAATTCGAGCGGATCTTCTCTTCCAGGCGTTAATTCCAATTCGGGATTGGGGTTGAACTATGGAAGTAAGCTCCCTCAGGTTTCAAACTCTAAGCTGAATGGCACGTTTTCAGCATCTTCCTACGAGCCTCTGCCTAGTTTTAAAGATGTCCCCAACTCAGAGAAGCAAAATTGGTTTATCAGAAAGTTAAATATGTGTTGTGTGAATTTTGATTTTACTGATCCGACAAAGAATATCAAGGAAAAAGAAATTAAGCGGCAGACCTTGGTGGAGCTGGTGGATTATGTTACTTCTGCAAATGGAAAATTCCCTGAAGTCGTGATGCAAGAAACCATAAAAATGGTGTCAATAAATCTGTTCAGGACATTAACTTCTCCTCCACGTGAGAACAAAGTCCTGGAGGCCTTCGATTTGGAGGAAGAGGAACCTTCGATGGATCCTGCTTGGCCTCACTTGCAAATTGTGTATGAATTCCTTCTCAGATTTGTGGCATCGTCAGAAACTGATGCCAAGCTGGCCAAGAGGTATGTTGACCACTCTTTTGTTCTCAGGCTATTGGATCTTTTTGACTCCGAGGACCCGAGAGAAAGAGAGTACTTGAAAACTATTCTTCATCGCATCTATGGGAAATTTATGGTGCACCGACCATTTATCCGGAAAGCCATCAACAACATCTTTTTTCGCTTTATATTTGAAACTGAGAAGCATAATGGAATTGCTGAACTATTGGAGATTTTGGGAAGCATTATCAATGGTTTTGCTCTGCCACTGAAAGAAGAGCATAAGCTCTTTCTTGTTAGAGCACTCATTCCACTTCACAAACCAAAATGTATTCCGATGTATCACCAGCAGCTATCCTACTGCATTACACAATTTGTGGAGAAAGATTGCAAGCTCGCTGATACTGTTATAAGGGGTTTGCTAAGGTATTGGCCAATTACAAATAGTTCGAAGGAAGTCATGTTTCTTGGAGAGCTGGAGGAAGTTTTAGAAGCAACTCAAGCCCCAGAATTTCAGCGCTGTATGGTTCCTTTGTTTCGTCGGATAGCACACTGCTTAAGCAGCTCACATTTTCAGGTTTTCTCTCCCACTCTCTGACGAACTTCATCGTATTGCAAAGAATCTGGTTTTCACGGTATTTATGTATTTGCCCTTTTGCTTTTGGTCATCTTCGCATACGCATGCGTCCAACTGTGCAAAACGTTTCTTCCACCTCGAAGGAAAAAGTATGATAATCTATAGAGTTGAGGAAGTGTACCCCGTTCTCAAAATATACTACTAACTCGACCCATTTGCTAAAGGAACACTGAATTGTACTTGTGTTGTGTTATGCATATCTTACAACTTCTACTTGACTGCCCTTGAGCGTATTGAGCTTTCTGTGGGACAACATTGCCAAAAAAGAAACTTTTACTGTGGATTTGGTTCCAGCAGTTGTCCCTAATTAAATTTTTTGCCCAATGCTTGAAGTTTTGCTTTATGCATTTATTCACATGTGCTTGGTTTGGAGCTTCGGTGCTTTATTGCCTTCTGTGATTTAAATTCGTGGGCACTAATTCAATACTGATTGAGAACGTAGTAGAAAAATGCGTAAGTTCGTCTGTGATATCTATAGGCAATGATGGTTCAATTGGTTGATCTTATAGGGCAATGAGGAAGTTGATAGACATTTTTACCTGATAGGTCATCTAAAGGAGTGCCAGAAGAATATATCATTAAATTGTCATGGCTCTCTTAAGTGCATAATAAAATGCTTTTGTCAGGCTCTTGAACCTATCGGATGCATCTGGAAAGTGAGTGTGTGGTTAAGACAAGGGTTGCTATAGTTTTTTTTTTGCTAAGCTTACATGCTTGGTTGATTGTAGTTTGTGATGGAATCAAAGTGCCCCTTTGAAGTTCCATTCACAACCATAATTTTGCATTCGGATGGAAATCTATCAGTCAAATTTGCTTGAGCTTGCTTATGTGTGTATATAGATCCCTTTTCTGGCCCGTGCTGATTGTCTAAATGGTGGTTGATTAAATCTGTTTTATGTGTGAATAAGGATCTTTCTGTCATAGTCCCATTAGGCGTAGGGATGGATATCGCTTGATTTGGAAAATAATACGGACTATTTGTGCACGTGGTACTGTACTATATTCCATATGAAATCAAATATAACCCAAGCAAGATGTTAGGTCTGGTTTAGTTCCCTATTTGGTTGCTCATTGTTACTTAAACTGCGGGATAAATATCTCTCTGCGGGGGAGTTCTTTCGGTGATGGTACGAGTACCATTGGCTTTGTCTTTTATCATGCAGTTTCTCTTACTGCCGAAAAATTCAAAAACTAAACGAAAGGATTTGGGTGACTTTGGCGGTATGATGACAAATGTGTCTTTTATGGCAGTCATTCCTGAAAATTATAATCTGCAATGGCATTTGTCTAGTGTGCACTTTATGTCTGCATGATATAAATTACTGGTTTCTAGTTTGTGTGGGAAATAGGGAGCAGCTCCCTATGAACGTCTCATTTGTAAGTAGAATTCAGGTTGCTGTTATAAAAATTTGTGATATATCTGAGGTCGTTGGCTAGCAAAAAAAGAAATAAAAAGGTTGGGTTTTTCGGTTTGCTGTAGATACCTATTGGTAGTTTTTTCAATTTAAAATTCAAATCGACAATTGTTTGGTTTGGTTGTGATAAATACTGTTGTTGCTGTGAGTTGCTACTTGGATGCCTTGTGAAATTCACACTTGCGGTTGGAGTAATGGGCATAGTGGGTATTACAGACTGGATGGAAGTAACAGCTGTGGACGTCAGTTTTTGCATTCCAAACTGAAAATCTCTCTGTTCTTTGGTCTTCTGTTTCCTTTTTCATTTTTTCACAAATAGAATGAAGAGCACCCCTTTATTGACTACCTAAACCAATCAATCAATGGCATTCTTTCATCTTTTTATGGAATTGCATTGAGATGGTCATCAAAACTTGTTGTAATTCATCAAAATAGGAACAGCAATCATCCCACTCATATTCGTCATATCATAATTAAAGACTTGACTATTTGCAAGGGTTCTTAGAAATTCATCAATTATGAAAAATTTTTACGCTTGAAGTTTAAAATCTTGTTGTGTTTACATTGGATCTATGAAACTCACATGTCATGGATTGTATTTGGAATGACCATAGATTCCCCAGTTCGGCATCCAGTATGACTGACTGCTCTATAACACCTACAAAGCAACTGGTGCTGCAGTTTAAGAGATTGGCTCTTAATATGCTTCTGTTCAATGAATCTCTAATTGATAGCCCTTGAGGGAATAGTTCTGGTACTACAATCTCTGGAGCGTGCGCATGGGGGTGTGCCCACGCATGAGTATCCCACTCCATTACTAACAGAAAATAACTGATGTAAACATGGCCAGTGGCATATCTTCTGTATAGTACATAGCTAAATCATAATAGGGTAGAAAGGTCCCTCGGCTTCTTTGCCCTTGATAGTGTCAACCAATCTTTCACGTTCTGCCTTTGTATTTTAACCTATATGGAATGCTGACATACACTTGCACTTGATCAGTTGTTCATTCTCCTCGTGACATTATTTTCTGTGTGGGAAGGGCTTCTCTTTTTGGTTAGGGTGCACGGAGAAAGAGTTAGTGGGTCGTTGAGCCCAGTGGCAGCTGAGTGTTTATGCAGTTAATAAAAATAATTTTTATAAAAACTTGATTGTAGGCTTTTCACCTTAATCGTTGTATGCTTAAGTTTCGTGGTTCTCTAGTAACTGCTTCACATAAATGCATAATAGTGGGTATTCATGATATGTGGTAACAACAAATGAATCAGTTTAAATTTTGAAGCAAAAGCATATTTTCATACTGAATTGCTAGCATATGTGCATTCCTGCAAGAAAATATTCAAAACATGTAGTAGATAAATTAAGCATTTTTGTTTGTGGTCTATTGACGGTCATCGGCTTAATATCCAATATCTACCTTGGTAAAAGATTTCTGTCTTCCCTTCTGGGTGAAAAATAGCACTGGTGATTATTTTGGATCAATTGGCATTTTAAGGCATGCTGGAAATACGAACATGGCTGTTGGTTAAGTTTCATAAGAATGGTTTCTAGGGATGGAACAGAACTTGAATGAACATGTGACTTAGTATCTTGAAATTCTGGTCCAGTTGATTGGTCTGATGAAATATGAAAATTCCTTTCTTTTAGTATTCGATGAGGTTTCGCTGGGTATCTTGAGCAGACGATGACGTTTTTGTCCCATTCTGAAAGCATGAGATGGGCAACCTGTCATGCCCATAGAAAGGCAGTCATTGAGACATTGTAATTATAAGAGCAATTTTGGTACTCTTGACAGTTCATCTTCACCGTTGAGAGAACAATAATCTTGTGGGGTATCTAAGGTTATTTTATTCTCCTCCCTTTATTTTGATATCTCTTCAAACTTCAAAGGAGAAGAGGAATAACCGTGATAGGAATTTGATAAAAATGCTGAATTCGGCACAATGATATTTTATTTGTCCGAAAAAAAGAATGTCTTTCTGAGCATCGGAAGGGATCAAAGTTTCCCTAGGTACATCTGAATGTCACATTTGTTTTTTTATATCTGCAGATGTTCAGCGCAATCTTTTTTGTTAAAAAATTGTCTATTTCTGGATACTGTCTCAAATTGGTCATGCTATGTAGTGAAAACTTAGGTGTTCTAGGTTCGTCTTGGCAATGTCAACATTGTTGAGGTTTGACAATGTCGGCATCTTTGGTTCCGTACCTGACCTTTTCTCCTTTTGCAGGTTGCAGAGAGGGCTCTTTTCTTATGGAACAACGATCACATTGAGAATCTAATAAAGCAAAATCGCAAAGTGATACTGCCGATTATTTTCCCTGCCTTGGAAAGGAACGCTAGAAGCCACTGGAATCAAGCAGTACAGAGCTTGACTCTGAATGTGCGCAAGATCTACTCTGATGTTGACCCAGAGCTCTTTGAGGAGTGTCTGGTCAAATTCCAGGAAGATGAGGTGCAAGAAAAGGACGTCAAGTTGCAGCGCGAAGCCACGTGGAAGCGACTAGAAGAAATCGCTGCAATGAAAGCTGCCAGTAATGAACCTGTGCTTGTGCCCCGCAGATTGGCACATGCACCTTCTGGCTAAAATGGTCCACGATCTCTTCAAAGTTTCCGATGCAAGCTATTTCTGATCCTTGTGCGAGCCCCCTCCGTTTGGTCCCTGCAGCTTAACGCATGGAATATTCCAGTGCTGTTGCTTAATGCATGGATTCAGCAGTTCACAGTCCTCCTCTACATGCAATTTTGGCCGTCACTTATGGCCGTCAGATGAGGTGCGCAAGATGCCTCATTTTGAGCTTTGTATGCAGTTGCTGTACATACCAAATTTGGGTGGCCAGGACAAACGGGCTCACATGTTTGTGTGGCGCACCGGTTAATAGTACTGGTAAGCTTGCTTCTTTTCCTCTCTTAAAGCTGTTATTAAAGATGGCGATAGATAGCGTGTCGGAGATGATTGCTTGTATGTTGTTAAATTTGGTTCATTGGAGATTGGTCGTTCTCCGCTCAATTTTATGCCTCCCTAAAGTTGTTGAGTTCGAGATGGGATTGTTGGTTGCTTCCATGTTTATGTATGAAGAAGCTTGGTTATTATTTTTGGTGACATTACACTCTTCTACATTGTGAGAAACATCTGATCAATTTAACTCTTGGCGATCAAGCTTTGGGCTAGCCCTTTTTAGGCGTGTGTCGCCGTATGAACACGGCAGGCGAAAAGGTTCACTTGCTCATCTGGTGATATGCATTTGTGCACGAGTCATACCTATATCTCTGCTTGGTTGATGCTTTGCCAGGCTCTATAACATTCGCGACACCCGATTGACGAAACTGAGTTCCTTTCCTTGCAAACTAATCTGTATATTGAGTGTTGAGTCGTTAAGCAGATTTAATCCTTTCAGGTACTTGTCATTCAAGAACATCTTTAAAGTACGCGATTGCCGTGATAGTTATTCATCTTATTGCTTGCCTTTTCTGGTTGTGTAATCTACATGATGGAATGTCTGTACATTTGAGCTGTTGATCAATCCGCGTCGGATATGCAGATTTTTCTTGTGCAACGCGCACTTGACATCCATCCCGGTTTCCATGTTCATACTGCCCGGGATTAACACGAACGCATTAAAGATAAAGCACGTTGGAGCATTTGGTTTTTGTCGATTTTCATCTTAATTTTTGCTCTTCTTGATTGTAGCTTAGCTATGATTTGTGGGGTAGGTAGAAGAGTAAGGCATTCAACATAATTCGTAATCGCATACTTGGTCTTGTCTTGTCTTAATCCATATAGTTTTGACAAATCAAACCTACTTCCATTTATATATAAACCCTGCTGCTGTATTGCTCCTGTCGATTTTGCATGTCCGCGAGATGATGTCACTAGAAAGTTGACAAAAACAAATACTAAACCCAAAGCTATGAATAGAAAACTATAGGGTGGTTCAATTATAGATGACCACCATAATTATATTTAGCTTAAATTAGTAATTTATCGGTCTGCCTACGACCCTATTGGCAAGAGTTTTGTGTCGTCGCGTCATACTCGACATGGGCGGCGTAGGCGGGTCATTTATCTCGATTTCGATTTGAATAAATTTGGAGCCCTTTGCACCATAGTCAATGATCTATTAAATGAATCAAGTTGCGTGGGAATTGAAATCTTGTTGATTATATGATCATGCAAATTGTGATTTGAGTTATATGATAAGATGTGCCATCCAATACATGTCATGCACTATGTAAAATCCTAGGACATGAAATAATAATTGGTTGATTTCCCAAACTGCCCTAGTACCAAAACCTAGATCTATGTGCACAGCCTTCATTATATTCCATATTCCAACTCAGCAATCCTTGTTATAAGAAAATTTTTTTATCACCAAATATACCCACTACCCTCTAATAAAATAATAAATTGTACACTTTAAAATAGTTGTATGGTCAGTACACATGCTCAACAAATACTTTAAAAGTATCCGTATTTAGTTATAATTAAAACCCAATGTCATTGGGCGACTCTAATTCGAATAAAGGCGTCACCATAATAATGTCCTTGACATCATTTTAATGTATTCGGATCGAAATATATTTCATTATATGAGTGCATTATCAAATTGCAAGTATCATAGATCTCTTCCAATTTTTGTTGTCTCTAAATCGATGTAACTTAAACACTGATTAACTGATCTCAAACTCAAAATTTACCGTAGCTGTAAAAAGAGACGGAAATTACGGAAAAACCCATCACCAGATCCTTGCCTTCTCATCACCATCCGTATCTGGCACAGATTGGAATCCCACAATAGCCCCAACAATTATAAATTAATTCAACAATAAAATAAAGAGAAAAAAGGCGTGAATTCGAAAAAGCCTGAAATAAAAAAAGAAAAACGAAAAAGGAAACCCAGCTTCAAGTTTCATCCGCTTTCATGTCATGCCATCATGTGATGAGGGTTACCCATCATCACCCTCACCACCATTTCCATCATCTTCCTCGTCTCCAATCTCTCTCCATCCCTCGCATCTGCATCTCCCTCTCTGATTTCTCAGATTCATTCGATCGGGCCTGCAAATCGCGGGGAACCCCAACCTGGGTGCGCTTCTTCTTCCCCCCGCGGCTTCGAATCCGCATCAAAATGTGATCTTTGATCGTTCTTGAGCATACCCACCAATCGATCGCGCCTCTGCAATCCTCTTTCCCGGCGAAAAATTCATTCGGTTTTGGGGGAGAGATCGAACGGGGTAGAGGGAGAGAGAGAGAGAGATTGGAAGGAGGTGGGAGATGCCGAGTGTGACTGTGAAGCTCTACAGCGTCTTCTTCAAGCTGCTCCTGAAGCACCGGCTGCAGAACCGGATTCAGTCCCGGCCCGACGATTCCGACCCGTTCGGCGTCACCTCCCGCCCCGAGGAGTCCGTCGCCGCCGTTAACCCCTCCTTCGCCGACGGCGTCGCCACCAAGGACATCCACATCGACCCCTTCACCTCCCTCTCCGTCCGCATCTTCCTCCCCGAGTCCGCCCTCTCCCCGCCCGAGCCCGTCCCCAAGTCCCAGCCCACCCGGCCCAGGGCTCGGATCCCGCCCCCCAAGGGCGCCGATCCCAACGGCAATTCGCAGGGTAATCAGCCTCGTCGCCGCCACAGCCACGGCACCCCGACCGCGGCGGCGAGGGATGATCCCGGGAAGCCCGCCGGTTTCGAGGAGGGCTCGCGGTTGAGCCTCGGGCGGCGCAACAGCTTCGGATCCTCCGCGACGCACCCGCGCAATGCCAAGCAGAACGGTAATCATTTTACCGGGTTCGGTAACGAGGCGGAGAGCTTGAATTTGAGATCGTCTGATGGCGGTGGTTTGCCGTACAGAGGGTATGCGCCCTTGATTGGCAATGCGAGGAAATTGCCAGTGATGTTGCAGTTTCATGGTGGAGGTTGGGTGAGCGGCTCGAATGATTCGGTGGTGAATGATGTCTTCTGTCGGAGGATGGCGAAGTTGTGTGATGTGATTGTTGTCGCGGTCGGGTATCGGCTTGCGCCAGAAAATAAGTACCCGGCTGCATTCGAGGATGGGATGAAGGTATTGAATTGGTTGGCAAAGCAGGCTAATTTGGCAGAATGTAGTAAATCTATGGGTAGTTCACGAGGAGTTACCACCGAGTCTAAGAAATCTGACCTTCACAGGCATATTGTTGATACTTTTGGGGCACAGATGGTTGAGCCCTGGTTGGCAGCTCATGGAGATCCCTCCAGGTCACGTTTTTTATCCTGTTCCTTTTTTCAGTTTGTGAATTTGAGTCTGTGTATCAATTATCTAGACAGCATGATACACTGTTTATCTATCTTGAGGGTAATATGGTACTGCTTCTTTTGCATATATATAGGGATCTGATTTGATGCATTCCAGGGGCTTTATTTTTAAGTAACTGGTGAATGCAAAGAAAAAAGAATGTAAAAGTTTGGTGATGTAGTGAAGAAGTAGGATGCAGATGATATTGAAGAAAGAAAGCCAGTACCATAATACCGTCGCTATGCCAAAACCATATATATCCTTTTTCCCTTGAGGAACTTTGTAGACTTGATATTGTGACTATGACTCACTTTTGGAATGAACTAACTTTAAAAAATTGACTCCAGCTTCTTACCTGGAGTGATTCCTAGTTATTACGGTGAACATGGAATATTGTAGATCGGGGAAGGACATTATTTTCCACTAAAATCCGAAGACTCCATTTTCTGTAGTCGAAGTGTTTATTGCAATAGGGCTTACTAGCTTTCTATTCACTACCTCTGTGCAAGGACGGACAAGAAACTTATATCTGGCTCCAATTTGCTTGATTTAGAGGAAATTTCCCATTTATATTGTGAATTTCAATTGCAAGTCATTTTGCATAGAGCTGCTGTTTTAGATAGTTGAATAGATTTATAGATGTACAAAGACATTTTGATGGTTGTTGATTGGCGAGGTGGCAACTGCAACTAAAAGCCCCATGAGCCTCTCCTTAATCAAAGCGTCATTCTTAAGCTAGTGAATTGCAAAGGTGAATTTAATTGCTAGTTGGAAAGTTGATATCGGTGCGTTCTTCTCTGAATCTGCAAGATTGGCCTTTAGTGTCCGTTGCACTACTAGGAGGTTTACTTACCTTTTCCCCCTTCTTTTTGCTTGAAGTTTGCAAGCTTGGAGCAGCTATAAAAAGTTCTCTTACCTGATTTATGGGCTGAACTCCCATGTTCTGATATCCTTGGGCAGATTTCTGAATTCCTGTGTGTCTTCATGAATCTTTGGATGTTTAATATCTCAAGATCTGCTTTACTGGTGTTAAGGCCGAACTTGCATGGGAGTTTAACTCCCGCTACAGTGGTTGGGTTCTGCAGCAAAACCTTTCTTTCTCCTTCTCTGCAACACTACTTTCTAGGTTAATGATGTCTTTGATGCATCTCTTAGAATTTGGATCTGTTGGAGATGCCAGTTAGCATATGTTTCATGGAGTATGATCCTAGAAATGTTGGATATAGATGAGGTCTTCTTTGATTTTATAATGTTAAATCTTGATAAACTATCTTAGTTTGTTAATAGAGTCATGAGATGCATTTGAAGATATATGGAGGTTTGAAGTAGTTTTTCCCCTTTTGGCGCTTCTCATTTTTCACACAGCATGGCATAGGGGCGTACATGAATGTTGCTAATAGAACCTTGCACTATTGGTAACTTGGTCTTACTACACCAGGCTGAAGCATCCACTTGTAGGCACACAAATAATGCAGCATGTATTTGCTGCTTCACTTTGTATTTTAAGAGAATAAGATTCCTATCGTAGTTTTGCTGATTTTTAATTCTTATAATCCCTCATTATATTCGCGATGACAATATTTGTAGTGGAATGCTTCGAAATGTCCAACTCGCAGAATGGATTGGCAGTTGGCACCCTTCAATGTCATTAAAATGGAATTTCTTGCTCATCGTATCAAGTACATACACCTTAGCTTTTGCTAACTTAACAAAAACTTCTAGTATGAATTCAGCCATGCTGTGTTGTGTACAGTTATGTCTATATTTGAAGTTAAGCAGAATAAGACATGATTGGGTCCACTTGAGTTTTTCCCTTTCGCATGGCTTGCTATATGGTCACACAGATGTTTTTTTTCATTTTTTTATGTCGTCTTTGATTTCCCTCACCCCAGTGGATTACGATGATCCAATCTTTCTTCCTCTTTTTTCTCATGTTGAATTAAAGCATTTGCAACAACAAATGTTGCATTTTACGAGGATGTTGTCCTATTTTTATGAGATGTGGCTTTTGCCTGTGGATGGCTTATGATATCTTTCGATGAAATGTAGATGACCAATTGTAACACTTATAGGCCGTTGAATTGCAAAATCTATAGCTGTAGTTAAAATTCAGAGATGGTGGCTTTTACATATTTATGATTCGGACATTTTTATGAGGAGTACATTTTTTATAATATTTGTTATAGATTGACCCTCCTTGCAAGTGAGGCGAACCCTCCTTTGGAGCATGTTTTGGTTTGCGCATCAAGAACTCTAAATCTTTTTTTCCATGTCATTGCAACAGATGTGTTCTCCTGGGCGTGAGTTGTGGTGCAAACATTGCGGACTATGTGGCACGGAAAGCTGTCGAGGCAGGCAGACTATTGGATCCTGTTAAGGTTGTCGCTCAGGTTCTCTTGTATCCATTTTTCATGGGAAGTGTGCCTACGCATTCTGAGATAAAGCTAGCAAATTCGTATTTCTACGACAAAGATACGTGCCTACTTGCCTGGAAACTCTTCTTACCCGAAGAAGAGTTCAGCCTGGACCATCCTGCTGCAAACCCACTCATCTCTGGCCGAGGGCCACCCTTAAAGCTCATGCCTCCAACACTCACAGTGGTGGCAGAACACGACTGGATGAGAGATAGAGCCATTGCTTACTCAGAGGAACTCCGTAAGGTGAACGTTGATGCTCCTGTTTATGACTATAAGGATGCGGTTCATGAATTCGCGACGCTTGATATGCTTATCAAGGCCCCCCAGGCTCAGGCTTGTGCAGAAGACATTGCTATCTGGGTCAAGAAGTACATCTCATTCAGGGGACACGAGTTTTCATACTAGGCAGGAGATACCAACTGGAATGACTTGGAACTGGAGGTTCCACTCTTGGCAGTATTGCTTGGGATGGCTGAAATAGCGAGTCCTTCTTGCTGCCACTACCTCTGAATTTTGACACAGCAGTCAGGATGACGGCTCATCGATTTTAATACTCAAGCCATATCGGGTTTATTTGTGAGAAATATGTAACGAGAGATTAGGATAGATTTGGGCGTGAGATGCATTTGCTCCTGATATAGCTTATATGCCTGATCAGAACATTGTCTTCGGCATCTTTTTTTTCTTCCTGTGAATTAAGATGAACAATGCTTCAATGAATTCAGTTGGTACAATTAAGTACCCTCTACAATTCCTTTCCATCAACTCTCTATCTGCTGGTATTTCAACCTGACAGATTCATCTCTACTTGTCAAGGACTAAGGTGAAATCTGAGTTCGATCCACTGTCAAATGCAAGATGCTCAAAATGTTTGATATAAAATTGTTGCCACATCTGTTAGGCATATAGACCCTGTTCATACAATAGTGTTTTCTTGTTAACCTATCTGATGTCGGGCCGCACTTACCTTGGCAAAAGGACATTCAGCCACTTTATTGTTCCACTTGGTCATGAAACATCATTTTACCTAGGAACCGTGAAGTTGGTTGGCGGTGGCACTTCATAGCACCATTTCAGGGGTAAGTCTTTCCTGCTAAACCTGTCCTACACACTACCACTCTTCTCTCGCATTTGGTTTTGCTTAGTGGTCCTCGCTGGTTAAGTTGTGATTTAAACAATGAGATGCTAGAGGTTGGTCAATCCGAAAAAAAATTTCCGGTCTCTTGAATGAGAAAGAATCAGAACTACTTTCGATTTAGTCAGTGAAGAATTAATGATCTTACGCTCCCTTATGACAAAAAGATCCTTGCCATAAACCTCGTGACAAAAATAGAAGGAATATACCAAGCCTACAACGAAATCTTGAACCATAAAAAAGCCAGCACTAGATGTGTTGGCTTCTAATCCTAAGGTTGATGGCTCTGGAAGCCATGGCTCTTAAGTTTGCTCTGGCCGAGGATAGTGAAGTTCCGGAACTCTCATTAATTCCCCGGAAAGCCTCCATGAACTCTTCTCTCTGCAACCTCAGAGCAAATGCAGCATCCTCATCCTGGCTCGGCAATCCTCTTCTCCTCCCTGCATTCGCGTCTCTGCTCGATGCAACTGATGATCGAAGACTCCTGCGCGAATGGTTGTAACTCTCTCTTCTTTCCGGTTTCTGAGATTCACGTTCTCGAGTTTCTGCTCCCCCGGATTTGGTGGCCTTCCTCGTTTCAATCTCCTTCGGGAACAGAAGCTGTATTGTGTTCCACAGGACTGTGTTCACAGTGCAGGATCTTCCATTGCTGCAAAATCCAGAAACAATGTGTAAGAGTGACAAACTGTCCGAATCCATAGGTGAGCACCATCAGCCACTCTTTGGGGTTTAAGTTGGGTGATTTTAGTTTCAATTCATTCCCGACGAGCAAAACGAAAAGCAGGTCGGCATTTATATTATCATATTGATAAAATCTAGTCAAATAGTCTCTCTAGAGATTAGGGGTTAGCGGTTCTAGGTTCTATACAGATTTTATCTAGAACTTGGAACCTACCCGTTGGAACAGGTTCCTTATGTTTTGGAATCCGGAACCTGGTTCTAAGGTCTACTTAGGTTCTACCTATATTATTAATTGAACGATTGCAGTGAATCATCACCTTTAATGACCACTACTTGCTTCTACAATCCACTAATCACAATTTGTATTTAGACACACGAAGAATATAAAACATTAACAAAGTAAAAGTTCCGGTCATAAAATGGAAGCTCAGACTAATGATTTCAGATTATGCACTTATTATCAGACGCCATGAAATATTGCAGGATCGCGCGAAGACATAGACCAAGAAAAATACAAAAAACTTGTTACAGGTTCCAGATTCTAGGTAGTACCTACCCGTTGAAACAGGTTCCCCAATTTTTGGAACCTGGAACCTACCTTACTATGCGTACCTTGGAACCCGAGAACCGGACCCGTGGAAATTTATCCGGTTCCAAGTTGCAGGTTCTACCCAGGACCCATGCTCACACCCCTACTGTAGATGTGGTTTCATTACCTGATTATCTGCCTGCACTTTGGGCATCGCTTCCCGCATTTGTCCGCAGCAGATTGAAGACATTTCTTGCAAAAACTACAGTAAAATATGAAGCATTCACTTAGCAGCTGTTCATCCACCAAATGAAAATAATTAAGCTGAAGATACAAGCATTGTGAGCAAGCATTCTAAGCGAGTGGTTGAAGGCTACTGCTTTGTTTACCTGTGACCACAAGACGTCGTACTGGGTTCAAAGCAAACTTCCAGACAGATCTGCAAAATCAAGAACCACCTACTTAACACAAACAATTTCAGAATTCCCAACTTGCACAATTAAGCAAAAGAGAAACTTGATTTCCACAGAAAACATGAGAACGAAAGAATCAGGTTACTTACTGCACATGAAAGTTCTTCCCTGAGTCGGTCCAAGCACGGAATGGCCAGACTCGGGTCACAGGATCCCGGCTCGGGTATTTCGCCTTTCTCTTCGTCTTTTGCGGCTTCTTTCACTAGGGTCTTATTGTCCTTCCTCTCTGTCAATAAGGTTGATTCAAAAAATAATGTTTCATGAGGTTCAAATGAAAATGGAAAATTTCAGTCTTTCCAATCAATCAATATGAGAAATATGACACGATATGATACCGGTAGCTTTAGTTTCTTCATCATCCAGATTAAGAATGGTCGCGGGCAATGGAGCAGGACTCTTCCTCTGATCCCTTCGTTTCCTGAAACATAAAGATCAGCATCCCAGGATCTGTCTGTTTGGATCGATCGAACAAGAAAGAGAATTAAAAAAGCCAAAAGAAAGGAAAAGAAGTCGTCGTCCAATACCTTCTCGAATTCGAAGGGGGAGTCTTGAAATTCAGATCCGATCGCTTCTTCTGCTTGAACTCGCGAACCGGCGTGTCGTCCACGATGAGGCTCGCGATCACGAGTGTCTCCTCATCCCAACCTGCCATGGCGGCCGCCGACTTGAGCCTCGGGCTGAACAAGGTCTCCTCCTTCGAGCCATCTCGCCCCCTATCTGGATGCGCCCGCGAGTTCTTCGGGTCCTTGGGGCTTTGCTTTGGCACCTCCATCGCCATTTCTTGCGAGGGTTCCCTACTTTGTGAGAAAGAATTCGCTTCAAGATCGAGCAGCAAGAGGGCGAAATGGAGATGGGGAGGCGATCTTGCGTTCTGATTATTTGGTCGCAGGGCGATCTCTCTGCCGGACTCCAACGGTCGGATGTCACATTTAAAAAATGGTTTCCTCCAACGGCTATAATTGTGGGGATGGTATACAATATTTACAACTGTAAATGCGGGGGGGAGATATTAGAGAAACTTTTCGCCGAAACAAAAGTTATAGTTATATCTTAGCTATAGAAAAAATTATAAAACTAAAAAAAATTTTATTTCCAAAAATTTAAAATATCCGACATTTCATAAATAGCTGATTGCAATATGTAAACACTAGTCGTGCCAACCAAAAATCGAGTGAATGGTCATAATACGAATTTTTTAATATGTTTTAGGACCAAATATGAAATTCTTAGTAACTATGTAAAATCACATGTATAATTGAACCACATGTATAACTGAAGGCAAGCGCCTGCCTACACAAGATGGTATTAACAACCTCTGTCACTGAATTTTTTATTGCTCATTATCTACAAATCTAAATCACAGAACCAACTCTAACGAGTACTTTACACAACGTCAAGGAGCAAAAACACACCGTGGCACCAAAATCCACCAAAAATTGAGAAAGATAGAACCCAAAAGAAAACCACCAAAATTCAGTGTCTCCGCCCCGCCCCGCTCATCCCACTTCCTCCTGCCACGGCAACAGCCGCGTCCGCGGGTCGGCAAACACCTGCAGCACCCGATCCCTGAGGCCCGTGTCCTCGACTTCGCAGAACCGGCTCGGCCAGTCCGGGGGCTCCACGGCCTTGGTCCCGAGGCCCGGGGCTCGGTCCTTGGACCCCACGTTCTGCTCCGAGTTCCAGTCCGCGACGTACGTGGCCACCCGCCGGTAGAACTTCTCCTTGAACACTTCCCAGACTTGGTACTTGTAGTGGTTGATCACCATCACCCCGCGGTCCATGTTCGCGAAGGTGAACCCGCTCCTCAGGTGGAAATGGTGCACCACGTTGATGAGCGTGGAGTTCAGCGCCTCGGGCCTGACTATGCTCTTGTGCCGCTCCGGGGCCGCCATCCTGCAGGTGTACCCCGCCGTGACCCCTTGCCTCGGCACGTGCTTGAGCCCCGATGGACCGAAGCTGTGGCACGAGACCCTCAGTTCGGCCACGTTACTGGGCCTCGACTCGTTCCTCAGGATGTCGTCCAGGAACAGACCTGTGGGCAGGTGAAAGAACTCGTCCACGTCGATGAACCCGACCCACTCGCACGCGTCCCGTGCCCGCATCGCGCAATGGGCGAACCCGGCTTCCTGCGTCTTGATCCACGGCCACACGTGCCTCGAGATGTTGTAATTGGCGTAGGCAAGGGACTCGATCACGTCGTCTGTGTCGTCCTCGCTGTTATTGTCGTAGATGAACCAGCGCTGCACTCCAATCCGGGCATGGTAAACGACCCATTCCCTGATGAACCGGGCCTGGTTCCTCACCATCGTGCAAATGCACATGTTGTGGAGCTTCCTGGCCGGCGGCTTGAGCGCAGCCCGATGGCCCGGCCGGGCTATGGAGCGCAACGTCCGCCCGCCCTTTACCCTGATCGAGACCTTGACGGAGGCGTCGTTCCTCTCCGGACTACTCAAGACACTCATGGGAGTTTTACACCGCACAATCTCCTGCGCGATCGACTCGACATCGGATCGCAACAGGAACCTCGGCTTCCTGAAATCCCAGCCGTAGACACACTCGAACCTCGACGCGTTGGAGACCCTCTCGGGCCGGAGATTGAGGCCCTTCACGAAAACGATCGTGGTGTTATCACGGTCGATCACGGCCTCATACACCAGTGAGTCCCACCTATGGCTCGGCCCGGGCGGGACGTGTTCATCGGACTCGAATGCGAGAGACACCAAGGACCCGTTCTCGGCAAGCGGGCACCGCACGATCTGCTCGCCGGAATCATCGCTGTCCACGCCAGCCGGCGGCTGCTTGAGCCGCAGCTTTGCCGAGTCTGAGGCCGCCACGTAGACGCAGTGAATGTCCTCCCTCGTAAATAAGCGAGACGACGGAGGGTACTTGAGGAAAATCACCGCCTGGTCGGGGAATATGACCGTTTCCCTTATCGAAACCGACGGAGCGGGTTCCGAGTCGCCGGAGACGGCTCTCATCGCCGGAATCCGCCATGAGGGGACTACCACCGGTTGAAAAGTTTCTGCACAAGCATCAACTTACGAAATCAACAGATAAACTTTTAATTGAAAAAATATTTTTATAATAAAAGCGCCGTGAGAATCGATTACGCAACAGAAAATCGCGCAACGCCTCAATTTGCAGGGGAGTTCTTGTTGCGCAAAATCCGCCGCCCAAGAACGGGGAAACGGAAACAGCAAGTTTGGTTTTTCAGCTCGTTATCATCTTTAGTCGACGATCATAAGAAAGGAAGAACGAAACTCTCTCTGCTTTTGCGTTCTGGAGGCAATTCGAACCATCGATTCAAGAAGCAGAACGAAAAAGAAACCGAGACTTGCTAGAATTTGACCAACGAATTCATGCACGAAAACAGAGTATGGAATTCATTCAAGCACAAGAAATGCCACGCCAAATGAAATTACGACTGGCGAAATCGATCAACAATCAGAGCTCGTAACGCAAGTTCTTAAATTTTTTGCCCCCACGTAGATGGTGAGCGTCGATTCTGGTGGGGGGGGGGGAGGAGGAACGACGAACATTAAGGAACGACGAAATGAAAAACAGAGAGAGAGAGAGTGGGTAACCTCCGAAGGAGAGGCGAAGGGTGGAGAAGGTGAAGACGGTGAAGAGAACGCAAGAGAGGACAGCGAAGACGGTGCACCAGAAGAACCTGCTCCACGAGACGTCGCCGCCGCCGCCGCCGCCCCCTCTCCGACGGTCCCTCGCCGCCATGGAAACCGCTTCTGCCGCCTCCGCTCACGAGCGCACCAAGAAGACCTCCCCGTCTCCGTTCTCATTCATGAAAGCGCCTTTAAAAAAATCCCACCTATCTTCTTCTTCTTCCTTCCTCCTCTTCCTCCACTTCTTCTTGTCACCCCCCTTTTTTTTCGTCTAACTTCCCACTCGAGAACTTCCACGAAAATCTTGGCTTCCGAGGGGAGAGAAAATCGGGACTCGAGATCGAGGGAGTGGGCAGGACGAGGAGAGGAGAGAAGGGGGGGGAAGGATCTGGTGTCTCCACCGTTCATGTCGGTTTACATGCGGTCGTTAACTCGTCATCATGGGTGGGGTGGTCGCTTTCGTTGCGTCTGCAGCGACGGGGACCCGTCCCCCCCCCCAATGGCGTCGCGCCACCGGAGCGCCGGCTGATGGGGACAGCATCGTCAATTTCCACACGAGCTCATTTCGCGAATTTAGCGTACGCAAATCAACATCCGTATGGGATCGTGTATGGTTATGATAGTTTTGGTGCTAAAGCCTATGCAATACATTTCTCTCGTTTTCCACTAGGTTTTTTGGTGTCTCCCACCCACTCTGTAGTCGTGACTCGACCGTTCCAGATCGAGAGACTATTTCGGGGGTCATTATACTTTTATAGAAAGTGTCGAGATGCGTGAAAACATTGAAAAGTCTGTTTTTATAGGACGGCCGAAAGGTTGATGCGGGACTTTACGGAGGAGCGAGCGAGGGAGTTAGCACCGGACCTTGCTACCATGAAGAGGCCGTTCGAGGAACAACAAAATAAGACGATGAATTACATAGCAAGACACATTTCTGATCTGATCACGTCGATGGTCGTCAATGCGATCAAGGATGTCATCTTCAAGGTCAGGACATTCAATCAGTCTATATCGATCCGACCGAACACGGCGGCTTCCGGGTATGTTCTCTCCAACTCTTAATCAATTGAACGGCAAAAATAATTTAAGCAAAGTAAAGTGATCCCACCACTGGTAAAGATTTTACAAAGGCCTGAAAGTCCTATCTACCTTGAATTTAGGGGGTAGGAAAGGTGTCAACTGGCGAATACTAATCAAGTGGCTGAACTCGTATTACAACAATTAGGTGTCGACATAGGAATGGTCAGGCCAGTATATTGGTTAACACTATACCTTATCCAAGAAAATTCAAAACTTCTGACTTTACTGTTTTCACTGGCGAAGATGATCAATCGACGTAAAGCACATTGGTTGATTTATCATCCAATGTGGAGATGTGGGAAGAAATGAATTCCTATAATTTAGGTTGTTCTCTTTGTCTTTATCAAAAACCGCTTTTACTTGATATATGAATTTATTTTTTAATTCAATCCATACTTGGACTGAGATGGAAAGACAATTTTATTCTGAATTTTATAGAACGATACCTGAAGTACCGATTGCTGATTTGCCATAATTTATCGATATGATAATGAATCAATCGATCAATTTGTTGCTCGATTCAAGAGGGTTAGGAATAGACAGATTAATTCACTCTCAGAGAAGAATTCACAAATTTGACTTTCAGTGGATTAAATCTCAATCTTAGAGAAAAGTTCAAAGGCCAAAATTTTGCCAATTTATTCAAATTAGCAACGAGAGTGTATAAGTGTGAGCAATTACTTAAGGACAGAGATAGAGGGCTATGACTTTTGTGGAAGAATATGAGCCGTATGATGAAACTCTTGATTATCTAACTAAAAAGATTGAATGATCGACGAATCATTTAGTTATTTTAAATGGGGCATTTGTTTGCACCAAAAAATGACCAATTTTTGTTTATCATCGACATGTGATAGACTTAGTCGATAAGAGGAGAGTTTGGTCATTTATGAATAGAATTATTGAGGAATCGACAAAAAGTAGAGTCGACAATGTCGGATGCAACCGTCGAAGAAGCAAGCGTCAACGTAGTGGAATAAAATAACCATCAAGATTATGGAGTTGAAGAAATCGTCAAGGTAGTGGAGTGAATGTAACTGTTCACTAACCGTTTGTAACCTTGATTTGTAACATATATTGATAATCGTCGATTGTAAGCTTTAAATAGCCACATTGTACTCTTCGGAGGCCCTCCGCGCATGAACAAACATATTATCTTTCAAATCCTGCATGGTAGTTATACTTTCCAAACTCGCATCGTTAATTAAATTCGGGCCTGTTTCCAAATTCGAGTCGTTAATTAAATTTCAGTGTGTATCTTTACTGTATATCTTGGGTATTTGTTGTCGTTGGCATTGCATCTTGCGTTCTCATGTTTTTGTCGGCGATTAAATCCCGGCATAATTTTGTTCATTTAATTCTGTTTGAAGTAATTACATTATCAAGTTTTGTCGTCAATTAAATTATAGCACAATTTGGGTACTTAGTGAAGTTATTGATTCACTTTTTTACTTGTGATGTTTCCTATTTCGAATCGCAACAAAACATCTCCTATAATAAAATCGAAGAACGAATTTCTGTGAAAAATATTTGTTGCGGAGTCAAATTTTGGCGAAACACAAGTACATAGAAGATTAATTACCGCAAATTAGGCAGCAGAAAATGGAAAATTTTTTCGACATACAAAGTGTTGTAAAGCGTAAAATTGAAATATTTTTCCTCCAATAGTTAAGAGCGATCACCACACTTTGCCACTAATTAACACAAATTAAAAAGAATATATATTTAAAGAGTATGCATGCGGTACAAAAATTTAACTATGCAAATCAATTATTTTATTTTCTCATCAATAAAATGTAAGATCATTATAATATGTCGAACGCATAGTATGTTTCATTTAAATATGAATTGCTTAAAGTCGTCACTAGGTTCGAAACAAGGAAAGGAAAAAAAGTCGTCACTAGGAAAATTCAACGGAGGTGGAAAAAATTTGATTTTAAATCTAAATCGATCATCTCATCGAAGACGTCATATCTCCACGAGGGTGGAACCCACGGAAGCGTGCTTTTCTCCGAATTCACGAAAACAATAATTTAAAAAATTGAACGAGAAATCTCGATCTAGTTATCACTAATGAAGGGGTCAATTTCAATAGAAACAGCTGGCACCTGATAATATGTGCATGTTTGGCCGTGGGAGATCAAACTCATTAGTCGCGTTCGTTCATCATTGGAGCACTTTCGGTTGCGCTACATCTTTTTTAAGGGGTTACGGTAAAATTGAAAGGTGCACTCATTTCGTAAAAAATAAATAATTAAAAAAATTTCTTAATAATGATCGCTTCTATCGTTTACAAAAATGAATGAATAAAAATTATTTTTATCGTTCACGAAAATATTTAAATATAAATTATTATCGATAATGACAATATTTTGCATTGATTAATTATTCCAAATGATACAAGTGATTTAGGAAAAAAATTTTCCAAACCATTTATTTTCCGCGAAACAAAAAAATCCTTATTTATCTAATTATTAGCTAACTCACACGTACATACAGGCACATATATATATACACACACAAATACGTAGTTGTGGCAAAGAATGAGCATAATTTCATAATATGTTTTGGATTATTTTAGAAAAAGAAAAAAATTGTTTAAGACCGAGAAAAGATTATTTAAGTTCACGATCTTGAGATAACATCCTTGGTATGCTTATCCTTTTAGATCAACACTTTATCCGTTATTTGTAATTAGTTGTTATTATCGTTCTTTTTACTTGATATGAATATTATTTGAATTTTTCAATATAAATTTGAGAATGGAAAATTACTTCGATTACGACCCGTGATGATTAGTGGAGATACCGAGAGAGTTGGGATTTTTATATTACTTTAATCACTATATTTACGGAAATAAAAAGCTCACTTTCAAATAACTATTTCGAATCTTTAAACATACTCTCTCTCACTATTAAAACATACTTTTAGTTCCTTTCTCTTTATATGCACCTAAGTGTGTTAATCTGCTAGTGATTAGCAAGCTTTTATCAAGAGAGCTGCTTATCTTCTTCAAGATGGATACATGTCACCTTATATATCTACACCAAATTTATTCCAATAATCTTTAAAAAAAAATAAAGATTGCATTATTTCCCAGAGTTTTATCGACGTCAATATGGTGCGGTTGGCCGCGTTTTCTTTTCCATTGATGAACACTGAAATCATCCCTTCTTTGCCAAATGATCTCTGAACTTTGGTTCAATGTGTAATATGGTCCTTGAATTTTTAATTTATTCAATGTGGTGCTTGAATTTTAACTCAATGTGCAATGTGGTCCTTGAACTTTGAATTTGTTCAATATGGTCACTGAACTTTTGATAAATATTTAATGTAGTCCCTGAACTATATGAAAATGTTCAATATAGTCCTTCAAAAGTTCAGGGACTACATTAAACCTGTATCAAAAGTTCAGGGGCCACATTACACATTAGGCTAAAGTTCATGGACCACATTGAATAAATTAAAAGTTTAAGGATCATATTGTACATTGGGCCAAAGTTCATGAGCTATTTGAGTCATTTTCCCTTGCCTTTTTTTATTCAGCCGCCTCTCTCGCACTTTCCACGAAAAGGGGAGAGACAAAAGAAAAAAAAAAGAAAAGCAAACCATCAAAGTCGAGTCAATGTATGATTTTCCCTAGACACATTTTTTATTCTCATAATGTTATTCTAAATGGAGTTTAGGACTGCCGAATTTCGTCAACAATGAAGCTACTTCTTTCTTTTTTCTTTATTCATCTTTCCTCCTTTCTTTATTCCGCTTTGACTTAATTGGAAGTTGTTTTCGGGTTCTTCTGTTCATGAACTTGTCGGGCCGAGAAAGAACCTGGGACGCTGGGTGTTGCCAGTTTCTCGATTCTGGAAGGCCAAGAAGAGGTGCCAACTGAGGCAGCAGCATTCATCTCCCCGCTCGTTTCACACTCATTCAAAGACAATTTGATGGCGCGTCGAGTTTGTCATTTAGTTTCCAAAGCCAAATGTCTTTCATCTGCCGTGGTTGCGAATGGTAAGGATCGCGATTGTCCTGATACAAATCTGCTTCATCCGCTCAGCCGAGATCGCGATGCATCGCTATCGTCGTCATCGTGCTTTGTTAAACTTACAGTCTACTATATGACAGAGTTTTTGGCCTTCGTTGGCGGTTTGTTCGAACTAAATCGACGATACCAGGAAGCACTCGAGATCATTTCAGGTCCCCATATGTCTCTTGTCATGTCCTTGCGTTGAACATGACGTGGGGTTCCATTCTCTAACCAGTAGTCATCATCTGTGTTCAAGTTTCAATAACTTAATTCCACATTGTCAATGGTTGGTGTTGAACCAAAACGCGGTGCCCAAATGGTCATCAATAATTTTGGGGTCATTGCCGTTTCTTTAATATGCTTTGACATTCAATCATCTTTCACCCCCCAGTTAGGAACATCCTAGTTTTTTAATGCCGTGGTGATCTGTCAGAATCTTTGGAAGACTATAAACGATTTCGCAAGCTCTGGCTTGATCTTTCGAACTCAGCTTGCTCGCGAACTTTCTTTTCTCGTTTGTGCAGTGCTTGAAGCATCGGACCCCGAAGAATGGGAAGGCAACCCTGTTGCGACAAGTACGGGCTGATGCGCGGTCCGTGGACAATCGAGGAAGACCATAAGCTCGTGAGCTTCATCATGAATAATGGCATCCATTGCTGGAAGACGGTTCCCAAACTCGCAGGTTAATTTAGTCTCTCCCCAATTTTTGTGAGAATCAGATCATCAAATAGACACTGATCGGATGGTGTGACGAGTTTTACAGGTTTGCTGAGATGTGGCAAAAGTTGCAGATTGAGGTGGATTAATTACTTGAGGCCTGATGTTAAGAGAGGCGGTTTCACTGAGGTGGAGGAAGATCAAATCATTCAACTTCATTCGCGTCTCGGTAACAGGTCACGAACATACGTCCTTCGAATTATGCTAGATATACAAAGAAAAATTCGTGATTTGAAATGAGTCCCTTTTTTAAATATGCACTGCACCTACCGTTGCATTGTCCAGCGAGCAAGTTCTCGTATTGTTGTTATCAAGTCCTGAAAAGGATTGGAACTTCCATTTTGCGGTTGCAGATGGTCCAAGATTGCTTCACATTTTCCGGGTCGCACCGACAATGAGATCAAGAACCATTGGAACACCAGAATCAAGAAGAAGCTGAAGCTCCTTGGGCTAGACCCAATGACCCACCAGCCAATTCAAGAAGATCAAAACAATGCACAAGAGATCGCAAGCGAGACGGACATGGACCTGAATCCAATTACAGAAGAAAGCTTGTACAGTGATGATAAACCCACAGCATTAGAGGCTGATCAAGACAAGCTGGAGGCTTTTCTAATGGAGGATGAGATCGGACTAACGATGTTCAAAGAAACTGCCGGCCTGCTGGAGAATTTCGAGTTGTTGTGCGGAAGCTTAAGTGAAGATCAGGAAGGGTCAAGGAGGAATCACCAAGGAATGAACACACCTGTTTCTCAGAGTTCATCAGCTTCTGTGGAAGATTATCATCCGCTTCAGCAACACCAGCAAAATCAGCAGCAACAATGGGTTGATAGTGTGGAGTCTGTAATGTCATGGGATGGGCTTGATTACTTAGAACAAGAGCTTTTCTTCTTGGAAAATGGAGAGTTTCTATGAACATACACAACACTTTGTTCTTTCTGTTATGTGAACTTGGTAATCACTCAAATAATTTTATCATGTCGTCGAAGATAGAGGGCCACATGAAAACTTTACACAAAATGTGTCTTTCGTAGAAAACTATGAGCCATATGACGAATTTGACCAAGATAAAATTCAGCAAGAAAAAACAAATTTGCCTATGACAAGGGTACGTAAATCATTTGATTCTTTTAGAAGGGGAATTTGTTTGCACAAAAAAATGACAAACTTTTTATTATTATCGACATGTGATACAATTAGTCGGTGAGAGCAGAGTTTGATCATTTATGAATAGAATTATCGATAACTTGAACAATTGACAACTGATGAATTGATAGAAGTGGAGTCGACAATCTCGGATGCAACCGTCGAAGAAGCAAACATCAACGTAGTGGAATAAAGCAACCATCTAGATGGTGGAGAAAAAAAACCGTCAAGGTAGTAGAGTCAATATAACCATTCAGTAACTGTTTGTAATCTTCCTTTGTATCATCCGTCGATAACCGTATGCTTTAAATAGCCACGTCATACTCTTGGAGGCTCCTCCCGCACAAACAAACAAACAAACATGCTATCTTTCACTTCTTGCACTGTAGTTATAGTTTCCAGACTCGCGTCATCGATTAAATTCCGACGTGTTTCTTAACTGTAGTCCACATTCACATCATCAATTAAATTCGGCATGTATTTTTTATGTATATTCTAGGTACCTTGTCGTATTTTGACATTGCATCTTTACGTTTTCAGGTTTGTCGTCGATTAAATATCGGCATAGTTTGTGTCCGTTTGAAGTGATTACATTCTCATGTTTTGTCGTAAATTAAATTGCAGCACAATTTGTGTACGTTTACTTCCATTTGAAGTGAAGTTATCGATTCTCTTGTCCACTCGCCACAGAACCTGTCCCCTCTAATAAAATTGAAGAATGACTTTCGATGAAAAATATTTTATTGCGCAATCAAATTCCGGCAAAATACAAGTAGGTGTGAGCATGGTTCTAACCCCATAACCTAAAAAGCTGGAACTTTTTGACTTCAAACTCGCATTGCTCAAGAAGTCAACTAAATTTTAAGAACCTGAAGTCGACATGTGGACAAACGATCGTAGTATGCTTAGGTGGATCATCCCTCTGTACCTCAATGACTGCTGAGTGAGTGGAGGTGGGATCATAGTTGAAATTTCAAATTGTTTTCTTCCGATTTCCTGCCAATTTGTTTTATATGCTCGATAGTTTGCCTATTTTTGTTTTTGATATATGTGAACCGAGCTAGACGTTAGTTGCAATGTTTATTAAAAGTTGTTCTTCTGGCTCAGAAAGAATGCTTGCATCATAATGGTGGAATGAGGGGTGTGTTATTATATGTCACATGCTTTCTCTAGGGCGTGATTGGGCAAAAGCAGCCTTGAAATTTCAATGACTTTCCAGTATGATAAACAATAGGATGACATAAGCTGACTCAAACAAGTGTCATTTGATAGGAAAATAATCAAAACTGTTATTTTTGTTGTCTCGAGTTCTTAAAGACCCTAATGCTTCCGAGGATGTTCTCAAGCTTTGTGCTAAAGCTTTGAAGAAGCTTGGGACAATCTTTCAAGTGAGTGTCATTTGCTTCAGGAAAAATTGTGCACTTGATTACAAGAAGACGTTTTCAGTCTTGATATATGGTTAAATTTGTCCCTTATTTCTCAGGGTGCTAAGTCTGCTTACAATAGAGAGAACAGCTTGCGACATGAGGATGGCGTCATAGCAGACAAAGCTTCAAAATCATAATGTTCTTTTTACCTAGCATCTTTGTTGTGTGTATTTATTTAATTTTTCTTGTAGTGGACATTCTTTAAGCCATCTGGTCATTGCATTTGTTTTCCAAGCATCGCCTTATGACGTGAAGAATGTCCACTACAAGAGAGAAGTTAAATAAATACACACAACAAAGATTCTAGATAAGAAGAACATTATGAATTTGAAACTTTGTCTGCTTTGATGTCACCCTCGTATCACAGGTTGTTCTCTCTACTCTAAGCAGACTTAGCACCTTGAGAAGTAAGGGACAAATTTAACCATATATCGAGACTGAAAACGTCTTCTTGTAATCAAGTGCACAATTTTTCTTGAAGTAAATGACACTCACTTGAAAGATTGTCCCAAGCTTCTTCAATGCTTTAGCACGAAACTTGAGTACATCCCCGGAAGCATTAGGGTCATTAAGAACCCGAGACAACAAAAATAACAGTTTAGATTATTTTCCTATCAAATGATACTTGTTTGAGTCAGTTTATGTCATTCTATTGTTTATCATATTGGAAAGGCATTGAAATTTCAAGGCAGCTTTTGCCCAATCATGCCCTAGCGAAAGCATGTGACATGTAATAACACACCCCTCATTCCACCACGATGCAAGGACTCTTTCTGAGTCAGAAGCCACAACTTTTAATAAACATTGCAACTCACGTCTAGCTCGGTTAATAAATATCATAAACAAAAATAGGCAAACTATCGAGCGTATAAAACAAATTGGCAGGAAATCGGAAGAAAATAATTTGAAATACTACTACTCGACTTTAGGTTCTTAAAATTTACTTGACTTCTTGAGCAATGCAAGTTTGAAGTCAAAAAGTTTCAGCTTTTCACATATCGTCAGTAATGATTAGCTGGCCACGAAAGTCATTCGAACTATCGATTCAAGAAACGGAACGAAGTAGAAACTGCGACTCGCTAGAATTTGACCCACGAATTCATACCCGAAAACAGAGCATCACTAGGTTACCACGAATTCATACCCGAAGTAGAAACGACCGTGGTGTTATCACGGTCAATCACGGCCTCATACACCAGCGAGCCCCACCGATGACTCGGCCTTGGTGGGACCTGTTCGTCGGACTCGAAGGCGAGAGACATCAAGGACCCGTTCTCAGCAAGCGGGCACCGCACGATCTGCTCGCGGGAATCATCGCTGTCCACGACAGCTGGCGGTTGCTTGAGCCACAGCTTGGCCGAGTCTGAGGCCGCCACGTAGATGCAGTGAATGTCCTCCCTCGTAAATAAGCGAGACGATGGAGGGTACTTGAGGAAAATCACCGCCTGGTACCGTTTCCCTTATCGAAACCAACGGAGCGGGCTCCGAGCCGCTGGAGACGGCTCTCATCGCCGGATTCCGCCACGAGGGGACTACCACCGGTTGAAAAGTTTCTGCACAAGCATCAACTTACGAAATCAACAGATAAACTTTTAATTTAAAAAATATATTTATAATAAAAACGCCGTGAGAATCGATTCCGAGGAACTTTTCAAATTAAAAAGATTATCCGCAACAGAAAATCGCGCAACGCCCTCAACTTGCAGGAGGAGTTCTTGTTGCGCAAAATCCGCCGCCCAAGAACAGGGGAAACGGAAACAGCAAGTTTGGTTTTTGAGCTCGTTATCATCTTCAGTCGGCGATCACAAGATAGGAAGGACGAAACTCTCTCTGCTTTTACGTTCTGGAGGCAATTCGAACCATCGATTCAAGAAGCAGAACGAAGTAGAAACTGAGAATTGCTATAATTTGACCCACGAATTCATGCACGAAAACAGAGCATCACACGGAATTCATTCAAGCACAAGAAATCCCACGCCAAATGAAATGACGACTGGCGAAATCGATCAACAATCAGAGCTCGTAATACAAGTTCTTAAATTTTTTTGCCCCCACGTCGATGGTGATCGTCGATTCTGGGGGGAAGTGATGAACATTAAGGAGCGACGAAATGAAAAACAGAGAGAGAGAGAGAGAGTGGGTAACCTCCGAAGGAGAGGCGAAGGGTGGAGAAGGTGAAGACAGTGAAGAGAACGCAAGAAAGGACGGCGAAGATGGTGCACCAGAAGAACCTGCTCCACGAGACGTCGCCGCCGCCCCTGCCGCCTGTCCGACGGTCCCTCGCCGCCATGGAAACCGCTTCTGCTGCCTCCCGCTCACGAGCACACCCGAAAGGACCCCCCGTCTCCGTTCTCATTCATGAAAGTACCATTAAAAATCCCACCTTTCTCCTTCTTCCTTCTCCCTCTTCTCAAATTGGCAACGAGAGTGTATAAGTGTGAGCAATTACTTAAGGATAGAGACAGAGGACTATGACTTTTGTGGAAGAATATGAGCCATACGGTGAATCTGACGAAGATAAAATTTGGCAAGAAAAAATCAAATTTGTTGACGACAATGGGACAGATAATAACTCTTGATTATTTAATTTAAAAGATCGAACGATCGATGAATCATTTAGTTATTTTAAAGGGGGTATTTGTTTGCACCAAAAAATGATCAATTTCTCTTTTATTATCGATTATGTGATAGATTTAGTCGATAACAGCAGAATTTGGATATTTATGAATCGAATTATCGACAGCCCGAAGGAATCGACAAAAAGTGGAGTTGACAATGTCGAATGCAACCGTCGAAGAAGCAATCGTCAACGTAGTGGAATAAAGTAACCATCAAGATTGTAGAGTCGAAGAAATCGTTAAGGTAGTAGAGTCAACATAACCATTCGGTAACCATTTGTAACCTCCATTATTGTAGGCTTTAAAATAGCCACATTGTACTCTCCGGAGACCCCCGTGCACAAACAAAAAAATATGTTATCTTTCAATTTCTGCATGGTAGTTATACTTTCTAGACTCGTGTTATCAATTAAATTCCGATGTGTTTTCAAATTCGCGTCGTTAATTAAATTCTGACGTGTATTTTTGATGTATGTCCTAGGTCTTTATTGTCGTCGATTAAATTCTGGCATAATTTGTATTCGTTTAATTCCATTTGAAGTAATTACACTCTCAAGTTTTGTCGTTGATTAAATTATAGCACAGTTTGGGTATGTAGTGAAGTTATTGATTCACTTGTCTACTTGTGATATTTCCCATCTGGAATCGCTACAAAACATCTCCTATAATAAAATTGAAAAACGACTTTATGTGAAAGATATTTTGTCGCGGAGTCAAATTTTGGCAAAACACAAATACGTAGAAGATCAGTTATCGCAAATTAGGTAGCAAAAATTTGAATAAATTTTCAACATACAAAGTGTTGTAAAGCGTAACATCGAAAAAATTTTCCTCCAATAGTTAAGAGTGATCGCCCCACTTTGCCAGTAATTAGCAAAAATTAAAACGAGAATATCTATAGAGTATGCATGCGGTACAAACATTTGACTATGCGAATCAATTATTTTATTTTCTCATCAATAAAATATAAGATCATTGTAATATGTCGAACACATGGATGTTTCATTTAAACGTGAATTGCTTAAAGTCTTCACTAGGCTCGAAACAAAAGAAAAAAAGTCGTCACTAGGAAAATTCAACAGAGGTGGAGAAATTTGATTTTAAATCCAAATCGATCATCTCATCGATGACGTCGTATCTCCACGAGGGTGGGACCCACAGAAGCGTTCTTTTCTCCAAATTCACGAAAATAATAATTAAAAAAATCGAACGAGGAGGAATCTCGATTTAATTATCACTAATGAAGGGGTCAATTTCTATGGAAACAGCTATATGTGCTTTTTGGGCCGTGGGACATCGAACTCATTAGTCGCATTCGTTCATCATTGGAGCACTTTCGATTGAGCTACAACATTCTTAACGGGTTATGATTAAACTTAAGGTACATTTATTTCGTGAAAATTCTTAACAATGATCGCTTTTACAATTTACGAAAATGAATGAATTGAAATTTTTTTTATCGTTCACGAAAATATTTAGATTTAAATTGTTATCGATAATGAAAACATTTTGCGTTGACTAATCACTCCAAACGGTACAAGTGATCATTTTAAAGAATATTTATTTTAAATAATTTATTTTCAGCGAAACAAACGGATCCTTATTTATCCAAGTGTACACACACACAAACACACAATCGTGGCAAATAATGAAAATAATTTCATAATATGTTTTGGATTATTTTAGAAAACGAAACTAAATTGTTTAAGACTGAGAAAAAATTATTTAAGTTCATGATCTTGAGATAACATCCTTGGTATGCTAATCCTCTTAAATCAACGCTTTATCTATCATTTGTAACGCGTTATTATGATCCTTTTTTTTGTTGCATACTTGATATGAACGTTACTGGAAATTTTCAATAAAAGTTTGAGGATGGAAAATTACTTCGATTACGACCCGTGATGATTAGCAGAGATACCGAGAGAGTTACCCATCGTCTTTAAGATGGGATTTTTATGTTACCTTAATTACTGTATTTAGCGGAAATAAAAATTCACTTCCAGATAACTATTTCGAATCTTGAAACATTTTCTCTCTCTCTCTCTCTCACAATTAGAACGTACCTTTGGTTCCTTTCTCTTTATATGCACCTAAGCATGTCAATCCGCTAGTGATTAACAAGATTATATCAAGAGAGCTGCTTATAAGATGGATAAGTGTCACCTTATATATCTACACCAAATTTATTCCAATAATATTTTTTTTTAAATTAAAGATTGCATTATTTCCCATTCAATATGGTGCGGTTGGCCATGTTTGCTTTTCCATTGATGAACACTGAAATCATCCCTCTGTTGCCTTTTGGAATAATAATACAAACAGTCCCTGAACTTTGGTCAAATGTGTAATATGGTCTATGAATTTTTAATTTGTACAATGTGATCCTTTAACTTTAGCTTAATGTGCAATGTTGTCCTTGAACTTTTGGTACATATTCAATATATTCTCTGAACTATATGCAAATGCTTAATATAATCCTTCAAAAGTTTATGAACGATATTGAACAAATTAAAAGTTCAGGGACCACATTGCATATTAGATTAAAGTTCAGGGACCATATTTAACAAATTAAAAGTTTAATGACTACATTGTATATTGGGTCAAAATTCAGTAACTATTTGAGTCATTTTCCCTTGTCTTTTTTTATTCGGCCGACACTCGTACTTTCCACGAAAAAGGGAAGAGACAAAAGAAATAAAAAAATAAAAGTAAAACAGCAACCTCGAGTCAATGTATGATTTGCCCTAGACCCGTTTTTATTCTCATAATGTTATTCTAAATGGGGTTTAGGTTTGCCGAACTTCGTCAACATTGAAGCTACTCTTTTTTCTTTATTTATCTACCTCCTTTCTTTATTCCGCTTTTGACTTAATTGAAGTTGTTTTTGGGTTCCTCTGTTCATGAATATTTTCTTTGGTCAGACTTCTGTTCATGAACTTGTCGGGCCAAGAAAGAACCTGGGACGCTGGGTGTTGCCTGTTTCTCGATTCTGGTAGGCGAAGAAGAGGTGCCAACTGAGGCAGCAGCCTTCATCTCCCTGCTCGTTTCACACTCATTCATAGACAATTTGATGGCGCGTCGAGTTTGTCATTTAGTTTCCAAAGCCAAATGTCTTTTATCTGCTGTGGTTGCGAATGGTAGGATCGCGATTCTCCTGATACAACCAACTTCATCTGCTCACCCGAGATCGGGATGCATCTCTGTCGCCATCGTCGTCCTTTGTTAAACTTACAGTCTACCATATGACACAGTTTTCGGCCTTCGATGGTGGTCTGTTCAAACTAAATCGATCCCATATGTCTCTATTTATTACGACTTAGAACAGATACATGGTGCTCATTCTTGTCATGTCCTTGCATTGGACGTGAAGTGGGGTTCGATTCTCTTTCCCTTCTTTGCTCCAACACAGCCAAATCCTCTTTTACCCCTCTAATCAGTAGTCATTATCTGTGTTCGAGTTTCAAATACTTAATTACACATTGTCAATGGTTGGTGTTGAACCAAAACGCGGTGCCCAAATGGTCATCAATGATTTTGGAGTCATTGCCGTTTCTTTAATATGCTTTGCCATTCAATCATCTTTCACCCCAGTTAGGAACATCCCAGTTTTTTAATGCCGTGGTGATCTGTCAGAATCTTTGGCAGACTATAAATGATTTCGCAAGCTCTGGCTTAGTCTTTCAAACTCGAGCTTGCTTGCGAACTTTCTTTTCTCGTTTGTGCAGTGCTTGAAGCATCGGACCCTGAAGAATGGGCAGGCAACCCTGTTGCGATAAGGTCGGGCTGAAGCGCGGTCCATGGACTATTGAGGAAGACCATAAGCTTGCGAGCTTCATCATGAATAATGGCATCCGTTGCTGGAAGACGGTTCCCAAACTCGCAGGTTAATTTAGTCTCTCCCCAACTTTTGTGAGAATCAGATCTCCAAATAGACACTGATCGGATGGTGTGATGAGTTTTATAGGTTTGCTGAGATGTGGCAAAAGTTGCAGATTGAGGTGGATCAATTACTTGAGGCCTGATGTTAAGAGAGGCGGTTTCACCGAGGTGGAGGAAGATCAAATCATTGAACTTCATTCGCGTCTCGGTAACAGGTCATGAACATACGTCCTTCGAATTATGCTAGAGATACGAAGAAAAATTTGTGATTTCAAATGAGTCACTCTTTTAAATATGCAACTGCACCTACGTTGCATTGTCCAGCTAGCAAGCTCTTGTATTGTTGTTATCAAGTCCTGATAAGGATTGGGACTTCCATTTTATGGCTGCAGATGGTCCAAGATTGCTTCGCATTTTCCGGGTCGCACCGACAACGAGATCAAGAACCATTGGAACACCAGAATCAAGAAGAAGCTGAAGCTTCTTGGGCTAGACCCAGTGACCCACCAGCCAATTCAAGAAGATCAAAACAATGCACAAGAGATCGTAAACAAGACAGACATGGACCTGAATCCAATTACAGAAGAAAGCTTGTACTGTGATAATAAACCCACAGCATTAGAGGCTGATCAAGACAAGCTGGAGGCTTTTCTAATGGAGGAAGAGATCGGGCTAATGACGTTCCAAGAAACTGCCGGCCTGCTGGAGAATTTCGAGTTGTTGTGCGGAAGCTTCAGTGAAGATCAGGAAGGGTCATGGAGGAATCACCAAGAAATGAACACACCTGTTTCTCAGAGTTCATCAGCTTCTGTGGAAGATTCTCATCCGCTTCAGCAACACCAGCAAAACCAGCAGCAACAATGGGTTGATAGTGTGGAGTCTGTAATGTCATGGGATGGGCTTGATTACTTAGAACAAGAGCTTTTCTTCTTGGAAAATGGACATTTACTATGAACATACACAACACTATGTTCTTTCTGTTACGTGAACTTCGTAATCACCCAAATAATTCTATCATGATGTCGAAGATAGAGGGTCACATGAAAACTTTACACAAAATGTGTCTTTCGTAGAAAAATATGAGCCATATGATGAATCTGACCAAGATAAAATTCAGCAAGAAAAAATCAAATTCGCCGACGATAAGGGGGCACATCAATCATTCGATTCTTTTAAATGGGTCATTTGTTTGCACCAAAAAATGACCAATTTTTGGTTATTGACTTAATGGATGAGAGCAGAGTTTGGTCATTTATTAATATAACTATCGACAACTTGATGAATCGACAACTTAAAGGAATTGACAAGAAGTGGAGTCGACAATCTTGGATGAAACTGTCGAAGAAGCAAACGTTAACGTAGTGGAATAAACAACCGTAAAAAATCGTCAAGGTAGTGGAGTCAATGTCACAGTCAATGTAACTGTTCGGTAACCCTTTGTAACCTTCTTTTGTAACATCCGTTGATAACGGTCGGTTATAGGCTTTAAATAGCCACATTGTACTCTTCGGAGCCCCCACGCACAAACAAACAAACAAACATGCTGTCTTTCACTTCTTGCATTGTAGTTATAGTTTCTAGACTTGCGTTGTCGATTAAATTCTTGTATTTCTCAGCTGTAGTCCACATTCACGTCGTCAATTTAATTCGGTGTATATCTTTGCTGTATGTCTTGGGTGCCTTGTTGTATTGTGGCGTTGCATTTTACGTTTTCAGGTTTGTCGTCAATTAAATCTCGGCATAGTTCTTGTTTGTTTGGTTTCGTTTGAAGTGATTACGTTATCAAGTTTTGTCATTGATTAAATTACCGCACAATTTGTATACGTTCTTAGCCATGATATTTCCTATCTGGAATCATCACAGAACCTGTTTCTTCTAATAAAATCAAAAAAAGACTTTCGGTGAAAGATAATTTGTCGCGTAGTCAAATTCTGGCGAAACACAAGTACATAGAAGATCAATTAGCGCAAATTAGGTAGCAAAAATTTGACTACCTGGTGTTATTTTAGTTTTGACGATTTAATCATGCACGCATGTCAAAAGACCAGCTATTTAGAGAACCTTAAAAAAGCAGTTAGTTTATTAAAAAAATAATAATGTGGGGTGCATCAACTTTAAACGAGATTTGTAATAAAAAAATTAACCACATTTATCATAATTTTCAACATACAAAGTGTTGCAAAGTGTAAAATTGAAATTTTTTTCGTCCAATAGTTAAGAACAATCGTCCCACTTTGCCCGTAATTAACAAAAATTAAAAAGAGAATATTTATAGAGTATGCATGCGGTACAAAAATTTAACTATGCAAATCAATTACTTTATTTTCTCATCAATAAAATATAAGATCATTATAATATGTTGAACACATAGATGTTTCCTTTAAATATGAATTGCTTAAAGTCTTCCCTTGGAAAAATAAGCAGAGGTGGAAAAATTCGATTTTAAAACTGATTGATCATCTCATTGATGACGTTACAAATTTGATTTTAAAACTGATCGCTCATCTCATTGGTGACGTCATATCTCCCACCCACTTAAGCATACTTTTCTCCGATTTACGAAAATAATAATTAAAAAAATTTAATGAAAAATCTCAATTTAATTATGATATAAGTGCATTGGAAGTCCTAGAACTTGTCACGAAAATGCAATTGACTATAATGCCTATGCCTGTGCTTGGATCCTGACGCCTTTGCCCGAGATCCTAGTGCCCACGCCCCGGGTCCACAAAGACTGAGTGCAGGATCCCTATACCTAAGCTTGGATCCCCAATACTCGGGCCTAGGTCCACAAAGGTTGTGCTCGGGTTCATCGAGGCTGGGCCAGGGCCTCGGTGTTTGTGCTCAGGTCCATCGATCGTGGCCGTGCCTGAGACCGAGGTGCCCGTGCCTCAACCCGACACCCGGTTCAAGATCTATTGTGGTCGAACCTGGGACTCTAGTGCCCGTACTCGATTTTTCGATTGCCCATGCTCAAGTTATTAGCGTCTAAATAGTATGTCTATTTAGGAAAATTTAACCAAACGACGAAAAATATTTTTTAGTTCATTTTCAAGTTTTAACTAAATACCGTAAAATATTGTTGTTTTTTTGGAAAATAATTTTCTGGAAAATATTTTCCAGAAAGATTGCGTTTTCCGCAAAACTAACGGAGCCTAAAAATAAATGATTTTAAAAATATTCCTAAAAATGATCACTTATATCGCTTACAAACATGAATAAATGAAAAATATTTTCATTATCCACGAAAATAGTTAAACATAAATTATTATTGATAATGAACACATTTGCATTGACTTATTATTACAAACAATATAAGCGATCATTTTTAGGAAAATCTTCTCCAAATCATTTATATTCTGCAAAACAAACGACTCTTACTTATCTAATTACTAGCTAACTCACACACACACACATGTATAAATACCGTGACAAAGAACGAAAATGATTTCATAATATGTTTTGGATTATTTTAGAAAAGGAATATGAATTGTTTAAGACCAAGAAAAGATTAACATCCTAGTTATGCTAGTTATGCTAATCCTTTTAAACCAACGTTTTATCTGTTATTTGTAACAAGTTATTATGATCATTCTTTTTGTAGCATACTTGACACGAACTTTATTGTAATTTTTCAATATAAGTTTGAGGATGGAAAATTACTTCTATTTCGACCCGTGATGACTAGTGGAGATACTGAGAGAGTTACTCATCGTCTTTAAGATGGGATTTGTTTAATAATTAAATTCCTGTATTTACGAAAAATAATTCACTTCCAAATAACTATTTCAAATCTTTAATCATCCTCGATCTCACAATTAAAACGTACTTTTTAGTTCCTTTTTCTTTATATGCACCTAAGCGTGTTGATCTGCTAGTGACTAACAAGATTTTATCAAGAGAGCTACTTACCTTCTTTAAGATGGACATATGTCACCTTATATATCTGCACCAAATTTATTCCAATAATCTTTTTTTTAAATTAAAGAATGCATAATTTCCCATAGTTTAATTAACATCAATATGGTGTGGATGGCAGTGTTTGCATTTCCATTGATGAACAGTAAAATCATTGATAAGTCCATTTACTCTCATCGCAAACCGTTATCCAAGTTTTCCGTGACATTACATAAAACAAAGAGAACCTCTTTTTTTTTTTAAGGGACTGCAATTCTTTCTTCTCCGAGATATTCTCAATTAATTATTTAATAAACAGTTTGTCGATAGATAAATGCATAAATTAATATTACTATTGGATCAATCATGTATCTAAATATTAAAATCTAAATCTTTTCTATCTCATAAACAACCTTCGCACAAAAAAAATTCAAAAATATGCGCACAATTTCTCCATGTTGTGTCGGTAACTCTTTTTGCATTTATTAATAATTCAAATATTTCGTAATAAAAAGAATTTGCAAAATCTTCTACAAAATCTCAAATTTTAAGAGCAGTATTTGAATTTTTGTGAAAAAATGTAATTGATAAGAAAAGATATTGCTGTTGGGCTTATGCAACGCCCTGGCCTTGTCATTTCAGGCCATGGCCGGCCTGTTTCTTTGATGAAAAGGAACAGCAGCCCGTCACATTTCTTTTTCGTGTTTTTACGGATGGTTATATTTTATTTCATCCCGTTTAATAAGAATTTTCGGCTTCTAATTGATAGATTACAAATATGATATTGCCCACTTTTTAATTTCAGTTAAACTTTCATGCGGGTGATGTCCTTAACTTGTAATCCACCGATCAAAGATGAGTCCGAAGGCACTTCCCTCAATTTTTTATTGATTATTCATTACCGGTATAATGTTTTTATTCGTTGAAGAAGACTATCGTGATGATACATGAATCAGGGAGGGATCCAATAATTATAAGAAAGCAACGACAAGAGCAGCAACGTGGGAAGCATGGGGGATTTGATACTCTTCTTCTGTGGAAATTGTCGATGTCAAGTCCTTGATCAAAGGGATTGACGGGTTCTCCTGTTCATGAACTTGTCGGGTCTAGAAAGAACACGGGACTCTGATATTGCAGTTTCTCGATTCTGGACGGCGAAGAGGTCCCAACTGAGGCAGCATTCATCTCCCTGCTGGTTTCACACTCATTCAAGGACAATTTGGGCTTTGTTGAGTTTGTCATTTAGTTTCAAAGCAGTGTCTTTTATTTGCCGTGGTTGTGAATGATAAGGATCGTGATCCTCCTGATATAGTCTACTTCATCTACTCAACCGAGATCATGATGCATCACTATCGTCGTGGTTCTTTGTTAAAGTTACAGTCTACTATATGACAGTTTCTGGCCTTAGTTGGTGGTTTGCTCAAGCATAATCGACGATACAAGGAAAGTACACGAGATCAATTCGGGTCCCCATATGTCTCTATTCATGAAAGACTTCGCATCGAGAAACAGATACATGGGGCTCACTCTTGTCATGTCTTTGCAATGAACAAGAAGTGGGGTTGGATTCTCTTGCCTTTCTTTGCTCCGACACTGTCAATTCTCTTTCACCTCTCTAATCAGTGGCCATTATCTTTTTCCAAGTTTAAAGTTGGTCCCTTGGTTTTATGCCCTTAATTAAGCTTATCCTAAGTGCACAAACTGGCCACTGTATCATAGAAAATGCCAATGATGAGGCAGGCAATTGATGCTTTTAGACGAATCCCATGTTTCTGAAAGTTCATCGAATGAGCGACTTCGTTTGGGCCTGAGGTCAAGACTGAATTATTTTCATATGACTCGTGTCAGTGTCGTCCATCTGATTAAACTTTTCCAAAGGTGGACTCGTTTGCACCTTTTCTCCGTCTCATGTTCTTGAGTTGTTGTTTTGTCATGTTCCTAGTTCTGCATGTCTTCTCAATGTAGTTGTTCCATCTTCCAAGTAAATCCATTGATGGAATATATACACAGGCATGAGAACTTGGTAAAAGGATCTCTTGTTTTCCTGTTCATCACACGAGCAGCTATAAACCACCTCCAATAGCAACAAAAAACAAGCAGATAGAAACCCTAAATGCGAAGGAATCTCCCGCAAGGAAAGAAAACATGTCTTTCTTGTCTTAAACAATTAAACCCAATAAGAGAGGGCTTTGGTCTGCAGAGATAATGGACGCACACACAAAGTGAAGATTGTCAATGGGAACAAACCCACGTCTGGTTCGTCTTTACTGGTACACATTAAGACACTCATTGAACCAAAAGGCGGTACCCAAATTGTTATCAATAATTTTGGAGTCATTGCGATTTCTTAAATATGCTTTGCCATTCAATCATCTTTCCCCCCACTTGAGGAACATCCTAGTTTTTTAATGCCGTGGTGATCTGTCAGAATCTTTGGTAGACTATATATGATTTTGCAAGCTCTGGCTTAATTTTTGAGCTCGAGCTCGCTTGTGAACTTTTTTTCTTGTTTATGCAGTTCTTGAAGCATGGAAAACCGAATAATGGGAAGGCAACCCTGTTGTGACAAGGTCGGGCTGAAGCGCGGTCCTTGGACTATTGAGGAAGACCATAAGCTCACGAGCTTCATCATGAATAATGGCATCCATTGCTGGAGGACGGTTCCCAAACTCGCAGGTTAATTTAGTCTCTCCTCAATTTTTGTGAGAATCAGATCATCAAATAGACACTGATCGGATGGTGTGATGAGTTTTATAGGTTTGCTGAGATGTGGCAAAAGTTGCAGATTGAGGTGGATCAATTACTTGAGGCCTGATGTTAAGAGAGGCGGTTTCACCGAGGCGGAGGAAGATCAAATGATTCAACTTCATTCGCGTCTCGGTAACAGGTCACGAATATACGTCCTCAGAATAATGCTAGAGATACAAAGAAAAATTCGTGATTTGAAATGAGTCACTTTTTAAAAATATGCACTGCACCTACAGTTGCATTGTCCAGTCAAGTTCTCGTATTGTTATCAAGTCCTGAAAATGACTGGAACTTCCATTTTGCGGTTGCAGATGGTCCAAGATTGCTTCGCATTTTCCGGGTCGCACCGACAACGAGATCAAGAACCATTGGAACACCAGAATCAAGAAGAAGCTGAAGCTTCTTGGGCTAGACCCAGTGACCCACCAGCCAATTCAAGAAGATGATAACAATGCACAGGAGATCGTAAACGAGACAGACATGGACCCGAATTCAATTACAGAAGAAAGCTTGTACAGTGATGATAAACCCACAGCATCAGAGGCTGATCAAGACAAGCTGGAGGCTTTTCTAATGGAGGATGAGATCGGACTAATGACGTTCGAAGAAACTGCAGACCTGCTGGAGAATTTCGAGTTGTTGTGCAGAAGCTTCAGTGAAGATCAGGAAGGGTCATGGAGGAATCACCAAGAAATGAACACACCTGTTTCTCAGAGTTCATCGTCTTCTGTGAAAGATTCTCATCCGCTTCAGCAATATCAGCAAAATCAGCAGCAACAATGGGTTGATAGTGTGGAGTCTGTAATGTCATGGGATGGGCTTGATTACTTAGAACAAGAGTTTTTCTTCTTGGAAAATGGACAGTTACTATAAACATACACAAAACCGTTTTCTTTCTATTAAGTGAACTTCGTAATCACCCAAGTAATTCTATCATGTCGGGGGAAATTGGATAGCGTATTGATTGTGATAGCTGCTGAGTCCCCGTTTTTACTTCATTACACTTCTTCATGGAGTGGGTCCTCTTTTTGTACTGATTAAAAGCAGAATCTTTACTTCTGTTTTTTAGAATCTCCATTTTCGAATTTTATCAGAAGTGTCGTCAAAGCACTCGTTAAACCTTACCAAATATATTTTGAAAATGTACAATCGTGTTGATTTGCAAGAGTACTAGTAGTTTTAACATGAATCAATGACTATGTCTAACGTGCATACTTTGCTCGTTTTGCATTCATGCACCAAATCCGCTCAATCCCATGTTGGCAAGACTCAGTATATCGAATTATGCAAGTAAACATATACAAATAAAAAAGAATTCCTAATACAAGTTCCCTTTGAATTAATAAGGAAATAACTAGATATTTAGTAATTAATCGACCAAATTGAATCCACCTCCACATCAAAGAAATAGGCAATCTAAACCCTAACTAGAAGGGCAAATAATTCACGAAACACCGCCCCCAGCCGCCTCCCATATCTACAACGGTCTCTCCTCATGAGCTATCTTCGATCGACTTCTTTGCAAGATTTTCACAATATTGTGAAGACTTAACATACTCCAAATGGGTCAAAGTAAAGGCGTGGTGAGTTGTGAAACATATGTTTATAGTCCACATTTCACAAGCGAAATATGTCTTGGATTTGTCAACCAACAATTTATAATCTTTTAGCTACTTCTCTCCTGCATTATAGTATTTGCAGCCGACCAAGATTTGGAGCCAAAACAGCAGGAGGCGCAGGTCGTGCCAAGCACTTAGAAAACTGGAGCCGCTCCTTTCTGAGCACAGATGCTAAATTCGCTCTTAATCACCTCCGTGCATGCACCTAAACCCTAGACAAGCACGTAACGTTTCCAATGATTTGGCACGATCCATCACCCCTAAAGCCCTTGCAATCAGATTGAATGTATCATCAGCGCATACAATACCAATCAGTTGTGCCTGCTGTACGCCATTTTTCTGCAACTGGGTTGGTCCAGATTGTTTAAAGAAGAGCGTGGTGCACATGGAGAAATGTTTTTGTCATGATTTCAGTCATTAATTAGACGTGCTAACTGCTAACTAATCCCTGGTTAATTGGACACAAGAAGAAAATAGAAGGAGAAATCAGTGAGCTGTTTCAGAATATTCTCAACATTTCCATTTTCCAATGGGCTTTCTAAGTCCCTCCTGATACGACTGTTTAAGCAAATCTTTTGGTAGGTACTCGGCTAATTATAGCTTATATTTTTTCAATTAAGCTATCTTTACTAATCTTCTTCTTATTTGGTTCCATATGATTACAACTTTTGGTTTAGTAGAATCATATGTAATGGTCCCTTTTGATGAACGACAAGCTGAGCACATACGAACGTTGAAGCATGCTTTATTTTTTTACGCATGCTATGGGTTTTGTCTTGATAGCATGAAGACTTGATGGCATCAAGTCAAGCATGCAGTTTAATTTAAACACCCATGTGATGATAATCTACCATTGCCTACAGTTCAGGACAGTTTGCATGTTAACTAATGTTACAAATTGACCCTAATCATAAATTATTTCCATGTGGTTCTGGCTCTTTCCTAGAGCAAGCAAGAGCCAACCCTAAAGCCAATGACAAAGCTCTTCTGTGATCAAGAGACGGTTTAGCTGAATGCCAAGTTGCCAACTTTGAAATTAAGAAGTTGGCCGGAGACTAAGAAAAATAAGTGGACCGTCTTAAATTAATTTCCTTCCTCGAACATGCCAGTGTTGTGACTAGATAGTTTAATCGCTTATGCAAATAATTTGAAGTCATGGCGTGTACTTAGCTTTCGATACGACCGACATGATCATAATATATATGAGGTAACGATGTTCCTATTGAGTGTCGGGTCTCAGGTGAAGATTGTGACGGAATTCATTTTCATTCGCATTGATTACTCACGTTGACGATAGATCATTTTTGTCAGTACGTCTTACAATAACGACATGTCTGGATTGATGTTCCACTCATATCTAGTGTATCTAATTTTTTGACAAATGCATTGCAGTATATGATAGGAGCAAGACTGGTTCTTCAAACCGGTCATAATCTCAATCGTTCGACAACATAAAACTATGCATTAAGATACAACAAGGTCGACAAAAATATGGTCAATTCGATCCGTCCGTGGATTAATTTTGATTATCATGTGAGTTTATAAAAAAAAACTATGGCCTTATCACATACAATTTTAGCTCTCAATAAGTATGTTTACTGTCTAACCAAAAAAAAAAGTACGTTTACTGTTATGCATTGTAAGATTTGGTGGGACTATTGCCAACTGTTCTAAAAGTTTAAGCTATTAGATGAATAAAAGCGTAATTTAACATTTAATTATTCTAACATGTGTCAAACACCATAGCCTTTTACTGCTAGGAAACATGCCTCCGTGAATTACTTGATGGGTCTGGGCCTGGGCCTGGGCCTTCTGATGGGCCCGCCCGGGCCCGAAGTTCGGTATCGGGCATAGTAAAGTTGCTCGACATGTGAGAACCCGGCCCGCTCACCGTTTTGCCTGATTCGACCCGATCGGGCTCGTTCGGTTCGGGCCGGGCCACCGACCGCCGACCGGGATGTGTTCGCCTCACCGAAGCAGTGTTCGCCGTTCAGCTTCAGCGTTCCTTGCTCCCTCCGATCGAATCTCGTCGTTGGGTCGCCTGCGATCTGAAGCTGTTTCAGTTTTGAGCTCGCCAATGTCGGAATCTTTCATGTTCGGACACTGATGTCGTTGAAACCGAACGTGGGGACATGGTCTTCGGAGCGCGGAACTTTTGAGAGAGTCGCAATCGAGGAAGAGCAAGTATGATAGCCCTGCAGCGAGCGGCTAAATCCATCCACACAGCCGTCAGCGCCCCGCGCGTCTCTAAATTCTCCCTCCACGCTCCTAAATGTGTAAGCTTTTTGCTCACTCGCGCTCTCGAAATCTCGTTATCCTTGATCTCGTGTTCTTGGGTTTTGAGCATGTCATCTGATTGTTCGAGTTCCGTAGGTCTTGGGTCGATTCCGTTATGTGGTGGAGATGGGTTTGGGTTCATCCTCTGTATTTCACAGAAGCGTAGGTGAACCAGGATGTTGAATGTTGGTCGAGTGCAGATTTTATGTTGGGACCTTGAGTTTCAAGGTGGAATCTTGTGGAATGAGCAGTTGGTGGATTGATGAACGCTTCAGGACCTTATTAAGATCAGTGGGTTGCTCAAGTCACTGTCTTTCTTGGAGAGCACAAGTTAGATAATCTCGGGTCGCCCTTACTTGTATCATAAGGGAGGATGTCAAACCTATGATAGGTTGGTACCGTATGCAGAGAAGAGTGATAAGTAGTAAGGTTTCATAGTTTTATTCCCGGGAAGTTGTGGATTAGGTTGTCTCTGCTGAATGATGGATATTGAGCATTTGAAGCATGGTTTAAGCATTCATAAACTTCTCTAGGTGTTTCTGTTGATAAAAAAAACAGATGCAATTTGCTAAGCTTTTATTGCTAGACAAATGTCGTAGAAACCTGGACCGCAAGCTGCTGAAGCAATCAGTAATCCGCCACTTATGGTTCAGCAGTGTTCTTTTTCCCTGTATTGTATCCTTAGCCTTGTTGTAAGGTGTTGCACAACATTGCACACGCAAGCTTCAGTTCATATGTTTACTGATAGTGGAGAACTGGCAGAAATGCATCCTATCAAGCTACTTATCGCGTCACATCACTTGCTTATACAAATATTATGTAGTGTGTTGTTACTTCAAATACACTTTTTCCTATTTCAGGTGGAGGTGGAATTCACCAATGGTAGCACATTTAGGTTGTCTGCTGAGTTTCTCAGAATTTGCAGTCCTGCTGCAGATGGCAAGATGAGGTCTGTAGGTGGTGAAAAGGTTGATATTCAAGATATATGCATTCATCTCTTGTGTATTCAGAAATGCAACGGCCTACTTTCCTTTACAAAAAGAGAAGAAGAATTTTTCATGCATTCTCTTAACATGTGAAGCTTTTTTTTTTTTTGCTCCGCATGTGAAGGGGTACTGCAAAATTAAAATGAAATACTTAGCCATATCTACCTCTATGATAGTCGTTCGTCTTGTAGCCTTACTTTGTGTTCACATTTGTGGGGTCAAATTAACTTCATCATGAAGACTAGAATGATGGATTCAAATATTCTTTCTTGTGGATCCGATAAATTTGTCACTAAATAGTACTATCGCTTTACTTGGCAGATGCTAGTATTGAAATAAGTTCTACTGTTCAGATCTGCGCTTGAAAAATTCAACTTGATGGAAAAAGGCTATCCCGTGTTGCTTGCACTTTTCTTATAATAAAATAACGGCAGTGCTACTCTGGAGTTGACAGGAACTTGTTCCGATGATAAGAGACAAGTTTCTATCAACTGAGTTAACTGAACCAAATCTATCCTTCTCCTAAGATCGTCTCACAATTTGGAAATTCCTGACCCTTTGGATAACTGGTTCTTTGTTTTTAGATTCTAGGTGTTTCCTGAGCCACCAATTCCTAAGATGGCGCTCATGTTAATGGGAAAAGTATGAAAGGCTCTAATTGTGTACATAGTTTAGCTGATATACCAGTATCCTGGGTTATAACCCGCATTCAAGGATGGATTTAGTGGGAAGAAGGGTTTTTACCACTGTGATAAGTGATGCACACACCTTTGGACTTCAGCAAAGTAGTGAGTCTTTGCAACCTAGGCATAATGAGTTGCTAATTTCAGTTAACTTGAATTAATTTTTCTGTACATATGTTGTGTTACACCGTGGGGAAATTGGCTATCCTATTTGCCCATAAATAAATAAAGAAACGTCTAAAGTTAGCTTACTAAGATTGTAGTAGGAAACCAACAAAACAAAAAGATTGCAGTAGGAAATCTTCCCTTATGTATTGACCCCCAAAGATTGGCATTGAATCTGTCCATAGCTGAACTGATTTTTTTGGTTCTTCGATACCATCATTTCATTTAACGTGTTACCTCTCGAGTCTCATAATTGATCTGATTCTTATGTGGCCAAAAAGCATGCCCGTCGATGTTCATGCTCCACTATCATTTGGCTCAAACGCTACATGTTCCTCATCAGGTAATATTTGGACGTCGTCATGTTGGAATTATGAAAGTCGAACCTATAGGAAACTACGGGGTGAGGTAATTTCAAGATGGTTCCTCAAAAGGAAAAATTGTTACAGCTTGAACGTTTTTTGATTTTCCTACTAAATTCTGTAATCTTAATGATGCAGGATAATTTTTGATGACTTGCATAAAACTGGCATCTATACATGGGACTATTTTTATCATCTTGGAAGCAACAAATTTACCCTCATGAGAGATTACATTAATACACTGAAGAAGCATGGACTTAGCCGGGATCCTTCCAGAAGAAAATGATAGCGACTTATCTTCTGTGGTTGTAACTGGTAGTTTACATGGTAAGATGTTCAGCTGGAGGAAAAGTAATTTCAGCAATGGATAAGGTCTAATCTTTGATCCAATTACTTGCATGCGCTGCTCAAGAGTCGGAGCTGATTGCTTGAAATGGAATTGGAAATTTATTATTTAGACAGTTGAAGATTGTAATTTCAGGTTTCTGTTGGGCTTTAGTCTTCACAGGTATCTGGAGTAGGTTCTTTCAGCTTGTGCTTCTCTGGCTTCTTGGTTGGTGTGGTATTGAAGATTTGAAGGCTTTTCAGATTCGAGGGAAAATCTCCCAGTTCTGGATTTTAAAAAGAAGGCTTGATAATTGTTCTGATTCAGTACGATTCGAATTAAAAACGGCTGTAGATGAAAATGGACCTCCTAGGAGCCATGGAAGATTTAAAGGGATTGCATTGGCAGAAGAGTTCAAGAAGATCGAATCAGATGTAATAAAAATGATGTCTTGTCTACGACCCCTGGTGATATCATAGAAAATTATGTCTACAATTGTTGCAATTTGTGTACTAATAGTCTCAAATGCTAATATAGTTTTCGCAAGAGAATGTCTGTTTCTAGTTTGTTAGAGCATTTGCTATGTTTTTTCTTTTCTTAGAAGAATGTAGTGATAAACTAGCAGTTTGCACGGTTACATCATGTTTGAGTTCATGTCCTATGTTGTAGGGGAGGTAACACAGTTTTATGTAGTATTCAACAGATGGATGCACTCCTTATGTTTTATGGTGGAAGTTTACGCTTCAAGGAAAAGAAAATTTATATGCTTCGGTCCAACTCACAGATTAAATCAGAAAAAAAAAATGGATCAAGTTTCTTCTTTATGCTTTGGCCGTTGAAGAATTTAAAGATGTTTGGTCTGATAAATGCAAAGATCGGTACCAGATATTTGGTAGTTGGTATATCGGCAAAGGGTTTACAGGTTAAACTTGTGCAAATCTTCACAAACAGAATTAGCTCCGAAGCATAGCAGTGTAGGATTGATGGTACTTGTTCTGTTATGCAGAGGTTGACGTTTCAACTGCTGGTGGTTCAGCCATTAACATCATTGTCCTCTAAATCAACAGTTCAGGCCATGGCCATTGGGCACCCACATGACTCTAGCCCTCAAATGAGCGGGAAAAATATTACGTAGACTAATCTTATAGATGATGACGCCGGCAAATCGAGTTTAACCATCGTGCAAAATGCACGGGGAATGTGTATTTTTGGCAGGATCTTGGGTGGAGATCCCTTTGTCCCCTAATTTGAGCTAAATACATGCGAACTCTTCAATTGAGTTTCTGGCCTGGACTGCCTGATCCTGGATTTATGTTTATTTTTTAGCATTGTGAATACGGTAACGATTTCTTAAACTTGGGCAATATTCGAACTGTGGATCTGTCAAGTATTTGCTTCACTGATCCGCTACTTTCTCCAACAGCACGACAAATACGTTCCGGTAGGGGCCAAAAAAGATCAATACCAGTCAAGCCAACAGTTATCTTTTCTTAAAGGAAAATACTCGAAAATGTTTAATGATGTTGATTAAAGTTTTCAACGTTAACGTCAAACAAGTGGGGCCCGAATGAGCCGAAAAAGAGGGAACCACTTGAAAACCAACTGAAGCTTGTTGCAGATGAGACCCCCCACTTTTGTGGTGATATTAAAAAAGAGCACGCTTCACTTTCATCTCCATAGACAGTAGACACATGATGATGAGGTCTACATTGAGAACGTGGTTTATGCACCTTTTGCTTTACTTTTGAATTTCAAATTCAATCCAAACAAAAAAAGGGAAAAAAAAATCGAAAAGAGGGGCAACGTTAATCTTGGTGTTTCCAGTTCCAAGTTCGTATCTTTTTTCAGGTTTTGAAGCATTGCCTTAAGCCCCAACCATGGGAGATTCAAGCTGTCTCATGATGCAACCCTTGTCTCACTCATCAGTCTTCACCAATGATGCCACTGAGGTAACTCCAAGAAACTGCACTGTGAATTTGTCGTCTTCCTTTATGTTCTTTTTTTCCTTTTGTATTCAGATTGTTGTGTCCAGATACCGGAAGAGCTCGACGTAGTGTCCTATTCTGTTCTTGTTTATGATCAACTTCACCTGATCATGGCATGACTACCATAAATTTAGCTGGAGGGTTGGTGTAAATTGATGTTTCTTCTACTCATCACACTTCATTATATCGATAATTCTTCATGACTCGTGTTCGATGGGGTAGTCTGCTAAATATTAGTGCTAGATCCACCCGGAACTGTCTACTTGAAATGAATCAACAGGTACTCGATATAGGAGAACTTTACATATCTGTGGTTCTTGGGAACATTTGGATCTGAATTTAGCATTAAATGTACTAAATCTTCCTTAACGCAGGGGAACCCGATTCATGCTCTTGGGCAGTCAGTCTCATTTGGCAGGTTCGTGTCAGAAGAGTCCTTGTCATGGGAGAAGTGGTCGAGCTTCTCTCGGAGACGCTACGTCGAAGAGGCCGAGAAGTATTCCCGGCCGGGATCGGTCGCGGAAAAGAAAGCCTTTTTCGAGGCTCACTACAAGAAAATGGCCGAGAAGAAAGCGGCAGCCTTGCTTGAGCAAGCGAATGCAGACTCGAGCAATGTTGCTGACTTGGAACTTGAAGGTGATGAATCAGATTTTCAGGAAATTGTGAATCCTAACCAAGAGGTCAAGAACCTAAGGCAAGTGCATAATCTGGGTGGTGAGATGGAGAAAAATGATAGCAGGGAGGATAGAGGATCACAGTTAACTGATAAATCCGTCGTGATTGTGGAAAATGCCAAGGATGAATCATTGAAAGAGCTTGGAACGGACTCTTCCCCGGCCATATCCTCCGAGGTGGGCTTTGCTACTTTAGCAGTGAGAAATATTTAATGAGTTAAAAATGAGAAGGGGCCTTGATCCACAAATAAATTCTGTTAGCGAGTGTCACAATGGCTGGTCATAGGTGAACTCAAGGCTCATATGAAACTCTAAACATTAGTAGAGGCTGAAATCACCTCAGCGGCACTTGCTATAATTCTTATGATAAGCCTTGTCAATGTTTTTTATTGCCCTATATCACAACAATGAATACATTTTATGATGACTGCAGGCACTTAAAAGCACAACATCAGCATACCCTTCAGCCACTCCTTTGTCCGGGAAGAGGTACCTTGTTTATTTTTATTTGCACAGTGAAAATTCTGTTGTTTTGATTTGAATGACTGCGATCATTAAAGCATGGCAATCTCCAACGTCCATTCAACATTTCCGAGTGGTGTTGCAGAGTACCGGGGGATCACATAACCACCGGAAAGAAAACTGGCCAGAAAAGGCGCTCTCTTGCTACCGGGTAAGAAGTCTCGACTCTCATTCCAATGACCAATGATCACATTGCTTTTCATTTCAGGGGCTTACCATGTGTACTTTAGGGTTCTGCAGAATAGGATTATTGCAGTATTTCCCCGTGTTGACCGTACTCAGGTGGAGTCAGATATTGGAATGTCATCTCAAGTCTCACCCAGTCTTACTGAGTTCTGTATATAAAATACTATGATGGCAAAAGTAACATTTTCCGCTAATTGCATCCTTGCGGATGTCCTGGGACCAATTTTTCCTTTCCGTTTGCGAAGTTGGAGGACAACATGTTCAAATTGGTGCTCATCTTTCCATATGGGCTAAATACTGTGAGAGAGGATCAGTACTCCTGTTGTGCACATTGGTTGTCTTAATCATTAGCCGAAAAAAATAGGCTATTAAGATCATCTTAGTCACATCTTCTGCTTCAAGAAGCATCAACTGCTTGTGGCACATCCCTATCCAAATTCCTGTTAAAGTAGAGCTCAGTTATATTGACTCATCTCATTCTTTTTACCAGGTTTTTGAAGTTTCTGTCTGCATGCAAAAGCAATTTACAGTCACCAAAGTCATCTCCACCCAGATTGAGCACCAAAGGAAAAACTGCAAAAGGCAAGAAGGTAAGGCAGCATCTCTCTCTCTCTCTCTCTCTCTCTCATGCCATTTCTAGAAGTTAGAGAGCCGGACAAAACCATGGAGGTTTGGAAAATAATGTACAGATGTAGCAAGATTAGAGGTCATCTTCTCTAGAATGAGATTTTGTTAATCTTGAACATTTAGTATGAAATCATGCATAGTAACTTGACTGCATCGAAAAGCCAAGCTAAAAATATCCCATTCTCAAGCAGTAGAACTTGCCCTTTGCCTTTCTTTTCATTTTTTTTCTCCTCTTAAGCTTATTAACTTGGTTCAGCCTGCAACACTAACATTCACTTACACAGGACGAAGAAAGTAAAGAACCAAGTAAATGGAGTCATAGCTTTTGTTTTTGCGTGGGGAACTCTTCAAGTATTCGCAAAGGAAAAGAAAGAGCAGAGCATCAGATGAAAAGCGTATGTCCCTGGTTCATATCGACCTATTTTCCTTCTTAGTCTAAACAGTAGACAGATCTATTAGGAGCTTTTTCTTTTTTCTTTTTCTTCTCATATCTAATTTTGCAGGCCCAACACTCCTTCCCAATCCACCAGGAGAGGAAGAAAGCTCATGACAACAACGATGATGCAAAGCACGATCTCTCTATCTCCTCAAAGATCTTTGATGAATGACGATCACCGAAAACATGTTAAGGGAAGGAAGGGTCAAGCGCCAACGAAGTCTAATGCTTTGGAGGCTTGTTAATATACATCTCCTAGAAAATATTCAAGTGTAAAGATGAGTTGCTACAACTACTACATGAGGAATTGCACCAAACGCTGTTCAGGAGGCTAATTCCTGTCGAATACATCGAAGAACAATCTCTTATTGTCGTGAAACAAATATCAACCCGAGGAAAATGCTTGGACATGGACTGGATTGATTTGGAGAGCTCATACTGTATGCATAGTTTCATGCTCTCACTAGTCAGTATGCTGTAAAAATTTGGATTTTTCTGTTCCTGAAACTTTGTGATTCGTTTGAGAACTGTCTGTCTCTAGTGATTCAATCAGAAATAAAGAGAGAATGAAAGCGTAGAAAGCAAGAACGTGCATTTACTCTTACGCTATGCTTGGAACGATTGAGCGAGGGAAGTGGACAAAAGCAATTACTAACATTTTGTAATCAAGAGGAGCAAAACAAATGAAAGCGGAATGTTAGATGCATCAAGACTATAATCAAAGTAATATGGTCAATTCTCATAAGTATGGAGCACGACTCACTCCCCTACATATTTCACTCATAGTCTGTCACATCATTTCATGAATTAGCTCTCTGTGCTCAAGAGCTGATTCAGTACATTAGAAAGACTTCCGCAGAAATCAAGGAGAGATGATCATGTCTGCTGAGATATCACAGGCACACATTTCTCATGGGCAAGCTGTTTTGCTTCCTTCTCTTTCCCATGTTCAATGGGCTTCAGTCGAACCAAACTTGAAAGGTTCTTGCAGATCCAGGCCCAGGTCGAAAACCCCACATTAAAACCTTTCACTGCTTCGCATGGCAATTCTGCTGTCGTTCTTGGTGCATCCCATTTATCAATCCATGGCTACTTCGTCGCTGCTGATGCGCAAGACCCTGAAATCTTTTCGAAATCCCTCCTCCATCTTGGCGTCCCTGACCACCCATTCCCGGCGGCTCAGCTCCACCGTCGCCGCCCAAACCCAGCCCGACAGCCCGTCTTCCTCCTCCTTCACGTTCTCCGCCGACGACGCAATATATGTCAAGGCTCCGAGCCCGAAGCCGGCGTCCGCCTCCGACCCATCTTCGGTGACGATGCCGATGGCGTTCATGACGGGGTCCATCGTGGGGAGGCGGTTCTACAAGCAGGTGACGACGAGGGAGGCCGACGATGGGAACGGCTGGACCGTGATGCTCGATTACAGGACCCTGAAGACGCCTTCCAAGAGGGCTCTCAAGCTCCCGACCCACGCCCTCGCCAAGGCCATTGCTGCCGAGTGGGAGTATCAGGTGCTTGGAAACTATCATTTGTCTCAGCTCAATTTCATTCCTTTCTATGGCTTTTCTTGAATTTCAAATGAGTAGGGGATGTTTAGCTGGTTACGTTAGTGCGAAGTTGATCTGGTGTTGATTCGTTGTATAGAAGTTCTAGTTCTGAGTTGTGCTTGAAGATCATATGGTTCGAGCTGTGTAGTGAAATGAATGATCATTGTAGCAAACAGATGGGATAAGGCCTTTCACGATGCCTCTGATGAAACTCGCTTGCACGGCACTGGAGAGAGTTCCGCTTACCCGGCCGAAGATCATTGAACACCTGATGAAGAAATTCAATCAAGACCTGGTCTTCTGCCGCGCGCCGGAGGACAATGTCTTGACGAGTGATGTTCACGGTATGTTATTAGTGAATGTGACATGTGAGTTCTGATTTGCTCTTGAGTATGTTTTTGGATCTTTGATTTTGAGTCGGCAATTATGTATGGAACTTCGCGAGTTTATGCCCCCTTATTTAACCAAAACTAATATCATGTCGGAGCTCGGTTAAATCTCTGCTGATGCATTTTAACCACAACAAATCATTAGACCTGGACCAATGTTTGGGGGATAATATGCAGAATGAATCTCTCCGAACTCTTGAGCGACAATATTCTGCACTGTTTGTTTACTTAATGTATTTTTCATGTCAACTCAGCACCGCTCGTTTAGCTTTAGCTTTCTTTAGCTATGGTGACCAACTAATCTGTTGCATAAATTTCGTAGATAGGCAGGTGGAGAAAATTGATCCTTTGCTCGATTGGTTGAAGTCAGAATTTGGATTTAAGCCTGTTCTGTACTCGAGCTTTTTCGGCGGCAAGCAGGATGAGGGGTTGATAAAGGCTATAGAAAACCTTCTGAAGAACACCGATGACTGTGAACTGGCGGCGATTGATGCTATGGCTGCAGCAGCGCACTCTTTGGTCATTGCTCTTGGAATTTTTCGTGGAAAATTGCAGATTGAGGGAGCTATTGAGTTAATCAGACTTGAAGAAGACTTCCAGGTACATCTATTTGATTTTTTCTTTGTCATGGCCCAGTAACTCTCTCTCTCTCTGTCTCTCTACCCATATACCACCATTCCTTACCCACATTCATAAACTACTCACCTGGAGGCGTCACATATAATGAACGACATACGCCTCAGGTTGAAGCTTGGACGGCAAGCCAGACTCTAGCAGCGGCACTTCATTTCATGGTGATATATAGTTTTGGAGAGTAAAGTCATCTTGTATGTCCCTGCAGGTGGACAGGTGGGGTCTAGTGGAAGGCGGTCATGATGTTGATATTGCGGATCTCAAGGTGCAGATATCATCTGCAGCTGTTTTTCTTGCACTCTCAAGAAGGATTTAGTTCTAGTGCTCCCGATCCTTCAGATTTCGTTATAACTTTGTAGTGTGAGGCGCAGCATTTGTCGCTTTAGTTTTTTATACTCGTTCTGTTTATATGTCTATGGGCAACCAAACAATTTGTAACAATAAAATTTTTGCCTGGTTTGCGAAATGAGATACTGTACTTAAATGATCAGATCTCGCTGATCACACATCAGCGCATGCTTAGACTTCCTATTGACGTAAAACACTTGTGCATGAGACTTTTTTTTGTATCTAGCGATTGTGGCTCAAAAGGCCAAACCATTCACTTGTTATCTCTGCTTATGGACTTGAGTCCTGAAAATCCAAAATGAGGAAGGACTTGAAGGAAACGAAATGGCATTCTGCCGGCATACAGTTCATCGAAAACTTTACTCGCCTGCTGTTCTGAGATATCCATTAAAATCATGTAACCTTTTTTCTTGAATGTCTCTCCCATTCCGAGTCTGGTGAGTCTATAAGCTAGGAATTCTGTATCCATGAGGATTCCCTGCCTTTGGCGAGGGAAGATGATGAGCTCTAGATTTGCTTCTTAACTTTTTTGGCTATAAGGACTTCTACTACATGACTTGGCTAACCAGTGCCGACTGTCTCGAGTTGAGGCTCAAAAAAGAATCATCCAAAAGAAAATGAGGAGGAGAGCATTGCAATTCAAGGCCTCTCTTTACAGCACTTGACGCATACGGGTGGCTGCTTCGTGATGTCGCAGTCACAGCATGCTGTATCGCAGTTATTGTTGCATCCTGTGAAAGCAGAAATGTTGAGGATCAGAGATTGCAGTCCCTGCTTCAACTATGGCTCATCTGAACTAATTAAAGCGTGTGCATGAATCGCCTGTGCATGTACACAAGAAAGATTGGATATGTTCGATTTTTCATCTGCCTACAAGTTCGATCGAATTGGTTCAGTCTTTGTTAACTCCACATAGAAGCGCAAAAGAAAAGCAACAGATGTAGTGGACAAGAAACTGGTGCATTACCTGTTACAGTGACATATTGAGATGTCTCGTAGTCCGGCTGATTCACAAAAAATTGGAGCCGAGAACTCGACTGGACAAGATTCGTGCTGAAATAGACGAAGATCAAAAGGACCCCAAAACATAATCTTGTGAAATTCATGATTTCCAAGATTGTAATCTATTGCCTGACGTAAGTTAGCAGCTTGGTGGGTGAAGTCGCCATCATTCTCAGAGTTTATATAGCACATAAGAGGTGTAGACATATTATATTCAAACATTGTCTCTTTTATATCCATCCGCAGTATCATCCTAAATCTGTGTGATCAGAAATAATTCGGATGTTGCTCTTTCATATTACTTTAACCTGTCTGGAGTCCAGAAACATCATTACAAAGGTGTGAACAGTCTTGCTTAATAAGTTTTGGATAGACAGTGCCCTTGCATGTGCTTTATATAAGAATCTGCTTAATAAATTGTGAGTGCTCTTGATTGCATTCCTCCACTTCATCATATATTAGAGATGGTTGAGCAACTTCCCTCCTAACCAAGCATTCCAGAATGATCCTAACAACTTTCTTGAAAAGGTTTACATTCCCTAATGCAAAAGAAATAAGATACTGAATCGATACTAAAAACTTTCATGACAAGGTAACGAGGAGATAAAAGTACCAAGCAAAACAGAGTCTCATTCTTCATATCATATTTTGTGGCTTAATGATAATCATCCATTACCAAGATCTTAAATTCAAAATGTCATGACTTATATTCCTAACAGGAAAAAACAAGAATAATGATGGAGCCATTCATATGCCCATACAATACCAAAACTGGTTTAGTTTCTATAGGGAACATAAATCTAAAGAATGATCTGTCCAACTCCTGCTTCTGCTTCCGAATCATCGGGGAAAAGCCGGTTACCATGTTGCATGCCAGAGCTTGGTGAGAATACTCCCAAACAAAGTCTAAAACAAGTACATGAAAGAAAAGCGCAAGGGACTAAGAGTAGATTGCAGAGTCCCGCGAAAATGCAAAGATAAAGCACCAATGTCACTGCCATATCCACGCCAGTTAGAACCATGCAGGTGTATCTTCATGAGGAGCTATTCCAAATGAAGAGGAGGCAGAATCTTGCGAAACTGGATGATCGAACAAGCACGCGTTTCCATATTTACAAAGCCCAAACTGTACATAATTCCTGCAAGTTCTCCTATCCTGCAAAAAATGACCGCATGTACCTAAGCAATCGATTTTTCAGCGTGACACCCGAATGAAACTTAAGTTTGACGGCAATAATAAGAACAGAATAAACAAAAATGTCAATTTTCCGGGAAAGTCATTTGATTAGAAGATGTAAGGTCGTGGTCCACTGGAGATGAAGAATCGTAAGCGATTTTAGCCTAAATAGATTAAATCGATGCATGAAAACCGAAATACTTTTGAACTTTAATTAACAAGTTGCACAGTTCTTATGGGCAATGCAATGACTTACAGATCTCAAGGGGAGCGCCTTATCAGTTTGAAAATAGGAGGGTCCTGCCGAAACCCGGTGCTTTGGATGGTGAAATTTACAAGTATGTCCGTATTTGCAATGACCTGTCTTCATGAAATAAGCACACTCAGGTTGACCGGGTCGTTGAGGGTATTCTTCAGGAGGTAGCAGCCCTTTACTGTGCCCTGCCCCTTCTTGCGAATACGCCCAAGCCTATAAAACAACAGATTGGCGCAAAATTACCCATTTTGCAGATAATTCAATCCTGCTTTCTCAAGTAATAGCACTCCAAAACGTGCTTGAAAAAATATATATAAAGCAGCATTTACACTACTGACAAGGAAGAAGATGCAGAAATGAAAAAATAAAGGAAAAAAAAATCAACACTCGTGAAAAGACATACAAAAACACAAAAGCATAAACTAATCACATAGATTTGTTAACTCTTCCATGTGTAGAAAAATGCACCTTTTGAGAACTTTGAGAAATCCCAGGGACATGGGACAGTCCATTCTCCCAGTACGGCTGGGTCCCAGAAGCAGCATTCAAAGACCGGGATGCTAAATATTCCTGTAAAATTCCATTATATCTCAGATAATCAGAGTTTCCCATAGGACTCTCCTCAGGATGCTTCGGCTCCCTTCCAACGGATGCAAGATCGGCTGAGGTCTCATCAGGACTGAAGTCCCCAACCATTGTAGGATTAGGATGGTGAAACCTGCAATCAAGTCCATATCGACACGTGCCATTCTGCATGTAGAAGGCGCACTCTGCTTTTCCCTGAAGTGAAGTATGAAAATCATATAAGTCGCGCACATTGCTTTTAATGTGTGCTTAAAATGGAGCTTATGGATCAATTGATCAAGGGAGGGAGAAAAAGGCCTAACAAGTTAACTAAAATTGAACTTGCAAATTTGTAGCATGAAAGAATATACTCTTTACCAATCTTATTGGCAGGCCAAGGAAATTAAGTTGTGGTTGGTCTGTGATTTCAATTCTTTCTTTGGAATGGCTATATCTGCAAGCTTCTCCATACTTGCACCCTCCAGCAGTCGAGTAATACTACAAAATTAAGCGCAAAACTCAATTTTCAGGACAACACGTGTGCATACACATGCGTGTGCACAAAAGAAAGAACGAAAGAGGCGATCAGATGTCATTTTGAGATAAATGTAGGAGGCTGCTATATTGCACACAGCCAAAAAGCAAGCTATTGCTGTCACTATCAGATAGATGAAGCACATTTCTAATCTAGCCCTCATATACCTAGACATATAAACTGAAAAGGATCTTATATGAAAGCCATTCGTACGAGAAGTTCATCTCCAGTCGTGGGTGAATGTCACAACATCATTAGGACATAAACCGCATAACTACCTACATATTTAGGGAACATGCAAACATTGACTAGTGAATATCAAGAAAGTCCAGCCCATAAAGGAGTATTCATTCAGCAACCATTCAGATGTCGCTAACGCCTGCACAATGCTGTGAGTTTTGCAAGTAAGACCGGTACATTTCCTATTAAACATTTCATCGAACAACTTACCTTCTATATCATCAATTTATCACACCTCGGCTCGACTGAACCAAAGACAGAGCAACACAAAACCGTTAAAACGAGTGGCACAAATCCTAACCTTGCACTCAATCTGCTTAGTCGGCTCCAAGATCTCTCCCCTTTCCTGCTTCTCCGCGAAACCCTTCAAGAATCATGTCAACCGGTTCATACATCAACCCACCGCAAATCTTTAAGAAAGCAAAACACACACACACAAACACATGAACGAATATTACGAAAAGCCTAGGAACACATACCGAATGCTGAAAGACCTGAGGCTCGCCCATGCCCGTCCTCTTCTCAGGGTGATTGAACCTGCAATTCACGCCGAACTTGCACCACCCATTCCGCACATAAAAATGGCAGTCCCGCGCGTACATCCCAAAAGGGTAGTGCGAATTCTCTCCCCAATCGTCCCAATTCCCATCTTTCTCTTCGCTCGCTTCGTCTCCCGCGTCCTCCAAGGCCACATTCCGAATCCCCTCCACGAGCGCAAGTTCCGCGTCCGGACCGACAGCAGGAGGCGGAGATGAAGAAAAGGGTGGCGGCCCATCTGGGTCGGGCTGCGTCGGCTGGTGCCGTTGGAGGAGCTCGAGGGAGGAGGGAAAGATTTCGGCTTCGCCCTCGAAAGTTGCCATCTTTCGTTCTCTGTTCAAGAAGAAGAATGCAATGCAGAGTGAGTGAGTGAGGGAATGTGCCCCCCCCCCCCGCCCCTTCACTTTCGCTCGCGCTCGATACGGTCTCGTCTCGTCAATCAATCATCGTACACAATCACACATCAAATGCGACAAAGGTGCTATCTTTTTTGTCGTTCTCTTTTGCTTAACGACGCAAAATAATCTCCAAGAATCGACAAAAGACAAACTACATCTGAAGCTGCTAGTGTGCATGGCGAGACCACCTGATGAAAAAAACAGAAGGCCGCAACTACCGAGAGATCGAATTCACAAAGATCTGTCCGAAATCAAACATGACATACGATATGACACGAAACGAATTGTCAAGCATTACCTCGGTTTCACGAGCTTCCGGTGAGCTAGCGTCGGAGTATGCTGAGTTGATGTTTTCAAGACGGCTCCAAAATAATGAATAGGAACGGCGATTCGAATCCAAGCTTTAGATAAACAAGTATAGCACAGAGCACCTTTGCGATTGGATTGGTATAAGTATTAGTCTGCGGTACCTCGAGAAAAGGAAAGATATCATTATCGAATCTCTTGTTTTTACGGCTTGAATGACCTTCTTTAAATCCTATATCGAGGTTTAGATTTTTTTCGATATTTGGAATCGACCCTTTATCGCACCGTACCAAAGCGGAAATGGCAAAACTTTTAATACGGTAGTGGCATGGCATTCATGTTGAAATTGCTAATTTATGTTAATCATGTTTAAACTAAACTGGAGGTAATTCAATTCATTTGAATTGATATAGAGTGTCATATCTGTTGATTTGTAATCGAGGTCAATCTAATGAGATTATTGGCCAAGTCAAAATTGTATCTTTTGATCATGTATCGAGTATCAAGTTTAAAAAGCCTTCCCATATGTGCAAACGATTGAAGAAATTGTTATACCTTCATAAAAATAAGTTAGGTGCAATAAGGAGACTGATACTTTGGGCTTAATCGGACCCGGTCGGCGGCCTTGTCAAACGAGCAGGCGATCAAACTCATTATCAGCTCTACAGATAACCTAGTCGATGTTGGCTTAGTTTACTCATTCAATGCAGTCAGAACTCCAGGCACAGTCATAACTATGGATCTCTTTAATGTTTCCTCTGCATTGTCATCTTTCTGTATAATTATCCATAAGGTTACAAACACTAGCTGTAATCTGTCATCGAATTCGTCTATTGATGATCTCTTTGAGAAAGAATGAACTCACACCACGGAAAACTATGAAACTACACCTGATCCTAACTGAAATGGGCCGGGGAAGGTAGGGAAATTGTTACGCCCGTCGTCATGCGATGTCAACGTCTCTGGGAGCGTGTTGCGACCCTTGAACAGACCCGTTGCTAGCCTTTTCGCTCTTGAAAGATTTTTGGCTGGGTTTTCGTACAAAGGCGCTCTTCGATCTTTTAATACTTCGACTCCCGCCGTTGGATTTGCTTCCGATATTCTTCCTGGCAAGATCCTCTGACAATTTCTTTACGAGAGTATCGAATCGACGCCTGAATGTTGGATACCTCGATATGGACTTGGTGATCCCTCGGAGCCTTCATTATAACATCAAAATTATGGAACACGCAAACAGACTTAAGTGGCAAAAGTATTGAAATCCAAATAGAAAAATTGCAGACAAGTGTTCTCATTATGCTTACCTTCGAGCTAAAGCTTCGAGCTCAGCTCTTTTACGCTCGGTTTCCGGAGGTGGGCCTAGATATGAATTCTTGAACCTTTCAGGGTCAGCACTTAGCAAAACAAGTTTACATAGATAGTCCTCCTCAGCCACATTGACGTTCTCTGCTTTAATCTGCTCCTTGATAACCAAAAGGGGATTAAGGAACCAATCATAAAATGCATCTTTAGGTTTATTGGTGCTTGTTACTTCAGTATTATCACCTGCATTTTCACAACATTATTCCAGCAAATGTTTAAATACCTCAGATCATAGCATGCAAAAGGAAAAAAATTTACAAAGAAAATTGGTGAAAATCGCAAAAAACTTTGCTTTTAGGAAAGAACTTACGCAGTAAGATACCCATAGAATTAGCTTTTACTGAACGCAAGAGTACTTGTAGCAGGCAATAAGTCGGCAAGCCTATGCTTATCACTCCACTACCTCTGCTCGCTTTGGCATCTTCAATGTCTTGAGGGATTATCAATCCCTCAGATACCATGCTTTCTCCATAGCGTTGACACTCGTCAAACAAGCCATTAAGTAACTACACAAGCACAATTTTCTATTTGCTTAGTGAAAACAATTAAAAGAAAGCAAGAGAAAAAAGAGCACAGAGTTTATTCAATGTGGAGCTACGGAGGGGGCAAATGCGGAAGCCCGTTTCTTGATGCACACATGGAAGCTGCAGACATTCATTCCCCAAAGATGAGGTTCTTGAAGCAAAGAGGGATATCACAAGCTACCTCAAGTGGGTTCAACTCGATAATGGTGTCTTTTAGTGAAACTGTACGAGCTGGAGGACCTTTAATAGGAGCAGGCTTGGAAATAGAAGCGGCAAGAGAGGAAGTCTTTGACAGCCGGGCCTTTTGTCTCCTGTAGTTTGGCCTGATGGACAGACAATTCTGTGAGCATGTACGGAATCCACATTTCCATCAAATTGGATCTTCAATCAGAAAAAAAAAAAGTAAGTACCTAGGAAAGCAGGACCCTTCTTGCATGTCAAGAATGTCATTGCTGTATTCATCATAGATCGCCAAGGATGCCACAACATAACAAAGCCCCAACCAGATGGAGCACTCCTGTAATTCCATCACCAGATGAGTTTGACCACACAGTATGTACAAAACAGTTGTTACCGATCTCCAGATTTGCTTATTCTTAAGGTGTTCCTTGAGAACCCCCAAATGACTCCTTATTCTAGTCAGGTTGTCCTATTAACTGGCATACTATGAAGAATTTAAGGAAAGACACGCTACATTTTAAGTTGAACCACTGCTATATGAATTCAGAAAATCTACCTTGACCACCCTTAAGACTCCATTTTAGTCCTATTCAATAAAAGTTTCACTGTCAACTGAGCAGAACAACCTCGTAATATTGGTAATGCCAACTGACGAGGCGCATAAACAGGACAAACTCCATATTTATAGGCAAAACAATAAGGTACATGCGCCTAGAACTTTAGTACTTGAAATGAGAAAGGGTAGGATTTGGCAAAAGGACACTATAAGTGCCATAAGTTGTGTACGGAGATCACTTTGGTGCCATAACTTTTTTTCGGATCACTTTGGTGCCAAGTCGGAGGAAAAGAGATCACTTTAGTGACTCCGGCCAAAATTCCAGCCAAAAAAAGAGCCACGTCAGATTTCCGGCGAGCCATGTCAGCATCGGAAATTAATAAAAAAAGAGCCACGTCAGATTTCCGGCGACCATGTCAGCATTGGCACTAAAGTGATCGTTTTTCAAAAAAGTTGACACCAAAGTGATCCGAAAAAAAGTTATGGCACCAAAGTGATCTCCGTACACAACTTATGGCACTTATAGTGTCCTTTTGCCGGTAGGATTTTTTTAACAGTAGAAAGAAAGAGGAATTTAACCTGATAAACAACAACTCCTGCAAAGGCACCAAGGAAGATGCTGGATAGCATGGAGGCCAATACGGCTCCAACCACCGCCAAAGGCCAGAGTATGATGGCAAGACCAGCGAATGGAACACAAATCGTCTCCAGGAATGGGCCTTCACGACCAATGAGATCGTGAAACAAACGGTGCCATCCCTTGAAGAGCATGTAAGGGCTTTTGTATAGGGCAATGAGTGAGATCATAAGCATGTCAACCATAAATCCAAGCACTGCAACTACAACAGTACCTGGAAGATATAGCAACCTGCAAAGAAATTTCACATTAATAGATAAAAAGAAGTAGAAATAATTTTAGGAAAAATTTCTAATTATGTAAAGTTTAAAACTCCAACTTAGAGAACAAGTTGTGTCAATGCTATTTGGGGGGATGGGTGACCACATGCTTTTTACAGCTGCTCTGGGCTATATCAAAGGGACTCGTTCTAGGCAATAATCTCTCAATAGTGGGTTCACAGTTCAACGGGATTCACACAAGCTCAAAACTGCTGAAAATCACTACGTATCTTCATCCTAGGAGACATTTGTACTTCAGAGAAAATATCACTGTATAAATTTGCATTCTTGACCCGAAATTAGAGCCTTTGATCTGCACATTGTTTATTTACACTCTTAAAGCTTGTAACACCCAAGTGTAACTACTGAATATGTTGGTTGATGTCTTACTTAATAAACCCAAACATTCAGTGTAAACAAGCTCAATGTGTCTACCTGTAAGAGTTGTAACAGAGACTGAAACATTGGCTCTACGCAGGCACAATTAACGTGCACTTAGGATATTTTTTGTTTTTTTGGCCTTCGTTGCTCAAGGAATTTGACTTAGGTCAAAATTGAAGTACAGGAGCAGGCACAAAGATCAGACCTAATCTCATGATATTTCCCCTCCGCAGGCTCTTGATGCTGTAGGTCATCCATATAAGATAAGTAAGAGTGGAAGCATACATCCTTAAAATCCCGAACGATAGTGAAGCTCCCTTTGACTGTGCTCCAAGTTCCATCCTGGGAAACATTGGAAAATTGTCAATACTCTTGGTCTAGGCAAGGGACCAGCAAAACAAAGACTTCATACATAGAAGCAGTGGAAAAACTCGTTGGTCTTCTCCTCTCCAACGGCATCAAAAGTGGCAAATATTGGTGAAAGAAACCCATATGCTATTCCACCAACGACGCTGCCAGCAATGCCAAGCACTGGCCACAAAATCAAGGGAATAGGCATGCACAGTACAAGGACAAGCTTCAATCCAGGCCCTAATTGCTTCGATCTGCCAAACAGACAATAGTTAAAATGGAGGACCTCCAATTTTGAATGAGGCAACTCTGAGTGATAAGGTTCAAGGAATCACCTCAGAATACAATAACAGGTCCAGAAACAGTGAATGGGCCAAAGACCCAATATAATAGCAGAGTTGCCGATTGTTATAATAAGGCACGCCAAGGGACAAAATATGACACCTGAAATACAATATATATTCAATTTCCAGCACTCAAAATCACATTTTTATGCATTGACAAGAGAACTTAGAAAGCCGGGTTGGGGTGCAAAATGGTAATAACCTAGAAACTACGGTTGCTATCATCTAAATAATCAGCCTCTCCAAAATTTGAATAGCCCAGGGAAACCAGAGAAAAGAAAACAATGAGTTGATGCAGGATGATTATTCAAGTGGTTTAGTTGGGGAAAAACATTGCAAGGGGCTCCTGCCGCCCTTCTTGTTTTCAGCAAGTCACTGAGATGTCCTCTCGATTCAGAAGAAAACGCCACTCGGCAACGTCTAGCCAAAGAAGAATTACGTACTTGCCAATTTAGCAGGCGGAACTAATCGAGTCAAAAGTATAACCAACATTCTATAATGTTCAGAGATGAAAAAACATCAGCGACTTAATTGTTCTTCCTCCAAACGACTGTTTCCAACATACGGATCGGAAACAAACCCAGTGCAGTCACGTTCTTCAATAGCACAGAAAAAAAATGGAAGCAAATAACAAGCGAAGACTGCATAGAATCCTGACCTTTGATTGTGCCCAAGAGCAGAAGCCCAGTGAAGTAAGGCAAGAAGCAAATGAAGTTCGATATCTTAGCCAGAGCCCCTCTCGGAGGCTCCATGATCTCTCCTCAATCCCCCAAGATCTCCCTCAATCACTGCACACCCACTTCACATCTCGTCCCACTTCCTTGTTCAGACCCAAAAAGATAACAAATTTTCAGCCATGTAAAACAATCAATTCACGTCGCAGAGGAGACCCGAAAAAACAAAAACAGCAAAAGAGACCCACAAAAGAGAGACGAGCGAAACTCACACTACCTCTTCGATTCAGTCATCTCCTGACTTCTGGCGTTAGAATAAAGTAAAGAATTGAGTAAAGTTCAACCCTTCGTATCGTAGCTCTCGGTACTGGGAAATCGAAGCTCTGGATGAACAGAGGATGTGAAAAACTTGTAGCTGCGGTCTGGGGATGGAACATAAGAAGAGAACAAGACACGTTCGCAACTGTTTGAAGACCTCAAACCCGGAACGATGAATTGCGGGTAGAACAGTTACTGTCGGATTTCCGAAAAGGAAACCAATCTTCTCGACGCTTCAAAAGCTACTCTCTCTCTCTCCTGTTTTCTTCAAGATTGTATCTTTCTCTTCGGAACCATTTTAGTCACGTAATTAAAACGCAAACTCGAAGCGACGCGCCTCGTTCAAGTCCCGCTTCACTGTCGCTAAGCGTTGAAACATAGCCATAGAAGCAAGGGAAGAACCCGCTTTCGGGATAAGAGGGGGCTCACCAACCAATATCGACAAACTTTCATTCTCTGTTTCTCCTTTTTTTGGGCTTTTTATTGTTTTGGTTTCTTCGATGGATTCAAGGTAAACACATTAGCTTACGAAATGAATTCACATGAAAAATATGATAGAATTATGAACTTGACAAGTGGGACGTATTCAAATAATAGGTTCCTTGGAGTAGTAGCACTATTTAAATCAATTCCGAGTTATCTCTTTTATCTTATACGAAATGGTGTCAAAGTTTTGGTTTTGGTAACGTAACATCCAATGTGCGAATGTTGATTTTGGTCACCATTGACGACGATGAATGGTGGTTGTGGTCGGCCCCCGAATGGGAATGGGCAACGCATTCCTTTCACTTCATGCTTTATTTTGGGTGGACTGCTGTCATTTGTTGTCTGTAGGAGTAAGATCGGCGAGTCCCTTGTTTTGTTTTGGGGATAGGAGGTGAGGAGAATTAGGGTAGAAAAATGACTAAATTTTTGCAAATTTCCCTTCTCTCACTTTCTCGTGAAATTTTTTGAATTTCCTCCTCTTTTTATCTGAATTTCCTTTCTCCCATTTCCCCACTATTTCCTCACCTCTCAAAGTTGCTTCCTAATACACTTTTCGATTAAAGTTTTACCAAATGGTATTTACTTTAATGAAAACCTTTAGGCTAAAGTCCTTTTGTATTTCCCCAAAAGTGAACCAAAAGTAGCTTAAGACTTTAAGTGTCCAAGCCTCATAAAAGAAAGAGATAATGTATCGAGTATGATTGAATTTGGGAAAATGACAAAAATGATCCCTAAATTTTAATCTAATGTGCAATGTTATCCCTGAACCGAACTTTCAATTTATTCATTGTAGTCCCTTGAGTATTAGTAAATGTTCAATCTAATCCATAAACTTTATCAAAGTGTTCAATGTCGTCTTTTTATTGATTCAACTTAAATGAAATTTATCATGTGGCAGACCGGATTGCCAAAGCCCATTGTAGAAACGCCCTCCCCTCTAATTGGATTACTAAATCCCCCAACCCTTTTGGGATATTTTATGTTTCGATATTGAACATCTTTGTTTTGATTACAGCACTTAATGAATGAAGTACTTTTTCGACCAAAAAAAAAACTTAGATAGAATTTGCCGATGTAGCATCCAATCCATAAAGTATGAATGGTAGAACAAAAAAAAGTTACATGTGGATTATCCACATAAGATAATTATCTCAATTCAAGATATAATAATCCACGTCATCAAATTACAATGGACATGTTAGCGCCTAAATTTTTTTACCTTTTTTAAATTAGTTGGATAAAATGATGGACATATTAACTCATTATTTTTTTTAAATCCAACTCAACATATAATAATTCACATCATCAAATAACATCTAGTTCGTCGTTTGAGCAAATGGAAGAACTATATTGAACATTTACAATAGTTCAGGAACCACCTTGAACAGCTTAAAAGGCCAAAAATCACATTACACATTGGGATAAAGTTCATGGACCGTTTGTACTATTTTCCCATTGAATTTTAACTCTTCTTTGAAATTCAAAATTGTACATTTACATTTCTTGCTTCAAAATGGTCCATGCACTTTATGAAAGTACAAGAGAAGCAAAATGCATTTTTTAATTATTGAGTTACACTCACTTGTTATATTTGCTAACTTCCAAAAAATTAATAAATAGGTGCTTTGAGAATATAAAAAAAAAATTCCATGTGAAATAACACTGGAGTGTTGACCAAAATCAAAATCTAAAAAATCTATCATTCTTAATTTTCATAAAATTATTCTAATTTTTTTTTGCATAATTACTATATGAAATCATTGAAGAGAAAATTCGCCCCCAATCCACTTTCCTTCGGTGACTTACGTCTTCTCTATTTAAGTGACTAATTTAGTTATCTTTATAAATGATAAATAGGAAATTGATGATTCTTCGACTTCTCTAACTTTTTTTTTTTTGGTCAGACTCGACTTCTCTAACTAAGATGTGCTTTTTATTTGATGTAAAAAGATTAGAGTGCATCTCCCCTCGGCTAATCAAAGACCAGTTGACTATAGTTATAGAAAAAGAAACACACATTTGATATACTCTGATTTCACAACATAAATTCGATTTTCAGGTAGAACCGGAATTTGACTAAAACTGACCGGTTCGGTGATAAGAACCTATTGTTGATACTATAATAAGTATAGATGAACATGACTTCTCAACTTATAATTTTATGGAAATATGATGAATTTGCTTTTCCAACATATCGATCAGTGATTTCCTCCGTTTGACCCGTTAAAAACATGAAGTATACATTCTTATTAAATACCATGACTTTGAATTCACTATATATTCTCGTCAATCTAGCATTGTGAAATTATAGACTAATGTATTAACCGTCGAGATCTGTTGAGGTGCCATTAAAAGAATCAAACGGGGTAGTGGATCCTTGTCCCCGATTGAAAACTAGAGAAAACTTAAGGATTATCATGTTTGGACTATCCAATTTTACCCGTATCTTATAGTTCCATGAGATTATCATTTATGGAATATCTCATGTTCTTGCAATTTATCCATACCATGCAGAGACATCACTTCGCGTACCGATTTCATAAATTTAGTCTTATGAAGAGTGATGGAAGATTCAGAAATCCGAATGACACAACTTCACAGACTAATACAGAAACAAGAGATCAGCAAACTTATTGATAAGTTACATGCATCAACTCGGTCCCAAAACACGACAGTAGCACAAAACACAGATTCAAGAAGTATTCCACACACACACAGACACAAGATCACACCACAGTCGATCTATCATCAATGGATCTCAACCCTCTTGACCTCGGGCTTCTTCTCCTCCACCTTGGGCACGATGACGGTGAGCACCCCATCCGCCATGCACGCCTTGATCTCCTCCCTCTTCGCATTCCTCGGCAGCCTGAACCGCCTCGAGAACTTGCCCCGGAAACGCTCTACCCTGTGCCACTTCTCGGCCTCGCTCTTCTTGCCATCTCTGTCCTCGGCTTCTTTGTCCTCTGGCGCCTTCCTCTCCCCGCTGATTTCCAGGTACCCGTCGCTGTCAACCTCCACCTTCACCTCCTCCTTCTTCAGCCCCGGGAGGTCGGCGATGAACACGTGAGCCTCCGGGGTCTCCTTCCAGTCGGTCGGGGTGTTGAGCACCGGGCACTTGTTGACCACCGACAGGAACGGGTCCAAGATCTCGTTCCCCATAAGCTGAGAAATCAGAGACATTGTTAGCCGCTGAAACGGTGGTGATCAGAATATTGATTATCGGGTGGGTTATGTGTGTGTGCTGAAGTGGTTTGGGTGAAGCTTGGGTTTATAAGGGCGAGCTTGGATCCGTTCTTGAAGTTTCTTGTCTGTTCCATTTGGTAGAAATTTTTGTTTGTGGGTTGATGTGATTACTGAAAAGATAAGATCTAATCAAAGGGTGGTTCTACGACCTTCCTGCATGCTGTGCTCGCTTGAACCTTCTCCTGCGTTCCACACACTGTTTTAGCATCATTTCTTTTCCTTTTTCACCACGACTTAAGCTCTAACCGTATGTCGACTAACCTCGTAAGGTAATATGTGCAAAATCGAAACCCGGTAGGTGGTATAGGTGACTCAAACGTGGAATTGCTGTCGCTTGGTACATAATGTAAAGAATATGATTATTTTTTTTTAAAAACAAAAATGATTTGAATATGAGACGATGCTCATGTGCATCGACTGTAATCATGATTCATTTAGGCACGAATTCTTATAATATGATACTCATGCGCATCGACTGTAATCATGTGCATGTATATATATATTTGCGTCACTTGATCATATGACGTATGCTAAATTTACGCGTAGCGTTCACCCAATTAAAAAATATGGATGAACTTGATAAGCTAAGTATGCACATTCAATGTGCTTATTGATTTCTGTAATTTTAAAAGCATATAGCTAGCCAGATCAAAGTGATAAAATATAATAAAGATCAGATGTGCCTTTAGTTATTTTATGGAAGTATATGCGAAAAATGCATTAAAATTGGATGGATAAAAACTGGGAGAAGCGTATCTATGCTTTATATTTACTAGCTATTTATGCAAAAAAAAAATAAGGAATTTTTTCGTAGGCTGGTCATCATGACTTTGTTTTCCGCATATATATATATATACTCAAAAATTAAGAGATGATTCCAAAATCTTCCAATCCCTAAGTTGTCGAATACGGATAACGTTACATCAATGGCCGTGGCACTTAATTTCCATTGCATTAAATGCCCCAGAAAGATGAGGAATGAATTGTTATGCAATTGGACTAATTTTAATTTTCCAAATTAGTAGTTGCGTGTCATCATCAATCACCACAGCATGGGTTGCCCTTGAGCTAAGGTCACTGACCCCAGCTCTGCTGAAATGTCAGAGAAAATGATTGAAGCCCAACACATTTGATGTCGCCTTGACGTTACCTTACTTCAAGATTTGTCCATAATATCAATGGCCTAATTGATAAAGTATATGTCGAGGAAGCTTAGGCCCGCCTCGTTAACTAACGTAATCTCTCTAGTTTGATCATGAGCAAAGTCATTTATTTCCGGTCAAAAAGATTCCCGATAAATTAAATTATCGCCAAAATTCAAACGAGGTTTACATCTCGGGATGATAATCAATTAAATCGTGGTATTCGGCGGACCAAAGCTGGCATCTGTCATATTAGTAGATTGTACATTATGAACAGATATACAAGTTTAGGTTTAGCTCGCAATCTCTTTACCTTCGAGCTCTCTCTAAAAGACTCGAAAAACTTTTATTAAAAGCAAGAAACACACCACGTACGTCGAAACATTATTCTGCCCTTTTTTGCCTATCGTCTGTTTGCTATACATAATCATATGCTGCAAGCTTGGATTAATCTTCGCAATCTCTTCTCACAAATCGGCCCTGCAACATAAGAAAGAAAAACGTCAAATTCCATCAGCAAAAGGAAAAACATTCCCAAATAAAGGAAGAAAAAAGAAAAAAAGAAAGAAGGGATAATGACACAAACAGTCCATGAACTTTGACTCAATGCGCAATTTGATCCATAAACTTTTAATTTGTTCAATGTAGTCCATGAACTTTAGGCTAATGTTCAATGTGATCCTTGAACTTTTATTTTGTTCAATATCATCCTTAAATTTTTGGTACATGTTCAATTCAGTCCCTAAACTATATGAAAATGTTCAATGTAGTCCATGAACTTGAATTAATGGAAATAACTGCATTTAACATTTTTATATAGTTCAAGGACTGAATTGAACATGTACCAAAAGTTCAGGGATGACATTGAACAAATTAAAAGTTCAGGGATCACATTGCACATTGGGTTAAAGTTCAGGGATCACATTGAACAAATTAAAAGTTCAGTTACCAAGTTGCGCATTGAATCAAAGTTCATGGACTGTTTGTGTCATTTTGCCAAGAAAGAAAGAAAGAAAGAGAAACGGTGTGAACCTTGATACGAGGTCGTTTCTGGGCATTGAGCTTCCTGACTTCGTACCGGATGCGCTTGGAGAAGAGCCTGCTGTGCCTCTTCTCCTTGTACCGCATCACGCTCGCCTCTCTTTGCCTGATCTTGTCGCTGAACTCGCCACCGTCCTCCATAGTCACATCCCTGTTGATGGTGGCGGCTTCGCTTTCTGCTGCTTTCTCCGGGACTGTCCACACATTCTCCCATCCATCCATCGCCCCCTGCTTGATTCACACAACCAAACGAAGAAGACCCAATGAAACTATTCTCGCCTTTGAATACCATCTACATGTTTGTAGTGTAGAAACAGACGATGTAACAGGAAGGAAACGTGGGATGATGGGAGTGCGTGGGTATTGGGACTGGCGTGAATCTTTTCGAACCCTACATCTGCACATTTTCTTGAAGAGTCCACAGCATGAGCACTTCTCATGTGGGTCTTTGCCGAGACAAAGTAGCTAGACTTATTCTATTAATGGAATGCAATGGATAGAGTTAATCACGATAGACAGACCGTGTGGGAAGACGCATCTTTTCCATGAAGGGACATTATTTTCCTGCGAGCCTTGCCAAATAAAGCTTCTTCCAGCCATATGTCTGATTGATGGGTCACATGTATCACGCATATGCAGAGTTAACCAAAGTTAAAACAGGGGTGATGTATGTACTTGTATCTCACCAATCAAAAGCATAGTTTGAATATGGTTGGAAGGAATTTCCTTCAACCGGGATTATAGAAGTTAAAAAAGTGGAAAGGAAAGATTAGTGTTGGTGATTCTTTGGGCATTATCATTAGAATCCCACACTCATGACAGAATATTCGGTTTGAGTCATAACTATTACTTATTTTGAGTAAGATCATCACTGCTGCCCTATGGTGCTAATGGGAGCAAAGTCAGGGGTCATCCTACGCCATAGCATGATCGAATGCTACCGACGAACTGAGACTTCTTGGGGCGATCGAGGGGCTTCGCATCGATGACAAAAAGGCCCCAAACTATTTGGGATTGATCTCTACATTACTGGATCAACGATCGTGATAGTGCGCTAAACTCAAACCTTTTCAAGACTACAATAATATCACCGATCGATGTCATGCTAACATGGGCCCACGACAGCGCTCACTCCGGAGCAAACGGACCCCCATTAAATGAAAGCATTAAAGAAAAAGGTCAAGGAGCTTTTAGATTCCTGTGAAGCCATCCATCGAACTGAAAAAGAAGAAGGATAAACCAAATCTCTGCATAATCTAACCAACCAAAAACTCCCTACTTTGCATTTAACACGTGAAAATCTCAAAAAAAAAATCTTTAGAAAGAGATATTGATAAATTTGATTTGGCAATTACCGCAGTTCATGATATAGATCAAGTAGAGAGAGATAAAGGATTAAAATATACAGACCTAAGCATCTCAACGATAGTGAGAAATCAATCATAAGTGCATAAATGCATGCTTTTCAGGTTAGTAGCCACTGTGGCCGTGAGCCCCGGATTAATGGGGCCAAAATTGATTAATGGATTCACGTCGGTCAGAATTTTCGACTCCATTAATTTCCATAAATATGCGAAAATCATATCTGGATCGCATGCATCGACGCAAGAGCGAGGGTGTGACGTGTGCCTGTCGGTGCAAATGTTGGAAACGCGCCTGACTCGAAACGAAGAAGTGATTAGCGATGATGAATGATGATCGACGAAATAGAGGAGGGATTGATGAAGATGGTCTTACGTTATCAACACGCATCAAGTCAGGCACGGTCTGAGGCGTCTCGTGATTCGCATCCCCGCCGCACACGAAGAGCGAGCCCTTGTCGGACCAGGCGTCCAAGATCTCCTGGTAATCGAGCTTCAGCGACAGCATCGCCCCCTGCTGCGCCGTCCGCCCTCCCCGCCACGCGTCGGCGGCGCAGCTGGTCACCTCCTCCATCTCCGCCTTCTTCTCCGCCTCGACGATGACCTCGCTGTAGCACACCCACTTCTCTTCGCTCTCCCCCCTCTCTCTGCTGCTGCTCTTCATGGCGCACCGTATCAGCGACGACACCGCCGATTCCTCCTCCTCCACCACCCCGGAGGAGGCGGCGGCCGCGGCGGCGACGGCCGGGGCGGGGGCGGCGGGGTCGAGGAGGCCGGTGAGGGTGGCGGCGGCGGCGGCGGCGGCGGAGTCGAACAGCAGGGCGACGTCGTTCTCGTCCTGGAGCTGCTGGCCTTGATCCCCGCCGCCGTCGCCGCCGTTGGCCAAGTGGGCTCCCGGGTGGAGGGGGAACAGCTCCAGCTGGTGCTTCTGGCGGTGGCGGCGCACGGTCTTGCGGTGGTAAGTGCGGTTCATTTGGGGGGCGGGGGCGGCGGCGGCGGCGCTCGTCCGGGAGCTCTGAGGGGAGATTTGAAGGCCGAGGCTCAAGAACTTGGGCCTGCGAATCTTGGTTCTTGATCTGCGAGATGGGTTGGTGAGGGAGGCCAGGGTTTGCTTTTGCTTCTTCTTTGGTTTGCCGGGCATGGAGGACTTGGACCTGGTCTTCATGTCCGCAGGAGGAGGGCAGTTCTTGGGACACATCTCTCGCTGATCATCACTCTCTCTCTCTCTCTCTCTCTCTCTCTCTCTCTCTAGGTTGCTTTCAGTCAGTCAGTCCGCCATTGGTGTCTCTCTCTCTATAGAAGAAAAGGCCAGAAAAAGTGCATGAGCTTTTCGGAGCGCGGGACCCACTGTGGAGGGGAGAGAGAGATGCTGACTCATGCCAGGGCCGAGGCGAGGGGGAGAGAGGAGGGAGACGGGGGTTGCTTTATCGACACGTGGCGCGTTGCTACTGGAGGACAAGGTGGATAGTGCTGTGTTATCTAGATTTCGTTTGGCTTTGGTTGGATTTTGCCAAGATTCTTGCTTGCACCGGAGGATTCCCCCGTGAGCTTAATTCATCTCAATTCTTGAGTCACGTCGGTCTCGTGTTGTAATTATCCATACGAATGGATTTATGATGTATTAAGCTCGCATGTATCCGGATCACCCGAAAGTTTTTCTAAATTTTTGAACGGTACAAAAATTTTGAATTTCAAGACTTTTGGATCCGGGGGCGAGAGGGTAGTTTTAGCACGACAAAATGAAATGAAATAGGGAAATGAGAACGATGACTCCAGTAATTTTGTTTGGTAAATTTTGGGAATGGAAGGGAACGAATTCTCTCATATTTGGTGGTTTGGAAAAAAATGGAAGAGAACGATTCGATTTGAGTTTAGTATGTATTCTAGATTAGTGGAATACTTGATCCCTCAATTTTCCTATTATAATCCATTCCGTGTTTTTGTTTTTTTGGTAATTGTCGGAACATATAAAAAATGGAAAGTTTTTAGTTGATTAATGAGTTCTATTATTTTGCAATTCCACGCTACCAACTCCTAAATAAGGGATCTTCAAGGGCTTGTAGAAGCACCTTGCGAGTGATGTAGCGTTGATTTAGATTGCTTAACTTACTAAGCTACTCTCGTTGAGTGGCAATGATAGTTTTGTCACGACACAATCTTTTCAAAGAGGAATTGTGAACTTGGCTAAGACACGCTAACATAAATTGCCAGCCTTACAAAACATAACGTAGTGACATTTAAGAGAGGAAGTAAATCCTTTTTAAAACGTTTGCAATTTCCTCTAACTAAGACGAGGGAAAACCATTGGTTGCCAGACATCATCAACGTCTATTTTCGGTTAGGTTTGCACGTGAACGGTACTCATATTCAAACCACCAAGCAAAGGGTTTCTATGGCTAAGGACGAAGAAAGAAAGGTTTCGACTTCCAATATACCGTCCTTCGTATAATCGACACATTAGAAATGAAAATATTTACTCATCAAGTATGATTAGCACTTTAATTAGCCCAAAAGAAAAAAGAGAAAAAAAAAAGGAAAAGAACCTGGATGAAAAGAGGAAGACGGGGCATTCCGAGAATTGAACTCGGGACCTCTCGCACCCTAAGCGAGAATCATACCACTAGACCAAATGCCCAGAGCTGCCATGCTCCTGTAACTTTATAATATAATTATTTTCTGTTCTTCTGATGTACACTGAAATCACCAACTCATACTCGTTGCTCTACACATAACCATTATGAAGATGAACTGTGAAGACGATGTCTATCATTTGCAGGAACCAGGATGCATCTCTTTTCTATCGATCCTTGTCGCTCTCTATAACGTGCAATTGATTTGGTTTCGAGTTAATACGGATCAATTCAGTATAGGCATACCTTGGCTTGAGCTTAACTATGTTACATAGTTATATATCACACAACGTAAATATGGGCAAACAAGCATTAAAATGAGAAACTGTTGCTTATGGCAACAAAACCGATCAGTTTTGCTTTCATCTTCGATTATATCCTGTTCGAGTTGATTCTAAAAGTCAAGTTCAAGTTGGTCAATGGTTGATTTGAGAGGTTAATTGTCGTGAAAATCCCGAGAATCATCGTAAGAAAGTACAAAATTCGTGAACGTTTAAGACGTGCAAGCACTGTTCTTAATGATAATTTCTATCTTTTAGAGGTGTAGAAAGCAGAACCTATCCAAAATTTCACGAACTATTCGATATAGTGCGCATGGCACTGTTGAAGGAAACAATGAACAATAGCGAAACATGTAAAACCAGTAGAGAGAATATAAAAAGAGAGTGCTCCGTATATTGTTTTCCGTGCATCAAACAACAAAGAGAAAGCCGATACATATAGGAGAATTAGCAACGTCTTTATTACGAAACAGCTCGAAAATTTAGAAAGAAATTTTGATTGCGTGTGTATCTCACGCGCAAGGAAGAGAGGGAAATCCAATTTTTACACTTGGTTTGATCCAATCTCATGCGCACGACCCAACATCTTTAACTTTGTTATAATCAATCTAGTATTGTAAATCCATTAATTCGATGGACAAGAGAAAGCTTCGTGAACAATGCCGGACAAAGCAATGCAAGGAAAACGAGTTTTTTTTAAATACTTTATGCAACGTTAGTCTCTTTGTAATTGAAAATGCTTGTGTTGAGGAGCCACTAATTGCCGGACTCAAACACATTCAAAACAATTACATCGTCGTTCAAGAGCCGATGTTTGCATCAGCTTCTCTGAACTTATACGTCAAACCAGAACGAAATAGACCATGAAACAAACTCACAAAACAAAGAGAACCCAGAAACTATTTTCTCTCGAAACCAACCTTTATCTTGACTCCTACAACTTAAAGGAAAAAGAACGCGGCGGCAGCAAGAGCAGTGGGGGCCGAGATCTTGATAGCGGAGGTGCCGCTGCTGGCGGGAGCGTTGGCCGCTGGTGCAACGGAGGCCTCGCTGGAGGGTGCGGGCGGAGACGACAGGTCGCTGGAGGGAGACGATGCTGGTGCCTCAGCGGTAGCAGGAGACCTGGCGGAGGAGGCCTGAGGAGCCTCGGAGACGGGCGGGGGCATGGAAGCCTCGGGGGCAGTCGACACAGCAGGGGCCGATGCCTTGGGGGACGAGGCAGTGGATGATGACAAGGAACCTTGGGGGGCGGCAGCAGGCGTGGCTGCGGTCGCCTCGGCTGAGACTGATCCGACAATTGCCGCGACAGCTAGGGCAAGCACCACAAGTCGACTAGCCATCTTCACCGCAGTATATCTTCGTTAGCTAGAGAATTACGACTCCAAAACGAAAACGAAACGAAGAACTTCCTTCTTCTTTTCTTGTTTCGAGGTTGATTTCAGAGAATGCAGCTTTCTCTAGGAACGTAGAGAAACGCTGCGAGAGCTTGAAGATCTGAGAGGGGAAGATCTGCGACGAGAAAGAGAGGATTAAATAGGGATTAAAAGGTAGGTTAAAATAGATAATAGCCATTTTGGTTTTTAGGTTATTTTTGGTGAACGTACGTACGTGTTTTGAGAGTAGTGATCGTGTTATTATTACATGCAAGTCGACGTGCGTGGTGGGAAGAGGCCTCGTTTTATTTTTGGGCAGTGTCCTTTACTTAGAAGGATGAGAGATTTTTCTGGGAGTTTGAGGTTAATGATTGAAAAGAAAATTTGTATTTTAATTGATAACCACTTCATTCCTAGACGTGAAAAGACTTAAATGCCCCCCCAAATTCGATGGAAAAACTTCGGCCATGATAATGAATGGGATTGGCCGAATTTTTTAATCCATAGGTTCAGTCCATTTAATCCAATTAAGCTCAAGACCTCCGTGTACCGGTCCATTAGCTCTGATGCAACTCTATGGGTTTAATTAAAATGCTTTTAATGTCTATAATTTAATGATATTTTTTGTTAAGGGGCCAAGATCGATACCTAATTTTTAATGCAATTAATGATTAAATGGGTCGCTAAAATTTAAAGTGTCAACAATTCACAATCTCGAGGGTTCATTTTGTATCCGTTTTTTTAATACTAGAAATTAAAGTGTTTTTTTATACTAAAAATTAATGATTGTAAATGCATGTACCATGTTTTACTTATTTTATTTTGCGGAATCTTCTATCTGAAGAGGATTCATTGCTTTGGTTTTTCATTTCCCATTCTTTACTCTTGAGCTTGAAAAAAGACAAAAAATAAAATAAGACTTGATTGGTAAAAAGCCAGAAAAAGGCAACCTGTGAACGAACATGAGGCTATTGATCAATCTCTCGTGCAACTAGAAACACGATGTGGCTTTTCTTCGAAGGACGTGTGCGGTGCTGTCTTGTAACGATATGACTGTAAGAATAATAGCAAAGCCAAATATAATTTAATTAGTATAATCAGAAGTTGAGATATTTATCACATTATGAACAATGTTGTATACAATTACTAAACTTTAAATAATCGTAAATATATTAAATGAGTTTCTGTTTATATAGCAACGTTTGCTAACCACAATGACTGTACATTTATGAAAGTGTAGTTGTTTAGGTACAACGGAAACACTCCGTAATTAATTTAATTCAGCTAGTTGGGTGAACGGGTAAAAAAATTAGACGAAGTCTTTTAAATCCATGACATGGTTAGCTGAAGCTAGCAAGGAAGTGAAGGTCATTAATGCTTTGGAAAATAACAAGCGACCAATGAGAACTTGAAGTACTTTTCCATGTGACAAAAAGGGACCAATAATGTAAACCCTTAGCTGCTAAGTCTCGGCCAGACCCCCAAAACAAAATTAATTTTGAGAAATGAAAGGGGGTTGTGGCCGAGAGCTGGTTTTTAGGAGAGAAACCAAGCTTTTTGCTTGAAAAATTTGTCAATTCTTCAACAAATTCAAGATTTGGACCTTGCCTTCGGAGCACCCATTTCTTGTGCTGGAAGACATTTAAGAGCAATTCTAAGTATGGATTGCTATGTACGCCTAGATCGAGGCCTAAGTCATAGACTCTGTCGGTAAGACATTTAAGACCAGTTCTAAGTGCGGATCGCTATCTATGCCTCAGATGGAGGCCTAAGGCATAGATTGAATTGGACTAGTAAGACCACTATATGTATACACATGACATCGCTTGGCCTTTTCTAATTGTGAAGCATTAAGAATATAACTTTAATAATAATTATATAGCTAAATAAGATTCAATTAGTTTAATTAGAAGTTAAGATGTTTATCCCAAAGTTTTCTCGGTTGCAACCCGATAATGGATTTTACATCTTTGACACGTTGGTGTGCATCTATAGCTCAAAGCAATTGATAAGAGGACAAGAACTTGGACCATCTCGCCATCCAGCATTCAATTAAAGAGGGACTTTTACAAGTCTTCCCTTAGTTACGCCTATGCACAGCCAGCATTTATTGACCGCGTTCCAAAACATCCACAGTTATAGCAAGATCTATAAACCTAATCTATTCATAGGTTGCGATCGTCCGGTTCGAACACGCTACACCCCCAATCCCCCAAATCTTTTTTTCTTTTCGCGAGAGGAGAGAATACCGTCTGAAAGTTTTATATCTTGATAATTTCGAGAATCCGGACGATCATCAAAATAAAACCTTTTAAGACATGCTTAGGTTTGGTGTGATCATCCTATATATAAATACACAAAGACAACACATTTTGCACCCCATCAAACAAAGCTAAAAGCTTGAGCGAATCGCCTGATGGCTGAGGACCAACCCTTTACAGTGCCTTTTCCAACTCTCGTCTCTCGGTCTCTCCTGAGTCTCTTGCACTCTCGTCTCCCTCAATCCCTCTCTCTGAATTCCTCTCTAACCATGAAATAGATGACGCACTGTCTTTTCTTCCTCTTGGTGTTCGTCCTCACGCTTTCGGCGACCACGATAGCTGTCGATGATGAGGTCTCGAATGACCGGATCGCCAGATTACCGGGCCAGCCGGAGATGCACGTGGCCCAGTTCTCTGGCTACGTCTCCGTCAATAGGGGGGCGTCTCTCTTCTACTGGCTAGTAGAAGCTGTTGGAGACGGCGGGAAGAAGCCCCTCGTCCTGTGGCTAAACGGAGGACCCGGGTGCTCCTCCATCGGCTATGGCGCGTTTCAGGAGCTCGGTCCGTTCCGAGTCTCCCCCGACGGCGAAACACTGGTCACCAACCCGTATTCATGGAACCGAGGTGCGCATGCAAACATGAACAGAGTCCATATACAAAATTTATGTAATATCTTCTTTTTTCTCCATTTTTTTCACTCAAATTTCTGGTTTTTTCGTGCAGAAGCGAACTTGTTGTTCTTGGATTCGCCAGCAGGAGTTGGTTTTTCTTCCTCGACTGACAACTTCACTCGTTATGGAGACCACCCCACTGGTCCGTACCAAGTTTTTCTTCTTTTCCCTCACCAAGGTTTGGCGACTTTTTTTTCGCTCATTATGAATTTCTTTCCTCGTCTTCTGTGAATGAAATTCTAGCCCATGAAGCTTATACATTCCTGAAAGGATGGTTCAAGAGATTCCCAGGGTATAAAGGCCGAGCCTTCTACATCGCTGGAGAAAGCTACGCCGGTAAGTATCATTCAATTATCATCTTTCTAAAGCCCAGATCGAATCTCTAAACTCATGTTTTGATCTTTGACCTCAGGTCATTATGTTCCGTCGTTGGCAGAGATCATTCTGAAGAAGAACTCCAGGAAAGCTAATCCGGTGATGAATCTCAAAGGCATTTTGGTAAAGAGGGGGCAGAACTGTTTCATCTTTAAAGCATGATTAAGAATTACAAAAGAGGAGCAGATTAGTACTTGAAACAATCATATTCTTTGTATATTTCCTAAAGGTGTATGTTTAATGTTTACGGATGTATTAGTGACCACTAGCCCCAATAACTTCTTAAAAATGTCCTTCAGATGGGTAATCCTACCTTGGACCTGGAGTTCGAACTGAAAGGCAGAGCTCTATACTACTGGAGCCACGGTCTCGTCTCAGACGACACTTACCAAGGGCTGTCAAGTACTTTGTGCAGCTCTCCGAAGACATATAGAGCGAAGGCATGCAAGCCCTACTTAACATATTTGCGAGAGGAAATTGGAAATGTGAATCTATTTGATATACTTTCGACGGATTGTGAAGCTGAGGAGGAGGTAATTATTCACTATTTCACCGTGCTTTGTAACCTAACAAATGATAAATACTCACTGTACCATATCTAGATTTCTAACACTGATTTTTCTTGAACAAGGGGTCCAAGTTTTGTCTCGAAAGGATTACCTCCAGGTACATGAACAAAAAGGACGTGCAGGAAGCCTTCCATGCAATCCCCACCGCATGGACACACTGCAGGTTTTTGTCTTCTATCTTACATTATCTCCTTCTCATTTCCGATTAGTTTTAGCTTTGATTAAGCAGTCAGGTCTTATCAAACTAGTTTCTTTCGCCTTGCAGTCGCCCTATACAACATAATTACAGCCATCCTGCTAAGGAACAGTCGATGTTGCCCACCCTGAAGCTGCTCATCCAGTCGGGCTTGCATATTTGGATCTACAGGTAACTGATGATGAAATTATCAATAGAAGGAAACCGACGTGCCGACTTGTGCAACAAAAATCGATCTGTGCTCTATGGCTTTTGTTCTTTTCAAGATGGTGAACTAGTTGGAAGCGTAGCAGAAAGTCAAAAAAATAAGTAAATAATGTTTTGCTTCATAGTGTTTTTGCAGTTAAAGCAGCTCTTCTATTCAACTTGAATATCTTTCTTTTTATTTTGTATCAGTGGAGATACAGATGCAACAGTTCCCTTCGTAGCCACTCGGGCTGCTATTTCCAAGCTGCATCTCAAGAGGAACGCAAAATGGTATCCCTGGGGCCATAATAGCAAGGTAATGTAATCGTTGCTTTAATGATCCCACATCTCAGATTAAACCGGGGTTGATTAACTTTCCCTTTGCTCACGGCCGATGTCGATATTGACATGATATCAGATTGGCGGCTGGTCTGAGATATACGAAGGCATGATCTTCGCGACAGTCAGAGGCTGCGGTCATGACGTCCCCATGTATGCGCCTGCTCAAGCGCTCGATGTGTTCGAGCACTTTTTAGCTCAGAGGCTGTTGCCTAAGTATATGGAGTGATGCAATATCTGTAACCTTGTGGGATTTTTCAAAACGTTGATCTAGTTGCTATCGTAGAATATCATGTGATATAAAAATAATATCTAGCGCCGTTTCTTGTTGCTCAATTTCGGAAGTATGTTCACTATACAAACATGATCAATGTTTTCTTCAATTATGAGTATCATATTTTGAATGGGATAGACGAAATAGTGAAGTGAATCAAGAAACTTAAAATGGTAACTATGAACATGTGTTTTTTTCTTTTTTGTTAAATACGCTCTAAGCAAAAACAACAAAGAAGTACTCCAGCCATCTAAGTAAAACGAGAGAAACAAAGAGCTGCGATTTACGTTCTCATTTTTCTAATATCATTGTGCTGTCCGATCTTAATTAGCAATGGACTACAATACAACTAATCTTTATCAGACGTGACAGTCTTCCCAATTTGATCCCACTGGATAACTATGTTATGAAAATACATCCAGTGGGATTAAAGATAGCTCCATGGGAGTTTATGCATGCTTGTACTTCTTCAGTTCTTCATAAGGAAAAGGTCTCTGGTCAAGTGGAATTAAAGGGTCGGACTTTTTCACCCTAGGGGCAACTTTTTTTCTAGGCATGGCTTTGGGCTCTCCAACTAGGGCGATCGGTTCCCGGTTTCCAAAATTAAGAATTGTGGACTGATTACGTAGGATTTAGTTCACATTTTACTAATTTTTGTCAACAAATTTATGTCAATGAAGTTCACTTAGGTTTAGTTCACATTTTATTAATTTTTTAGAAGAAATAAAAAAAAAATATGTAGTCAGTCCGGTCTGGTTCGGTCCGGTTCCCCTTTGGAATTGTGAACCGAGCCGCTCAGACACCGGTTCCACTTTTAGAAATTGGGAACCGAACCGATACTCACGGGAATTGGACTCTGGTTGGAGCAGTTCCCAGTTTGGGCGGTCCGTTTTGCAGACCCTTAGCTTTAATAACATATTTACCAAATTAAGAAAACGTTAATTACCCACACGGAATGTTTGCCGGAGCGGCATGCTTCATTGCCAGTAGATGGAAGAGGAAGAGGCATATTGCATTTATTTGACCCACATGGCAACGTTTGCTAAGGGTTAGACTTCCAGGTACCGCTTTAAATAAACATTAGGGTGCGTTTGATTCGCGAAAAAGGATGAATGATTCGGAAATCATTTTTCTAAAAGTGATCGCTTGTATCGTTTATAATCTATAATAAGATAATGTACTACTTCTCGACAGATTTTCTTATCTTCTGCTCATTCTTTTTTGGAGATATGTTGATGATAATAACGGATATATAAATTAAGGTCGGATTATAGGATTAAGATAATGCAGCTCTAATCAATACAATTGCGCGAATAAATTAATTGCAAAGGAAATTAAACGGGGGCACACATCAGGCCTCCATTCATCAATGTGAATTATTTATTTTCTCTTCTTCTTCTTTTTCCAATTAATAATCTTATTAGCAAGATAGTCATGAATAAAACAAATTTATAAAATATTTATAGAAAAAAACATCCAATTGTTAGAATATTGGACGGTGCGGATTATAACTGATATTACGAAGGACTGTTGAAAGAAAATCTAATAACTCCTCAATAAATACAGGCGTTAAACTTTCATCCCTCTACTCCTATAAAAATGGCTGTTTCGAATAGGATAATAAAAAATCACTTTTCAGTCAAGATTGTATAGGTGGGGGAGCTACAATAACAATAAATTTGTCTAATTCCTTAAAAAAAAACCTCCTTAGATCCAGTTCAAAATCCACCCCAAACTTTTCTTTATCTAAAAAAAACCCCAAACTTTTGGTCCAGTCCCAAATTTATCCCAGACTGTTTTTTTTTTGTCTAGGAGAAAAATCACAAATTTTTACTCTTCTCCCAAATCTGCCTCCATTAACCCTTTGTCCAAACATTGCCGTTAGTTGTTCTTAATTTTCATATCCTAGAACGGTTTCATTTTGGAGATAACTTTCCATGTCACTTAGTTGATGCGGATTTATTATTGATGTGGAAATGCCACGACGGTGGGAGATTTGACAATAGATTGAAAATTTGTAATTTTTTTAGACAAACCAAAGTTCGGAATAAATTTGGGACTGAACCTAAAGTTTGGGGTTTTCTCCAAGACAAAAAAAGTTCGGGGTAAAATTGGAACTAAACCTAAAATTGAGGGTTTTCTAGAGAATTAGGCTAATTATCTATTCTTATCCCGGGCTCTTAATTCTTTTTCTCATGGTAGCAGCTTTCTACAATTAAATCAACCAAAGACCATGATTTTAGAAAATTAATCTTAGCTTGTGATTGCAGGTACTGCACAGAATTAAAAACTATGTCCATGAAGCAAGTGATTACGGGAGTGCTCGTGGCCATCATGCTGTTCGAGTTTGGAATGGCGACAGCCCCGGATTCTTCAAGTCGTCTCAAGCGTGAACTCCGGGCGTTCTACGTGAAACGGATGCACGAATGCCGAGATTTATGTCACGACGTGAGGGAGTGTGGTGACAAGAATAAGCAAAGCAGAAAGTATGATAAGATATGTTATGAATATTGCGATGCCTTTTGTTCTAAATTTTGGTACAATATGGAATCATGGTACCTCATGTAGACAATAAGTACGGACATACTCCATTTTTTATGTTATCGACCAAGGTTTGGCTTGCATCTTATGTGATCTGTCATGGACAATTACCCAATCAATTCTAAACATGTTATACGGATGTCGATTCGGTTATAAACTTTTCGGATTTTGTCAATATAGTGCTGAAACTTTCCGCAAAATTTCAATATAGTCCGGCCATACGATGCCGTATAATATCTAAGTTGAGGCAGTAAATAGGAATTGAGCTGACGAAAGAGACTTGCATTTCTATACTTCAGTTTGGGGTTGGGAACGTTTCGCTTCTTGCAGACTGACAAAATGTTGCTCACTAACCTAGTTGTAGTAAAAAAAATGACTAAATTTCGATCCAGACCTCAATTTTCAAGCGTTGCATGAAAATGCATGAACTTATATTTGAAAGAAAATTTAAACCTTCGATAGAATTTTAGTCAAAATGTGTGTGCATGGTGTCTGAGATGACAAATGGATCATGACATAACATATGTAGCAAGTGCCATGTCAGCATATGTTGCTTCCATATTGGTTCGAACCAATACGTGAATTGGGGGCTTGGGGATCTTCACAAAGTAAGAGCACATTCGCCAAATTTTCCCCAACTTTCGACATTCAATATGATTTTGTGAAGAACCCTAATCCTAAGCCCCAATTCGCATTGCTCTCTCTCTCTCTCTCAATATGATTTGGTGCCTTTTGCACGACACTTTGGAATTTTGTGTCAAAAATTATCTACCGGATTGCTTGAAAGTCGGGTCAACCCTCTTTCCGAACGAAAGTTGTTATTAGTCTTTCCCTATTCTTTCGATTTTTTGTTTTTTGAAACCCCGTCAAAAAATAACACATAGCCAAACTCAAACCTGCAAGCTGATCCGAACACAAGAGGCGAGAGAGAGATGATGGCAGAGGAGCCACCGCCGGCGGTTTACTCCTGCTCTCCCTCCGCCGACGGCTGCGGAGCGGTAAAGGAATGCGAGGCAATGATCCAGAGGAGTCTTCGATGTGACAATGCCCATAGACTTGCCGCTTCCACGCCTCATTTTGGTTTTCATTTGCACTTCCATGCTTAACAATTTCGCCTTTTGGCTCCAAGTAGGGTTTAGAGTTTCAGGGATTTCGCCTCTCTCGCTTCTTTGCTTCGATTACTTAAGGGTTTATACGGTGAATTCGAAAGACGACATTCTATTACCATATTTTTTGTGACCATTAATTTGTATCCGATCATTAATGTGAATTAGAATATAGGTGTGTAACTCATTTTGACATTCCTACTTTTATGCGACACTGAAATTTTGGGTCAAATTTACTGGATGACCGTTGATATCTTGTTACGCGACATTTGAAAATTGGGGCCAGGGCTCTTCCGGACAAAAGTTGATGTCTTGTTTTTTTCCTTTATTATCTAAAAACGCGTCAAATTGCAAATTTCGGACCCGCCAGTTGACCCGAACACAAGAGGAGAGAGAGAGAGGATGGCCGAGGAGCCCCCGCCGGCGGCTTCCTCCCCCTCTCCCGCCGCCGACGGCGGCAGAACGGTGAAGGAGTGCGAGGAGATGATCCAGAGGAGCCTCCGAAGTAAGAATCCCCCATCCAAATTTGCCGCTTCCCCGCCTCGTTTGCATCTCCTTCATTCGCGCGTCAGGATAAAGATCTCACCTTTAGGCTCCGAGTAGGGTTTAGGGTTTTAGGGATTTCGCCCTTCTCGTTCCTTCGCTTTCGATTGCTTTGCTCGAGAGTTCGCGTTGTGAAATGGGGGAAGACGACGTCCTGTTGCCATGTTGTTTTTCTGTTCAATTTCCCTTTCAGCGATCATTTGTCCGTGTGGAAAGTGAAGAGCTTGAGGACAATCGCTTTATAGCTTCGTGGAGCTATGGAATTTGCCTCGTCGTCTTCGGACCTCCGTTTGAAATCTTCCCGCGTGTCGTTTGTGCAGCTCCAATGGTGAGATTCCTGAAGGAGCAGTTGGAGAAGGCGGGGTGCGCGCTGGGGGACAACTTCATCAAGGCTGTTAACTGCGACGGGAAAGTCAGCGGCGGCTACATGCCGGGCCTAGGGGTATATGAGTTTGAATTACCTGCATACATCATTGGAAATGAAGTCGATCCATGTGTATACATAATGGGTCTAATGCTAAACTCTTGAAAGTTTCGTTCTTCGCATATAATTTGGTGGATCTGTTAGATAATCACCTTGGTGATAAGAGCAGAGGAATAAAGAGGCTGTTGGTGTTTGAGTTCGTCAAGCTTAGCTTGTACCGTATACCAAGCTTTTGAAGTCTGATGAACTTGTCGGGTGAAATTTGGTTTTCAGTTTATATCCTCTCGTATTTCCTCAAACCTTGTTTGTCAGAATCTCTTTTCTCTTTTTCGATGTTTCATTCTTTTGTTTGATGTGATGAGCTGTCATTCATGAGCACCACATCGCTTTCTCAGATAGTCGTGTGTAGTAACCACATGGAACTCCAAGATGATGTAAATCAAGTAGTCATACATGAACTCATTCATGCGTATGATGAGTGCCGAGCTGCAAATTTGGACTGGAGTAATTGTGCCCATCACGCTTGTAGCGAGGTATGATAATCAATTCTTGTAACTGCCGTTTGCTTTTGGGAGATGCAGCCTTTAAACAGGGCTGTTTATATCTTTGGTGAATATGTCTGATAATTAGATACGTGCCGGCCATTTAAGCGGTGATTGTCACTACAAACGGGAGCTATTGCGGGGTTACATGAAGATACGTGGTCATGAGCAGGTAAATTGAAATTTACTTGTCTTTCCCAAAAATCCATTCCTGATATAAAAATGCGTGAAATAGGGAGTACAATGTGCTCTTTGTCAGTTTTGAAGCATTTGGAATGTGTATGCGTACCTGGACACAAATGGCTGCATAGGGACCAATTGCCCTTAATTCTAGTGAAGGCCCTTGGATTCTTCTAGTTGCAGCGTATCTTATGCATCTGGGCAACTTACCTAGGCCTATACATCTCCACACTCTATCATAGAAGGACTGCTGTTTGTCAAGTCTTACAATATCTGAGTGTGCTATATGCAATTAGAATATACTTGTGTATGGTTTTATTTGACAGTTGCTTATTGAAACATTCTTTCTCGTTTTGTTTTTCTGATTGGAGACCTTCTTATGGAGCTTTACTTCAGAATTTTGGCAATTAGGAAACATTCTGGTCCAGGCCATGACAATGATGATGCTATCAAATATTTAAGCAGAGGCTGCAAAAAAGAAATTTAGATGAAGAAGGAGACTTGCAATTTTTTTGTTCAATTTGGGACTAGTGGTGAGGAAAGTCTGTAGAGAATCAGATCACATGAAAAAAGTGGGGACCTTTCAGTTTAGTTTCTTACAGTTACAGACCAACAAAATGCTGTTAATAATCTGAGCCCTTCTCTCATGTTCAAACCCAAAAAGGAAGAGCAGAGCAAATCGTCGTACTGAAACTTGTGTTGTAAATTTCCTAGCCTATTTACTTCATTGAAATCTTGAGGTCCATTTGCATATTGTATGTCTCCATTCACTTGTATCGGGTTGTGACCATTATTTTCTCGTTAATTACTGTCTAATTCTTAGGCAACTACTGAATGCTCAGCAAATAATGCAATGCAATTAAGGTTTTCAGCACTTCTTTTTTTTTGGTCGGAAGGTTCTCAGCACTTTGCTCAGTGCTCTTTCAGATATGGTCTTCCTTTTCCATATGAACTACATGAGCAATACTTTGTACTTTTTGAGCGTTTGATTGATCATGTCTGTTATGCTCATCTTGTCTTGACATTTGTAAGGAATGTGTGAGGAGAAGAGTAATGAAGTCGGTTACTGCGAATCCTCACTGCTCAGAAGCAGCTGCAAAGGATGCGATGGAAGCTGTGTGGGATGTCTGTTACAATGATACGAAGCCATTTGATAGAGCTCCGTGATTTTGTGGTTTCTGGCGCTTGTTGATGCCAATCAAGTGGAATTATTATTCCTAGAATCTTTCAATGAACACTGGAGTTCAAAGCAGATTGGAATGCGGATCGAATCTTTAGTCGCAGAGGAATAGAACAACCAAAATGAAGTCTTTATGGCTTCCATTTTCTTTCCTCTTTTTACTTTTCCCTATCAAACTGTTGCAAGATGAGCATCCCATAATTGTCTATTGTTTATTGCTTTCACCCGGCAGCATTGATGCCAATTTTTTAGGTCAAAGGATGACGATTGTTTGTCCAGGAGGTTTACTGTAGTAAAACTTATTGTTTTTGTTTACTGTGCTGAGAAAAGTTTTTATTCTTTGAAGAAATTGATGCTCTTGCTTATTCTGAGCTTATTTTGTCTATATGGCCTTAATTATACTCTGAAAACTGGATCGGTGCTGGTTGAGGGGTTCATAGAAGCAAAATAACTCGATAAATTCTGTGCTGGCTTGCCTCAGTTTTGTTGCATTATCAGAGATTATGGAGTTTAAATCCATGTTCTGGTTTGAGAACGAAGAAGTTACTCGAAAGACTTTTGCTAAGGTTTATATCATTTAAGAAACTCGTGGTAGATTTAATGCTTAAGAAATTTATCAGAACCTGATGCCATTCGGATGAGGAAGACCTTGCGGAGTCTATGAAGACTGAGAAAAGAACAAGGAAAGCCAGCATTGGAGTCACCAGGTGTTCAATTAAACGCCAAAACCTCTTTTCTTTTTGCCATAGTGATATAGAGATCCCACAGCCGGAGCCAACTACACAACCAGAGAAAACATAATCCAAGTAAACCAATAATGCCCACACAACCAAGGTCATGCATAAAATTACACAGTGGTAAATTTGACAAGATAGGATGATCGGGTTGCTGTGTTTCGCTTCTGGTATCTGTTTTAAAATCTTATCCATTTCGTATCCGATCCAACCGGTCGACGCTCTTCCGTGCCTTTTCCAACTGGTGATCGATGCTCTTTCTGGATTTCTCGTGGCAATCCACACTTCTCCGGGACCTTTGCATGTGGTCAAAAGACATTCGTAATTTCTCAAGCTTATCAGCACTGAGACCCTGATTTTTCAGCTTCTCAGGCCTGTCCGTGCTCTTCCTCGGCTTCTCTCTCCTGTCGGTGCTCTTTCTAGACACTTCGTACACATCAGTGCTCTTGCGGGGCTGTTCAAACTGATCCGTGCTTTGCCTGGAGCTGTATCTTTGGGAAGGAGACTTCTCGACAGTAGTTATGAACTTCTTAAGATGCCTTATATATTCAGGGTAGAGCTCTAAATCACAGTGATTTCCGCCTTTAATCCATAAGGGTTCATACTTCTCCTTACACAGTTCCCATAGTTGCTTCCCGTGGGAGCAATCGACAACTTCATCTGCAGTTCCCTGTAAATGGTATAAAATTGTTTTAAGCATTCGTCTGTACAAACATGAAAATAAACGAGGTCTTCAACTACAAAAGAACAGAAAAAAGCACTATGCAAGCCAAGAGCGGGATAACAATATTAATGATATCTCCAATTTCATATAGAGGAGGTCCGATCACTTTCTTTGCTACGATATGCCTACTCCTATTAGCATTGCTTCAACTTACCATTGTCTCAATGCGATGTTTTTATCCTCCTATTACTGGAACAATGACTTTCTGGGAATTTCTTCCCAAAAATAGAAGGGTCTAAAGTATGCTTTCTGTTTCGAGCAAATTATATAAGAGGAAACACACAATCGAATGCAACTTTCAGTTGATGTTCTATAATTTTCCAACGCAAGAAGACCAGACTAGACCTGCTAATTTGCATGGGCACTTGCTCACAGAGGACTAATTTCAGAAGGCACAACCAATTCTCTTAAATAAATGAAAATTGCACAGAAGTCCTGTCTAGGTCATCCGCAGAAATTTAGATGGACCACAATGCCTGTTCTGACAATGCATCTGTCCTTAAATTTTCTAGTTTGTTCTCACCGCAATATTGAGCTAAATTTCTCAACTATGTTAGATCAGAGACGACACAAAAAATGTCCCCTCATCCCTTCCGCTACTAATGGACAGTAGGTTCTACATAACGCATGCAGAATATTTTATCCTCGAGAAGGAAATTTCACTACAGTCCATAACATTATCATCCGACTATCCACACTAAAGCAATAACAGCCATCTTCCACTTGGATATGGCTCCTCTGCATGTGATGACATGGAGAAAGCATTGGGTCAGCATGTTATGGGTAAATACATCTATACTGTGGTATATGGTGCAACCCACCATACTCCATGGTCCATATGCATATTAGTGCCTGTACCAAACTCCCCTAATAATTTCTGAACAACGTGTCATGTAAGAAAAATATTGCTAGTAATTGCTTATGATGTCAGCACTGAAGGTCAGGATGACAGGACAGTATCCAAACATGATGTCTCACGAGGCATGCCGTGGATCTTACCTTTCTGGAATACTAAAGAAAGGGTAGCAAACACTTGATGAAGAAGAAACATAACTACATGTCTGACAACTCAAGCTTCAAAGAACAAAGAGAAGCAGCAAAAAGGGTGGTATCAGAATGTGAGAAAAGATCAAACAAATTACAGCAAGTGGTTAGTTGTCTGCACGCAAGGAATTTCCACATAATTTAGAAAAATCGAGTTGTTGTCATCCTGATTCCATGGAACATAAAGAGACTAATTTGCATTAGATCAATTCATGCATATGGCGGTTTGCCAGTCAAGCACAATATAGCCATTGAATAAATATATACTCACATGAATGATGAGGACTGGACAATTAACCAGTGGAATTTTGTCAATATTCTGCCAAGCAACAAAATTGTCATATCAAGTGAGAGAAAGAATTAATCCTCGAGCAGGAGGAAAAACATTAATATTAAACCAAGAGTATTGCTACCTTGTATATATCAAACCAGTATGTACGCTTTACAGGATACATGACTCTCACACCAGAAAGTATAGGGCTGTGCAAAACAACAGCCCTTAGCTGAGGCAGTCTTGCAGCAAGATCCACAGTGGGGCCGCTACCAACAGATTGTCCATAAAGGATGATATCTTCCTGCTTAGCGCCATAACTATCTTCGAGACACTTGTATGCAGCTTCTATATCCGCATAAGTATTCTGCTCGCTTGGCTGCGACAATGTAAGGGATTGGCTTCAGAAAAGCTTTTCTCTTCAAGATAAAGCTTTTTAGCTTCCACAGAAAGCATATTAAATGTGCAACAAACTTATTTACTTGATAAAATTTTCTTCGGATTCTAACACACCTTTCCAGATGATTGTCCATACCCTGAATAATCGTACCTGCAGAAGTTATGTTAATCATTAGAACTCGCATCATTCATTGAAAATTCAATTATGTATTCTGCGATACATACTTTTGAACATGGACCTGGAGATTCAATATTTTCACATCCTAGTAAGAAATTTGAAACCTCTTGAGGACTCAAGTCTAGATGTTCAATGCGAAGAATAAAAAAAGATTAGCCATGACTTCAAGTGGAAATAATAAAAAGACTACTTCGAAGCTACAACAATGCAAGCTGGCAAAATCTCACACGACTTGTGCTGTCCATATGCATTCTTCATACAGAGTATTGTTTTGCATAGAAACCAGTTGAATAGAGCTTATCAAAGTCAGATTCCAAGAGGAAGGTGTATTTTAAATTTACTGGAATTATTTTAGCTACTTCTAGCTTTAAATTATCGCAAAAACATATATTTCGCAATTATGAATGCTGTTAAAATTCGAAAAAGTATGTCAGAACTTTATATTACTCCGACGGCGCAATTGATGACTTTAACTAAACCCTCTCGCTTATATACATAGCTGATAAAGTAAACAAAACCACCAACTTGAACGACACTTCTATGGATCGCTTGCAAATGTAGACATTGACCGATTTCTGTTATATAAAAACTAAACTAATCTCTAGGATATTTTCACGAAATTTTTACCTAAACTCCAAGAGAACCAACTGTTAATGCAAGACACAGAAAAAGATGTTTTCCACCGAACACAAGAAAAACTGAGCTTTCAGTGAGCCAATGCTGATTACAGTGAAGATTAGTCCATTGCCTAAACACTAAAATGGTCTCACCAGTCCTTGTAAGCTGATGATAGAGTAAAAGATCACATGTAGCTATACTTCTAAATAAGGTAAGCAGAGCAAGAAAACAACAGATAGGAACCCGATCATCCAAGCAACATCAAGTTCGAAATTTGAATCCACCAGTGGATAACAAATCTAGCTTATCATTTCTCCGAACACTTCAATCAGCTCAACTCCTCAACCGTCCAGGCTTCAAAAGGGATCTAACAAGAGCTAGATACCAGATCAACTCAATCTCCACCTCCGAAAAAGAATTTCCCATAATTACCAGCTCAATGCTCAACATAATCCCCCACAAATTCTCCCAGCTTACAAAGAAAACCAAAAGCTACACAATTCCCACACAACGGCAAAAATTAGCAAAACGGGAGCCCCCCCAAAACAGGAAAGAAATACAAAAAAGAAGCAAAACCCAGGTTCAGGAATAGCCCGAAAAGTCCAAAAAACAGTAACCTCTCAGCTCAAAAATTACACACCAAGAACGAGAGCCATTTAAGAAAAAGGGGCGAGCGAGCTGCAAAAACAGTACCCCATGAGATTGACGCGCAAGTGGATGCTCAATTCGATGAAGAGCTCGTACATCTGGCCCAGATCGGCGGCGTTGCCGTGGGAGTAGAGGAGGGTGGAGGTGGCCATGGGGTGCCTCACGTACACCGCCACCACCTCCGTCCCCCGCCGCGTCGGCAGCCGCAGCACCTCCACGTTCTCCCGGTGCGGGAACGGGCTGAGCAGCAGCAGCCCCGTCAGGTCGTCCGTCACCAGCTTGTACGACGGCGGGCTCGGCGGGAAGAAGGCGAACTTGGCCGCCATCGAGGACGTCACACCCCCCATGATCACCACCGATCACACACACACACACACACACTCACCCACTCACTCCTTTCACTCACTCCCTAACTATGCTCTGTTCCTTCCGAAGGACAAAAAGAAAACTTTCCCGCTTTTTCCGGCTCCGCAACGACTCATAGAAAATGGGTTTCTTTCCTTCTGGCGAGTTCAGATCGACAATCCTCCCTCCCCTTTCGCCTCCTTTTCCATGCTTTTTCGCCCCCGAAGTTGCGAGGCAATAGACAGAGACAGAAGAGAGAGAGAGAGAGAGTAGATGTGGTTCGTTTGTTCTTTACAGGAGTAGGAGTGAGAGAGTCTGGTGTTGTTGGGTGGTTAATTAAAAAGAAAGGAAGAAAATTTTATTTTATTTTATTTTTTATTTTTTTCTAAGTGGCCTTTTGGTTAATTTGTTATTTATTTAATTATTTTGATTTTAATGTATGGGTCGTGAAAAGGAAAAGGGGGAACGGGTGGTCCATCATTTTGCGCGGGGCGTTTTGGTTTTAATTTAATCTTTTTCTTCTTTTTGGTGGGGCCAAATTTGCACAATGGTTTTAATAAGCACCTTTTACCTAAGAACACTCCTTCATTCATGCCTTTTAAGTCTCCTTAATCAGTCTAATGATTCGAGTACCCTCAGATCAATTTTTATCGTTACGCACCGGAATGCCGCACGGTACCGGATTCGGGGGCATCTTCCGGATTCGGGCGATGGACGACGGCACGATCGAGTAAATCCACTCGAAACAGTCGTCGACCCAATCTTCGAATGTCTCCGGATTCCGACTCGAGCCGGACCGGGCACGATCCGGGGATCTGGAGATTTCATAACGGGGGAAAAAAACATAATCCGAACCGAACCCTTTTCACGACGATCGGGCCAAAACGAAAGGAAAAAAAAACGAGAGGAGAAAAACAAGGATACCTAATCTCTATCTTAAGACAGATTAGACGGCAATTAGACTGTACTTAGTTTGTGATGTCGTATTCTTCTTAGTTGTAATACACCACGCAAGTGACCCCTTTTGGGGGCTGAGTTATCGAAGGGGGAAGGAGGAGGAAATCAACAGTCGAGAAGAGCAAAGGAGAAAAAATTCAAATGGAAGTGGGGCATCTGCGCATAGAAAAAATGATTAATTAGTACCATGATTACTACGATGGACCCTCCCTCCCTCCCTTCGTTATTACGTGGATTAGATTAGCGACCGAAAGGTATCGCCATCCTTCATTATAAAGTCCGGGTCCAGCTGGACCGAATCGGGACTTCGTATTCCACTCCGATCCGACCCGATCCGACCCACGCGTGACCCGCCCTAGCTCACCGCCTCTTTCCTTTTCCTCTATATATGTGTAAGTACCCATTTCATAAATTCGATCTGCCGATTGTTAGATAACCAAAATAAGGTTGCATTGTCGCTTTTCGACGTGCCCTGTCGTCGTGACACGCGCGACCGATGGTTTTCCAAAGATCGAACATGTCGTGGTTAAGTACGTTCTACAAGAGTTCCGAAAGTGCTCGTTAACGGAACTCATTGACATATAAGACCAAACCATCCGACATGTCGAAGGTTTTGCTATCCCTCGGCCCGTGAGTTTTTGTCTCACCGATTCTCTATTTTATGTCATACTCTTCCGGAGCCGGCGAATTGGATTCCGAATACTTCTCCACCTCTAACCCCTTCGGTTGTGAACGTCGTTTCACTGATTAATTAATCGTATAAAAAAAAGGAAAGAGAAAAAAAAAAGGAAAGAATCTAATGGTTTTCATCCTGTCCTTGTTCCTAACGAGCGAATTCTTGAACATAGAAAAGCATCATTGCCTTAAAATAACGAGGAAAATCGGGAAGGAATAAGGCCAAAGCTTTGATGAAGACGGTTTGGCAGAAATGCTGATTGACCAGGGAAGCTCAACAGTCGCCATCCCGAAAAGTTATCAAACGATACTAAAGGATTCCCATTCCCTTTTCACAGTTTTTTTTTTTTTACTTTTCCCCGTCCCAAGAGAGATGCCGGCACACACTAGTAGTAAACGACCTTTTTGGACCCGAGGATGTCCTTAAAAGATTCCATTTCGATCTTTATTCGGATCTCGAGATCATCTAAATATAAAACTTCTAAAGGGTATTCCCTTCTCCTGTGAAAGATAAAGATACAAAAGGTGTAGGAGAATAGGCAAGCATCGGCACGTAAAAATAAGAAATACATTCGTAGAGTCCATCGTCCCTGTATATCAAATGAACAGGCCGTGGAGAACTTATAGGAGCTTCGGCTCCTTTTCTACGGTGAGATTACACTATAACCAGACACCAAAAGCTCGACGAACGCGGTTCAGCAGGAATACTAAATGAGCGGGAAGTTCAACAGTCGCCATTCCAAAGGTCGTCAAACAATACTAGAGGATTCTCCTTCCCCCCTTAGCACTTTTTAACTTTTCCCGTCCCAAAAGAGATGCCAAAGAACTGCACACGCACCTGTAGCAAACAGCATTTCACAGGTGAAAATGCCCGCTCGACCAAGCTTTGGGTAAATCATCATGGTCTTTTGTCTGGTCCTAGAAAAGATCTGGTCGCAGTGAAAGTCCGAGTCTTAGAGCGACCCACCTCGTGCATCTACATATATAGTTTAGTTACTGCTCCATATGTATACAGCACATGCACCCAACTAATTGTCCAATTAATCATCAAAAGCAATGAGATTATCGATCGTCATCGTCAATCGCGAGATATCTTCCCCATAAGCCCGATTTCAATCACGAGATAGAGGGCGCACGAATCCCGCACTCGACTCGTCGATGCGGTAACCGAACAGCTGTCGAACAAGTAACCGACGTACCCACGTGATCTTCACCGGCTCTAAGCTTAAGCTTACAGACAATTTACCCTCTGCTTTTGATCAGTGCGGGACTACTTTACATGGGAAGAAGACGCAGCAAAATTCACCTCGACATCTAATCAAGAACATGAGAAGGAAGATTTGATTTGCTAAAGACGTATCAAGACAAACAGAAAGGAGATCGCGAGAAAGTAACCGGATCGCATGTGCTACATGTTCAGTCGGTCAAACTAACCTGGTGGACCTCATGATATGAAAATGTTTTCTACTCGAACCTTTCTGGTGGTAGGCCCTGTCTCCACAGTGCAAATGCAATGCACGATCCGCCCACAGCTTAGGGGACCCAAAATCCAGGACTAAGGTTGGAACCCCGGGTCAATGGCAAGAGCACCAATTATTCCCACAAAGAATGCGACTAAACAACAACCAAGATAATTAATGAAGAACGAGGAATGAGAGCAGGAACGGAAGGAAAGCATGTTCATATCATCATGGGTCCCAGAAAATGAAGGGCGGGAAAGAGAAAGGAACAGGGGGCTCACTGCCGCTTTTAATCCATCTTCTTGTTCTTCCACTGATGGGATAATGAGACATGTCTGTCAGCCGAAACATAGATGCAGATCTGAGTGGTTCATATTGCTACCATCGTAAAATAATTACGTAGATTCAGCTCATTCAAGTACTTGCAACCAAGGATCCATCAAAGATTACCCTCTAGCAGATATCAACAACTACTAACAGATGCAACATGTGAGTGGATCAACAGTTAAACATGCAACTTTTTAACTAATTTTTCCACGCGTTATCTCCCATAGAAAGTCTCATGGCCGACAAAATAGGAGCATCAGAAGGAACTGATACAAGTTCATAATACTCTCGCAGGTACGGAAGCATGATATCAGCAGGTTGTTGTTCATCTAGCAAGAAAGGCCTTTTGCAAACATAAATGAAGGTACGCACCGGAGTCGACGGCGTTTGAATACCTAAACTTGATCGAAGTGTTCCAACCAAAGGTGATCGGTTCGTGGATATGTTCCAGACCTGGAATTTGAAACTTCCTCTGTTAGAACCAATTCCCAGTTTTTTGAATTTGGAACCTACTCTGTTTGCCTTGAAACCTACCCTGTTTTTTTGGTCCAATTCTCAGGTAAATCAGGAACCGGTCTCTAACTTTTTTTTACTTCATTTTTTCTAAAAACCAAGACAAATAATAGCTACAACAAAGTAGTACGAGCAACAAAATGGCTCAAAGTAAAATATCGATACAAAATAAATAGAAATATAAAGCAATAGAGAAATTAAGTTCATTTAAGAAAGGAAAATCATCTTCTTCTAACTTCATAAAACAGGTTCTAATCATCGGTTCCCCGATGAATGGGTGAGTTCAGCACCAGATTTTTTGAACCGGGAACTGGACCTGTTTCCATGACCGGTTCGGTCCGGTTCTCAGGTAGAACCGGACCGGTTGTGTAGCCTAATTCCAACACTCTTTCGACCTTATAAGCCGAGAAGTTTATCAGAGAAGCAATCATTGTCAATGCAAAAGCATTTGTCCATTCATCTAATCATACCCTGTCTCTGGCTCTTCCTCTACACTGGTATAGGCGATTCACTTAAACAAGACAACTATAAGGAGAAGGACTAACAGCATAATCCTAAGGCAAAGGGCACTCATGCAACCACCATCTCTTCACCGCCGACACCCATTTCAACTTCCCTCAGTCTGACTCTTATGTCTCATGTTATATAATCTTTTAATCTTCTGAATATCCTCATCATTCTGCAACTCCACCGATATTTCCACCAATCATATATTCTACTGATAGCCTGATTCACTGATCTACTAAAGAAATTCTCAAGCAATCAGTCCAAGTTCAAACACCTGCCTTGGTCTCCATACTGCCAAAAAGAATGCTGTCAAAAGCCACTATTCACATGTACGATACAAGTACATTTGTGCTCTTGCAGGCAAACTACAGCCAACCATCTATTCAACATACCGAGTGACTAACAAGCTGAACTTCAAAGATCCAGGAAACACATCTTGGATACTTCAAAGGTAAATTACTGTGCTCACAATTGTCTTCTTGCCATTCAACTGAGGTTGGATGATTAAACTCATTCCAAACTTCAGCACCTTTCATTCAACTATGTGTATGTAATCTCATGGTGTGATGCATTATAAGGTAATGAACCTTCCGATTGTTAACAATGTGGCCAATCTGATCTTGTAATACTGATTCTCTTACAGTGGCTACACCATGAACTGTTTCCGACAATCTCGGTCAAACTCCCATTTGAACAGACTATGCTGATACGGAACCACCCGATGGCCACTCCTATATTATTATGCACCAAATTAAGATGCAGTATAGATGTCCATTCCACCAGCATTACATACGATAAGTACTTTGGTGTAGAGTGCA